AAAGTAGAGCATTAATGCATGCACATGGAACAAGTTGTTCCTGAAATTTAAAGAAATCAAAGCACATGTTTTGGTTGGGTGGCTTGCATATGAAGGGCGTTTCAATGAAATTTCAAGTGTTTTTAGAATGATTTTGTGTTTTTGCATTGCATGATGTGTGGTTTTGAATTCTTTCAGATCTTCCATACCTTGACGACACATATGATAGCCAAGTTCTTGAGAATGAACTAACTCGGGTAGGTACAGTGTAACTCATGCATGCATTTCAATGTGAGATATATGTTTGAGGTTCCAATATACAATACAATATAATCCAGTATTTACATTATTTTTTCAAATCCTTTAGGCTCTTGATGGCTTTGTTTTTGTTATTGGAGATGATGGACAGTTTCTATACATTTCTGACAATGTTAGCCAATATCTTGGCCTAATGCCTGTAAGTACAGTACTAAGCACTTGCGTGGTTTTCAAATATAACAATTGATTAAAACAAGGCTTTGCATGAAATTTTTGGAAATTGTTAGAAGCACTTTGAAAGTTTACCAGGCGAACATCCTTCCCCAGGACATAATAGCTTTTATCAGGATGTCAGTGATTCACTGGCTACTTAAACCTCTAAACATTACTCAGGCACTTGTTTCTAAAAACAAGAAACTGTAAGCCCCACCCCTCAAATTCTTATAATATTAAGCCCCTGTGTATTTACCTATTCTAGGTGGAGGTAACTGGCAATAGTTTTTACAAATTCATCCATCCTTGTGACCATGAAGAGGTTGCAAAACAACTGGGAGGCAAAATCCCTCTTGAAGATATGGAGATATTTGATGGCTTGTTTTGTTCAGATTCAATATTTTTGATGTCAAACAACCTCAAAGGAGGTAAGATATTTATGTGCATATTTGGTTTGATGTTTCTGGCTTGAAATTTCTATTGGGTAGCTACTTTACAACCTAAACAGTTGCTACAGCTCTTCTAGATTTGCACAATGTCTTATAAAAGGTTCAATGTTTTTTAAGGGTCTTCACAACATGATGACATTGGAAGTCAACCATATCGATCATTCTTTGTGCGAATGAAAAGCACTCTTACAAGCCGTGGAAAGAGCGTAAACTTGAAAGCTTCCACATACAGAGTAAGCATTTCCTCTATATGATTTTTTATAACTCAAGTGGTGTCATTCCATGCTAACTCACTTGGTTTTGCATTTAAGGTGGTGCATTGCATGGGATGTTTGAAATTGTGGTCTCCATCAAATGCTAGTGATAGCAAGAAATGTCAACCATTCTGTTTTGTTGGTATTGGTGTGCCTTTGATGTTTTCACCAACGTTCGAGGTACCACTGGATCGATGCACATTCACAAGTCACCATGCGCTGGATTTGAAGTTCTTATACTGTGAGGAAGGGTGAGTAAATATTGTAACCTAGCAAGAGTAGTGGTGGTGTGATGATGGTTATGGTGGTGTGATGGTGGTTATGGTGGTGTGATAATGGTTATGGTGGTGTGATGATGGTTATGGTGGTGTGGTCTTGGTGGTGGTGTGGTCTTGGTGGTGGTATTCTGTCAATCATGGTGACTGATTATGTCTAGTGCTATGGTGTTGCATCCTAATATTTTTCATTCATGTTTTCAGCATACAAGACATTCTTGGTTACTCAGCATCAGATGTGATTGGTCAGTCACTGTATAATTTCCATCACGGAGTCGACAATGACATTCTCACCCAATGCCACAAGACATGTAAGTATTCAACAATGTGTTAAACATTATATTCAGTTTAGCGCAGCATAAATTTCACACCGCGGTCAAAAATGACATATTCACACAGTTAACAAAAATGACTATTTTTCGTTCCCTAGTGTTAACCAAAGGACAAAGTGTAAGCGGTTACTATCGAATTCTTGCCAAATATGGCGGATGGGTGTGGGTTCAGACTAAAGCCAGTATTGTGTATGCTAGCAAGACTTGTCAACCACAGTTCGTCTTATGTATCCATTACGCTATAGGTAAACATTAACACTCGTATGTAGCTACATAGGTCAAAAAAATGTCTTCAAATGCAGCGTCTTACAGCATCGTTTTTTGATATTAGTTTTTTTCAAGAACCTCAACTCAACAGACTTCTTTTTTTACAGTGACGTCCAGAAAGGCGAAGTGGTCGTATCTTTGGACCAAGTTCGTCGGGTCATAGAGCACCAAGACTCGCCAACAAACTCCCCAAATGGCAAAGGAAAATACGATGGTGTTGTCGAAAAGTTGGTGTCGAATCACCATGTGATTGCCCCAGGTGGAACCATAAACTTGCTCTCCAAATCTTTCGACAACAAATCGGGCGGTCAAAATGACATTGATGCAGGCTACGCCAGCCCGATCGCCTTATCCGTTCACGAGGACGATGACGTCACGTACGACCGCAGTCCTGACTCACAGCGGTATAGAGATGCAGACTCGGGATGCGGCGATCAGTCGCCGCCGGCGACGGATCAACTCGACAGTGACATTGACATGAATCCAGATCATTTTGCACCATTTATCCCTCCACCTGTTGGGGACTCCGAGATATTCGCCGATTGCATGGCCATGGGCTCGATGGACGAAAGTCTGGAAGATAGTAACCTCATGTGGAACAACGAATCATGGGAAATCTACGATACCGACGCGGACATGCGCGTGGACGATACTGCAGATATGAAAAGGAATCTCTCGACGCCGAAATTTTATCCTCACGAGGATGATTTGCCCATCTTAAACAGCAGTGAGGTGGAAATGAGCACGCCCATTACAAACATGCCTCTACTTCAGGGCAATGAAATTTGGTTCGCCTTAGATCAAGGAAGAGAAGTCACTGCATAACTGTTTTTGCAATCAAGAAACATACAAGATAAGTTGTTGGTGCCGATGACATTTTTCTAAGGTGCACTATGACAAGCTGTGCCTTCTGAGGGTTCTAGGGGGCCTAACTTGTGAGATTCTGCAGGCCGACAACAGGAATTACGGATGCTTTTGGTTGCATTTGAAATTTCCAGACAAGAAATGTAGTACTTTTGTAGTTGATCGCCTGGTATTGCAAACATTTACCAGCTTCTCAACGAGCTTATAACGGAAAGGGTATAACCAAAGTGTAGACAATTGTAGTCTTTCGCCATTATACTGTAAGGTTCATTTCTTTGGAAGGATTGAGTGAACTTTGACGAAACAAACTTCATGCAAAACACCCGCTTTCGTTACCAACTTACATTGGAAAATAGAACTATAGGAAACGTGTATATCTCCTCGATTGGATATCAAGAATAAATATATTTTAAAGAACATTTAAAAAAAGAGGGAGATTTAGCTAAAATCAATCTGTATTTTAGTAATTTATTTGTAGGTTAAGAATGTGTTTGAACAGTATAGCTTGTAAAACAAGATAATAGGCATCACAGTTAACTGTGTAGGCGTGCATGGTTATGTGTGGATGATGCATTAAAGATAAATTTACCTTGTACAGTTTTAAAATTTTAAACAAATAAATACAGAAAAGAAACAATACTTGCGTATCAATTGGCAACATATATCATGAGGAACATCCAAGAAAGAGTTAAAAAAAATTACGATAGGTTTTTTCAAATGAAATAAGTTGACCAAAGTAGTGTTGACGTAAATCACACACGTAAAACCGTCGTGTTATCGATTAGAAAAATGATGTAGGCACTTTCATGGTCTACGGCTTGTGGGTTTTTTTTAGTCTCGTCCGGTTTTGGAGATTTCTTCAAAATTTGTTCTTCCTCTACATGATATAATCCATCGATATTGAATTATTTTGAGAAGATTTTGCTCATAAGTTGATATGATTACCACATCTGTTACTAGACCAAACTTGGTGGTCGCATATCCAGTGTGGGAGCCAGCCCACGCAAAGTTCACAAGTTAAATGACGATTTCTTTCAAATCTCCCGGCTGGAGATAACACTTATTGAAACACTAATATTTGACGATTCCCCATGCGATATTGTTTATCTTGAAAGACAAACCACATTACGTCATGCGGCGTATTAATATGTACACAATTGTTCCAATTCTCAAGTGTTTACGACGAAAGTGTCAAAATATGTAATCCCAGTCCTTACGTTAATAATCATATGTTGAAAACCCTTGCCATATCTTGCGAATATTCATTGCATTTCTTTTTTAGGCAGACGTTTTAGATGGAGTGTTGATAAGGGGCCTCTTCGAAATTCATAGTTGGTGTCTGGAACAGTAAATAGCAATCAGTATAAATGCATCTAATTTAGATTTGCATAGAAAAGTTTGCAAAGTTGGGCGTGTTCTGGAAACTGAAAGAGGATAACATGGTTACGTCAACAGACAAATAGGTTACCTTCAAGAGGTAAACAAGAAGTAAAACTCCAATTGCAGCTTGAGGGAAAGTAGACATAAATATTTCATATTCGGTGAAAATATCCCTTAGTATATGATCGGTTGCCTTAAAAACAGACGATCACAGCCTCCGAGGTTTGGAAGTTGTTGACAAGTGAGATCGTTTCCTTTTTTCTCCCTTTTTTTTGCACGTTTGAAGTTTTACAATTAATGCATTTGCGTGGCCACTCGCCAATTATTAAACTAGTGTTCTAGCACTAATGAATACCGCAATGACGCCGTATTGGCCACAAATACTGATTACAAATTAAAGCTTTAAAGCGATTTACAAAATTCGTTTCTACGTTAGTCTTTGTAGGATCATCAGATAATGTCACAGGAGGAGACGAAAGCTACTGCGACTGCGTTATGCGGGAACCTAGTAGGGTCAGGGGCGCACATTAGGGGTAGGAGGGGGGGGCAGTTTGTTAAAAGTCGATCCGAAGACCTGTATGGGACCAAGGCACCCCAGATATTTTCCTCAGGGTGGTATTAGGTTCCCCATGAGTTGCGTCATGCTCTTTCGACCAATCAAAACGGTTGTTAGGTTCAACATCAGTTCACGTACCTTTAACTGATTTTGCACGTGTTTTAATACAAAAAGCTTGTCAAAGGTGAAATGAACGTGAATTTGAAACCGTAAAAATTAAATGCTTTGGAACTTCAAAATATTGACAGATTTGTACTTTTCGCGGGTGTCCAAGATCGAAAAGAATGCTTCCCGCGATGATACCAATTGTAAGTCACTTTTCTGTTCATTTGGTTTACTATTATAAGTTAGTTTATAATCAAATAGTTGACAGAGTTTTTTACAAATTTGGGCGAACTGCTTTGCCATTATTATCTTCTGTAAATCCAATGTGCCATTTGTACAGTCGAGTTTGATTAATTGGCAAATTATATATTACAAATTATAATTCTACTTATACAATATTTTATTGCGTACAGTCTTTGGTAATTTGGTAGTGGATTATATACAAACAGTAATTTGGTAGTGGATTATATACAATACATGTGAATTGAAGTGCTTATTAAGTATAGCATTCGTGAATTTTAGTGAATTAGTACTTATAACTAACTTCATTGTCATACAATCAATCATACAGCATTATCTATCTAAATAAAAAAACCCAGCTAGCTCTAAATACTTTAATTAACCTGGTACTATTTCACAGGGTTTTTCATTTTTCACTTTCATATAACTACAATAATATGTAACTACATATTATGCTGCGTCTAATTTAATCAGTTTCATGTGTAGTTTCTAATTTTAATGTGTTACCAATCCACAATGTATATGGCAGGCAAGAAGGCTCTTTGACACAATATATATTCATTTTGCTTTTACAATTTATCCAGCCTCTTAATGCTATTCAAAGCCTAGTTGATATTTTGTTGTCATTGTTGTGAACAAGTCATTTTTACCAATGTGAAATTGTCTTAATTTTCCATATTCAATTTAGGGTAATTGTTGACCGCACATACTTAGCAATACCCTACAACTTCAACCACCTTGACATGTCCACAACAATTACAACTAAAATAAAACAAGACTTGATAATTCACCATGAGAGATGTGGTCAATGACACACACTCAACTATGGATGGTTTCTAGTACATCCTGTGTATATCATAAGTCAGAGGGACTGACTCTTTCTGATTTTCTCGAGGTCTACTGATTCAGTAACGTTGGATCAAAGTCAAAGATACTGGCTTGCTCAGCAAATCCATTTAATGGGTCACTGTTGTTCAAACCAGCTGGGTCGATGAAACCGCTTGACAGAATGTTGTTATTTCCATTCACTTTTGGAAAGTTTAAAAATAATTGTTCCGACTGGTCCACATGCATGCCATGTGTAAAACCATTGTGTCTTTGATGGTCATTGGGCAGTGTTCCTGGTTGGTTTCCTGGTTGAGACATCAAAGTTTCTGGGAATTTATCATCGATCGTTGGCATATCGTTTGTAAAGAGATACAGAGAAGCTTTATATGCAATGTCTTCCTGATGACATTCTTCTTCAGTGTGGAATTGAGGAAGATCAAGCATGCCTAAAAAAACCAGAACAAGTTATATATTTTTCACTTCTTACATTTCAATTGTTAATGCATATATCTGCTCACCATAGAGATCAGTTTCTTCTGGAAATCCAGATTCAAGCTTAATCTGATCTTGCGGTGGAACAAACTCGTTGCTCTGGTGTGCGAACGGTTCCTCAGCACCATTGCTTTGTAATAGCCTTGGATCATCTTGGTCCAACTCGTAAATATTTCCAGGAGAATAAACTGACTCTCCTTGCGTTGGAAACCTGCCAGAAACTGGCCCATTTAAAGCTGGGAATTGTCCATTTAATAAATCCTCCAGTAAAATTTGCTCCATCTTGTTCGTTTGCAGTCCTTGCGGCAAATCGTTGTGTTGAAGTAGTTGGGCTAATTGGTCCTCGGCTCTCCAAGATGCGTCCCTTTGTGGCGCTGAAAAATGATCGAACTGCCGAACGGGTTCCTCCTGATGTGTTTGTTGCGAGTAAAACTCCTGCAAAGGCTTCGCTCTCTGCTCTTGCGACGTAAATGAGGGGGAATAACGCGGTTCTTGTCTCGGGAAATTACTGCTGAACACATTTTGTACACGAGCGTCTGCAACGAGAAAAAGGGATACGGTCAATGGTTGTGACGCAAAATGTTTCATTTTACGTTCTGTTAACCAGCTGTTTTTACGAGAAGCTCTTATTTATATGAAGCTTCTACAAGAATGTGTCAACAATAGCACAATAGCATTCGCTATGAGTTTTCCTAGTTCAAAAAGTCGCTTGATAAAAGAAAGAAATTTTTCGACGAGAACTCCTTACAGGAGCTCATATTTACCTTCAATTTCTCCGGTCAAATGCTTCGGTTGGCCGAATGGATTGCTTTTCGTGAAAGCCTCTGTAAGCGAGTCGACCAAATACGCATCGTCAGAGTCATTCTCGTTCTCTTTTTCAATGGGTTTTTCAATCACCTTTTCCTGGGTTTCCGGATTCACTCCGACCATCACTCCTTTGTTTTCAATGGCACTGTTGGAAATTGAAACAGAGTTGAAACAGAATTGCCGTAAAGAAATGTACACTCAAACCAAGCGACAAAAATAGCATGCTTCCCAAGTGCATTTTGTAGATACGTGACCGAATGTGGTCGCTATTCAGGAAAGAAGCGGGTATAAATAGCATTCGCAGTTGGCGCCATTACGCAAACGCATATATCGTCGAGTGTTTTCCGTTTCCTGTAATTCATTCCCCCCCCCCCCGCCAATGATTCCACTTAAGATGTAAAAAAAGCTTTGTCCCTTCTTATTTCACCGAGACTCGCTGCTTGTCCAAGTTGAATTACTATTTAAACGCAAGAATATGTTCCAGTGGTAACTTGTTGATAATATACAGTCATGCTGGGATGACATTGTTCACGGCAGTATATATCAAACACCCGCTTAAAACAGACAGGATTTATGCATTCCTTACCTGAGAACATAGTTCACGCACACCATGTAAGTTCTGCCTGTCTTATCATCCTGTATTCGTGTCGTTGTCGACTTCAGCCATACCCAACCACCATCCTTGTTCATCCAGCGATACGGGACTGTTGTCACTTTTCCCTCAGCAAGCACTGTTTTGTAAAAAGATCAATGTCATGATTTAAAAATAGTGCCATTAGATAAAAATAGTGCCATTAGATAAAAATAGTGCCATTAGATAAAAATATTGCCATTAGATAAAAATAGTGCCATTAAATAAAAATAGTGCGGGCATTAGATAAAAATAGTGCCGGCATTATATAAAGATAGCTCGATACTTAAGCACTTGAACCTCGTGTATTCTTTTACGAAACATACAAATTCCTGTGTGTTTGATGGTTATCAATCTTGATTAGATTTTCATCTTTTTGTCAAAAGTAAAAATATTCTCATGCACCAGCTCTGTATATATAGTCTAACATTCTCGTAAGCTACATCTGCGAACCAGGTGATGAGGTTAACTTGGCAGAAATTTATGAACATAAGATCACGTATGAACGTGCAATATGCATGCTATGAATATCACTCACATTTTGAGTGCATTTTTTGGATATGAAATATATCCGTCGGATGATAAAATGGATACACAACTCGACCAACGATGTCTTTGGCTTCCGCGTCCATATAACGATGTATTCTACGTAAATAAAGCAAAATCGTTCAACAACAGAAGAGCACGAAATTGGGCAAAATGCGATCGCTTGGAATATTTCATCCACAACCCTTACCTGCCTTCGCAAAATAGCAGTTTCAGATCAGGTGAAAGCCGGCTGATAAATGCTGGTTCGTAGACAGGCAGATCGCCCAAATCAGGAGACCACGCATGCTCTCCTGTGCCGAGAAAGAAACCATCGTTGTTCAAACGTCCTGTGAATCTCACGATCTAAATGAAACAAAAGACTACCATTAAACTTCATCGAGTAAAAATTGTCTTCTATATCGTTCAACAAAACGCCCGAATTTCTAAGCAGAATAGTTTCCAACCTGTATGGTTGGCACGGTCTCATATCGTTCAACTATTGTAGACTTGCTCACCTGGAAATTGGTACTTTTTGTGGAACTCGCCTTTCGGATTAAGTTACACTGCATTCGTACGGAAAATTGTACTTTTTCTAGCCATGTCACATTCTCAAACATTGGACCGAACATTTCTGCAAAGTGTTGAGAACAAGAATGTGATGTTTGTCAAGATTTATCTTACGCCAGTCTGATTTGTCTGAACTTATTGTAATTCAATGCCTCTCTTTCAACCTTCCTCAATGTCAGTTGATCATTGCAGTACTGCTGGTCTGACTGCGTGCTGACGGTTGCTACCAATACTAACCTGACTAGTCTAGCACTTACTGTTTTGCAATGTTTTATTCAGTGTTTCTCTTTCAACCTTCTTCAATGTCAGTTGATCATTGCAGTACTGCTGGTCTGACTGAGTGCTGACTGTTGCCACTAATACTAGCTTGACTAGTCAAACACTTACTACTTTGCAATGTTTTATTCAGTGTTTCTCTTTCAACCTTCCTCAATGTCAGTTGAACATTGCAGAACCAGAGTAATTATATACATATGGCCTACCTGAGGCATCTGGTTCACAGATAACATCATCAGGGTCAACTTGTGGTTCCTTGATATTGGGGTTATCCATGGATGGTAATGGACCTCTCAACTTCTTGGCGACCAACTCCCAGTCCTTTCTTAAAACAAAGTTATAAATCTTTCTTCCCATCAACTCGTGCTGTTAAAAGTACAAAAGGAATGATTTATGATGGAATTTAACATGCTCTTGTTTGCAACATGAGAAACTCCCAAAGCTGGGTCAGAATTATGTATCTACGTGTGGGATTTTTCTTCAATTCACAAACATGATATTTTTTAAAATGGTGATCAAGTGTAGATGGTAATCCAAAATAAACGGTTTCAGTTGATTTGAATTACCCGACAGAAATCAAACGTTACGTGTGGAGAAACTCACCGGTGGAAATCCTAGGTAGTTGACAACTTTTTCATTCACAAACGTTATTATGCCATCTCTGGAGAGTATAATAATAAACCCATCCATAATCTAAAGAAAATATCGAAATGTTAAAAAAATCTATCAGCTTGATCTGCCACAAATATGCTGGAAGTATGAAATGAAATTACCTCCAGGCTCAAGTTTTCAATGCCCTTTGTCTCGGAACATCCATTACCTAATAAAAGATACAATCTGATCAGCGTTCTCACAGACTTCTAAGAAATTTCCTTAGAAAAGTTTGACTTTACCCAAGGGCAGGGAGGAATAGTTGATATATTCTTTACAAATGTTCTTTGTCTCAGGTTATTATAGTTTAGTTTAGGTTTCCTCCTGTAGTGAAAACGTGCAACTTTAGAGAGAGGTTCCAGAGCGAATCAGGGGGGTTGTGTACCTACCTATCATATTTCTACTGCGACTTCCGTTCAGAACTTTCATCAGGGCTATGTAGCTCGTTGATAATCGAATAGTAGTGGACTTATCCGGGGGGTTTTCTGGAATACATGGTACGAGTCGGGTGAGCTGTTCGATATTTTCGCTCTCATTCTTTCGCCGGTTTTTCGCTGCTACTCGAGATTTTAACTTTTGTTGCTCATTTCTGATCGTATTTGGCGTTTTCTTGTCTTTCACGGCGTCTCTGTTTAAAGTTTTAAGACATCATGAGTTTTGGGTATCATAACAAAATGAGTGCAAAGTCACAACTATAACACCTTTTTACAATCACCACCGGGTCTGTGTGGGATATCAATTTTACGCCCCGCGCAGAATTTTATCCGTTTTTGTCTCCGAAGAATGAGTGCATGGGGGCGCTTCGTTTATAGCTAGACTTCCTGTAAAAACACCATCTCGTTGTTTACTCACGAAGGCGTTGAACAAATTTGCTTGCTCATGCGGTATGGAGTGCTGAGTTTTACAATAGACCACTTTCCTATCAAACTAGATGCTAAATTTTTCTAAATTCATCGGTTCTGAGATGTGCAAAGAACATCCCGAAAATAGTCAAATCGAAAAGTTCGGCTGCATATAATGTTAAAAATTAAAAAATATATATCGCCGTGAAAAATATACATGGCAAATTTTGTATAAATTAGTAATACTATAATTGAAAGTTTGTGATGCTTCCAGCAAGTTTGTAAAAGGCTCGTAGGACGCATGAAGGATCGTTAAAAGACATCGCCTATACGTTCAGTTTCGATACGACGAAACCTCAAACTCTCTGTCTATATAGTCTCTTCGTGGTTTACCGTTCGTATTTTACATCCTATTATAGGAGTTAGCAGGATATTGGCTGGAACCTTTGCCACCCAGACAGCTAACACCGTACGCCCACATTCGTTAGATTCCTGTACGTGACCTAGTGTCTTTTAATGAGCCAAAACCAAATCAATAAACGACGACCCAGTTTATAGTACAAATGCTTAGAATATTGGGGGATCGAAATAATCTGAAAAAAAAAATTCGACCCCACAGGTAGAGTATTCTTTCGAATACTACAATAGACTCGGTTGGCGTTGACGTAGCTAAGAGCCTATACATCCTACATGTATATATACTTCAATACGTCTTGCATGCCGTCACGTCTGAGTTATATTTTTTTAAACAGCCCACACAAACCACGGCAGACTAATTTGGCAACGTTTAAGCCACTATATGTTTCAGTCGAAATGCCTATTATTTCCTTTCTGGGAAAGATTGGGAGCCTGTCTAAGAAATTTTCTGAACACGACACGTCTATATTTGGATGACAGCTTAGCACATGTATACAGTAATACGCTGCTATATTGACACGTATAAAGTTCAAAACATTAGTAACGGCTACGGACGCGCGTTCGCGTGCCTAAATTATTCATATATCATGATTATTGCTTTTTATAATGATTCATTGGACACCTCTGTCTCCTCCCGTAACTTTTAGGACCTATTTAAAACCACAACTATAAATACAATCCAAAGTGAACGACGTATGCATCGTGTGAGAGTGCTATAAAACAGTCATCTTAATGCACATTTATTATACCTGAACGATGTCAAATGGACATTTACGATACAGATTATATCATTATATATAAGTGCAGTTTAAGCTGAAACTGAAAAATGTCAGGCAGACATTAAACAGAGATCATTTCCTCTGTTGTATGTGTTAAAATCTTTCTCGTTCGTCCTCTAAAAGTTCTCGTTCACACGATCCAATTTTGCTGGATCCAATTCACTTCTGATGGATGTTTTATAGTCTGTTGCCTTGTAATGTGTGTGAGCAGCAAATCCACTGAAGCCAATGTAGTACGGCTTTAGCAATAACCGACTATATTTCATACGTCAGAAGTAAATTGGATCCCACAAAATTGGATCGTGTGAACAGACCTTTACTTCTTTATACAGGCCCCATTTATTGCGTCTTTTTTTTCCGCAGATTAAGGTTTTTTTATTGTATAGTTTATATACTATAATATGAATACATGTCATAATATTTAGCTAAATATGGGAAATAAAATGTTTAACCTCCCAGGATGAAACCTGACAAGCCTATACTCTATAGTGTACTTAGCTATATTCATCTTAATTATTTTTATTGATATAGCTATGACCTTAAATATAGGAAAATGTCTTCAAGGAAATGCCTTCTCTAGACTACCTAGAACATTCTCTTATTATATTTGAGAATCGATAACAAGGCCAATGGCTTTTAAGAAATGAATATATAATCCATGTTCCTCCGTGCTTTCTCATATATGATGTTGTTAATTTTATAGTCTTGTTTGACCGCAATGCAGGAGAAAATTTTAATAATGCTCTGTTTGAATATGGGATGACACAATGTCTATGGGTAAGTGCTCTTCTATGATTAATGAAACAATATAGTATAATTATTGTTTAGCATTTGCTAAATTCATACGAAAATATATATTGAATATTTAGGGAACAAAAACTATCCTTAATTACGTTTCAGTAAGGATTGTTGTTTTAATGTTTGTGTCCAGGGGGTATTTATACGACTATAGTATGTAATATTGTTTGTTAGAGAGATATATACTCTTTTCCAGCGGAAAAGCTTGCGACAAACTCGCGAAGGGCGTTAGTATGAGGTTAAGGTATATTCTCAGAGTATATCGTATTATAAACGCTACGATAAAATATTGCCACATTTCTGTGGCATTAAATGGATTGTAAGGCAAAATACAGAGCAAAATATGTAATAATGATGCTTTATCAGGTCAATATGCATCCGTTGTCATGAAAACGACCTGTGTTTATACGTGACAAAATATGACTCAACAGTTTATGCGATCGAAAGCGTAAATAATTTGTGCGAAACGTTATTGACTGGTTGATAATGAGCTAGCTCCCATCGTAGTATTTATATATCAGATTTTCATCTATTTATATTCATTGTGTTACAAAAGCTTTGTAAAAAGAATGTCCTAAAATATCTCTCAGTTTCTTTATGGAGAAAAAAATATGCCATTACTAGCTCCATTAGTCTCGAAGTCGTATTGTATTCGACAATTGCGACATATATATCTTTCGGTTTCAGGGATACCTTTTTTAAAACAGGTCGAAAAAATCATAATTGTTTAATGAAAATTGGCGATATAGTAGGCTAATAAATGTGTGCACGAGTTTCTTAATAATATATCGGGCACAATAATATATAGATAGGCTATTAGCGTTTAAAAAAATGGTTAAAATTTTTTAGTCTTCGGGAAGATTTATTTACCGAAAACAGCATAAGGAATTCTAGACTGCATGAATCCATTTTTGTTTTTAAAAAATTCTGTATATGCATATGCCTGAACATTTTTTTATTGGACGTTTACACGACTCAATTCTATATCTTTTAGTTGAAAATAATACTACGTCCTACGCACAGTAATTATTTTTTTAAGAAATATGTTGACTGTCGTTTGTTTATTTCAAAATGCCTCGCGATTCATGCATGACGTAGTAATAATGATCAAGAAACTTCGTATATACACTAAGACTTATTTTAGGTAAGACCAGAAAAACCAAATACAATGAAAAAAAAATATATATATCAGTATATAATTATTCTTTGTATTGACATTTTGTTTGTATTGCATGTATAAATATATACGTATTTCACGGCCATGCGCGTGAATGCCTTTTGATATTGATAATATGCATGCATGCATGTAGTGGGTTTTTCACCCACTCTAAAAACTTGAGGTTAATATGGTTAAATTTGGCAAATAAAATACTCTGTGACGTCTAGTTTATTGAAACACAATTTCCTAGTATTCGTCGAAATTCTTTTTTTTTGTATACGGAAATCGAAATTGTGTCGGAGACGAGCAGGAACATGCTTGATTTGGTTTTCAAACCATTTGAGGTTGTTCTTTTTGCATGTTTGTTATATATCATTCCATGAATATTTGAAGAAACAGAAACGTAAACAGCTAACAATGTGTAAATTTTTTCCGTTTCTCCCAGCATGTAGCCTCAAGATGGTAAACAGCGTAATTGGTCTATATCTTGCATGTATTTTCCTACATTTCTTATGTTAATTGTGATTCAAAGTATATATCACGTGAAGTCTTGTCCATGCCATTAATTGATAGGCGCTATGACTTGTCTGAGTATTGGAACGTGACTGTCAGTCCCAGTTACACATGTCCCATTGGCAACAAGCCAGTTGGAATAATTTCAGTTAGAAATTTAACTGAAATCGCGACCATTTGCCTAAAGGCCTGCTTGACACTAGCTCCTAGGAATCGGTGGTCCATTGTATTACTTTTCGATAGACAAAGCACTTTGCGCACCGGCGATCTCAGACACAGGGAATATCCCAGATTCTTAGGACAAGTGCGAACCACGCTTTATCTACGTTGCAATTATCGTAGCCTTACGTGATGTCTTTGTACGAATTTGTTGAATAATTGATTCAACACCACAAATCATGATACGATCATGCGAGCGAATATCTGTTTAAATATAAGGTTGATATCTGCACGTTTCCTAGTTCATTTGGACTACACAATGTGAAATGATGTTGGGGAAGGAAAAATTCTCAGAACATTGGCGAAATCGAGCGTTTTATTGATAAAAAAAACTTGTCCATTGTTTAGTATCCCCCAGCGTGACGCCTTACTTGACTGACTGATCGCCCTGCCTTGGAACTTAACTCTTTCACATTTATGTATTTCAAAGCGATGATCTAAACCATATTTAATCAATATTGGCTGATGGAGGCGTATTTACCGCCACTTTATCCACGAAGAACAATTTTGAAAACGCCAGCTCGTATATATGACTTGCTTGGTTGTCATTTTCAAATAATATATTGCATGAGCTCAATAATAAATTCGCTCCGAGGGGAGTGTAAGGAGGGTCTGATATAGCTGACACGTTACACGGCTGACATGCATATATGCAGCATATATGCACAATAATTCAATTTCAGTCTTGTGAGTAGTAATTTTTGTATGTATAGATATTTGGAACTCATTTCTTCTGTGAAAACCGTGATGATGCAAATTTATAGTATCCTTCGTTGAAAACAACATAATGTTGCTGTAATATATGCATACACACTAGTGTTTATCTGCATGTCTTAATACTGATTATTCCCAAACAGCATGTATGAAATTCTAAAAAGTTCCAACTCATTATTTTTATCTAAGAACTTCACCCAAGCTGTTGATCTATGCCATATTTGACAAGATGTAAAATTCGACAGGGAGCCATAAATGTCTGTAGGCTATAGTGTCTTCAAGCATTTTAACCAGACATAAACAATACTATCAAAACACAGCCTTAACAGCCTTCCTGTATAGCGAAGGCGAAATTAGAAAGGTTTTCGGGACAGCGCAAATTATGCTGCGTGTTTCGAAATCGGTAGCTATCGCGCAAGACGCTGTTCGTCCGCGTTGCCTGTGACATGGCGTTATATGAATACTTGTTCGTCTTGCTAAAATATACATGACAACGCCCTGTATGGGGCAACGGGTCTCATGTTCTTGAATGAAACTACTTCACTTTAGCACTTGCCTCGATCTCTAGTGCGCATGTAGGGGAGATGTTTAACATACAGTCATGCATCCTTCTCCTGACGGCCGGCAAATGAATATATAAGTAATTAATCCATCCTTCATGTTACTTGGGCGTTATATATATACCAGTGAAGAATTTGCCTCGTTAACCTAGTTCAGATCACTTGGATGACAACCATAGGCAAATAATGACCACATTTGGGTTGTTCGGCTTTCTAATAACACTGCAAAATCATCGGCGTGACAAGACAACCACGAATATAAGTGCTGATGTTAAACGTTTAAAAAAACATTTTGTTCATATCGAAATTCTGCAATGTATTGTGTGTACATAGACTCTTTCAAGTGCCGCTAATGTCAAACGGTTTTCATTGTCAGCAGACAAGTGTAACTCTTCGAACAAGTTTATGACCATGTATTCCATCCCCTGCAACCGGTCGTAACATCGTGACTTGTGTCAGATAAGTTTCTACCACATTTAACAATTTGACAAGGTGTCGAGAGATGTGGCGGTCATTTTGTATGCGAAGAAGCAATTTTTTTACAATATTTTATGGGCGACAGATTCCAGGCACCATTCCAAATAATATTTCCCCAATTATTAGGAAACACGCGCGTCTATATAGCTATATGACGCCAAGTTTGCAAGCAAGCCCGGTCGTGACAAAAAGCAAAAGTTGTTAATGCATGTTTGCAAACAGTTTAATGTTGTTTTCTTTGTGTTTTAAAAGCAATGTTCTGGAAATCGTATATTTTTCCATATTCACTGTAAAATGAAGCATTGTCAAATCCATTGTTAAATAACTGCATGGCGGCAAACATATTCATGCATGCACTTTTTTAAACAGGCGAGTAGATCGAGGGAGGGTCAGTTCGCTTAAAAAACTCTTTATATATGGATCATGCGATTGTAATATATTATTAATTAGAATCGTTTACAGGTGCTAAATGTTTCAATATTTGGACAAACTTTTCTATTTAAATTTTAGACCTCGAAGTCTTAGGAGATAGGATAAATTTTGCGATTGAAACTGGCACAAAATACTTACAGGAACATTCGTAAAAAAAATGCATATATACTTTAATTCATGGGAGGAATTTTCTTGAAAACTGAGAGTCAACAATCTGCATATAAACATGTCAAAAATGACGATATAGGTTGCATGTACATGATATATCTAAATTGTCATTCGTCTGCATGATTGTTACAGAATTAGATTCAATTTATTTAAAAATTTAAAGTTAACTATTAACTATATATACGTATAAAAATATAATTGAATCGTCAGTGGATTGCTGTCATGGATAGCGCTTGCTGATTGCCTTGACACAATTTGTGTCAATGGGTAATTTAAGACGTAATTTCTCATGGAGAGAAGCATCATGCACTCCTGTGACTTTGTCGAAAGAACATAAGAACTTATATGTGCTAGTTTTGTTTCCAAACACTCGCCCGAACAGATACGCTTGGTCTGAGAACTATATGTGCCTTCTGGGGCCGATTGTTTGAAAAGGCGTTTAGCTTAAACTGTGCATGGATATAAGTTCAAAATGGAAAACAAAATTATCTATTTATTGAACAACTGCGCTGAAATATTTCGATTTAAATAGTTTAATTGTCAAGGAAAGTACATATTTAATGCATAAGATACAGATTCAGGCATTCACAAGATCTACTATAGAGTATTTTTAAACTTTGGTTTATCCGCCGTTTAAGCTAGCTAAACGCCTTTCGAACAACCCGGCCCCAGAACCAATCTATTACAAAGGCTATTGGGTTAAATCAACATTGCACATTCACTGACCACAGGTATGCTTGGACTTTAAAATGCAAACGTTTTAATGCAAGATATCACACCTCCAGTCCTCGAAATGTTTTGATATTTCATTACACGCTATCCGAATCGAGATATCCTAGCGAAGCGTTCAGCAAGGCATTGCCGTTTAGCGAAGTTCGTCCTCCGTTAATCCCTCGGGGATGAATACAGCAAGCGGTCGTGACTGAAATTTATAGATCACGCAATATTTCGTAACGATAACCGGTTTTCTTTGTTGAAAAATGCTATACCTTTAAGGTAAAGTTAAGTTGGTGCATGTTTGCTAGCTATATTTTGTGGCAAATCTTTCGCTACTATTACATGATGAACATAATTTATATATATACTGCATGTATATGCCGCTTAATTAATTTAGACCTCCTATAACCGAGCCTATAACAAACGAATTCGAGTTGTGATATTTCATGTGCGATCGTAGCCGGAAGGTCCGACGTAACTTGTCGAATTTGGCGGCTAAAATATAGCTGTTCACACAGTCTATAAAACATTTCTCGTAATTCTCGCTAAAGTGAAAATCGATGCAGTGTTTGCACAGAAAGCACGTTTCATATTTCACAGCAGGCACGCGTTTTGCAAGATGTTGTTACAAGATGGCGTTTTCAAACATAATATTGGCAACTTTATACTCTCCGATCACTCAAGATAAAATCTCTTTCCTCGCGTTTGTGTGAGTGACTTGCCACACGATGCAGAGTACAAACTGTGTACGATTTTCAGTACACACGCGCTACGCAGAAAGAGCTTTGAAACTGGTCATTAGAATTCGATTTATTAAAATAAAACGATGTTTATTTGAACATTATAAGGTGATTGACCATGCATGCATGCATCGTTATTCGTTGTTGAGGTAACGCTTGGTATTTTACCCATGAAATCCTACACAATTAGTTCCTACTGATGGGCAGAGGTAACGCTGCATGCTTACTAGCAACCGTACTTGACTCAACTGCCGTTGTATTGCATGTGTGAAATATATAATCCCATGGCCATGCACAAGACCGATATAAATGGATAGATACGAGAGTTTACCTCGCGGTGAAACATGATACGATCAGTCGAAAAGATCGGCAGCGACCTGCTAGTTTGTCGTTCAGTAACACAAATATTTTCGCGTTTTTGGCAAATATATGTTACATAATCGGCGAGTTTGTGGTGCGAATGAAGTTGTCGTGTGTTTTGAAACAATGTGCGTTGACATTTGTTACAACAGCACGATATTTTTTGTTGCGTATACGAGGCACCTCGGTAAACCTTTCGGCGTCCGTTTGCATGTCTGCTTAGTTTAATTTTAGGATTAGACAGAACGATAGCACGGTTCTCCACACGGGCAGTAGAATTTTGACAAGAATTCTCATTGCTGAGGACAGTGAATTTGAGCGAACTCGTGCTATCCATTTTACTTCTCGAGAGAATTAGAGCCATTATCTGGACGTTAAACGAAGGAAGTTACATTGAAGTTTACACTAAGCCGAGGTACTCCGTACTTGCTAAGCTTTTCAATTATCAACGGTGTTAACATAGATTGATTTGTATGTATATAGTTCTAGGTTGTAACATTCAGAATACTACGGCTACTATATCCATAAAGCGAGCCGGTATAGCCATAGGGTATATAAATATATTATATATATATATCTATATATCTTGCAAGAATGGCCTACGTCGATAATCATAAGCTATATAAGACAGACTTACTCTTTTTTAGCGTTCACCATTTTCCCGATATTCCTTGCTTTGTTTTTCTTTCTAAATTTACAATGCGCGCTTCGACATCCAAGCACAACTTGTGTTGAATAGTGGCTGCTCTATCGTCACAGGCTGCTCTGTGTTTTCCTCTTCCGTGAGCAGTTTTGAGTGTGACTGTGGCATCCAATCTACGTACGTCGTTTATACTGTAATGACGTCACGATGACGCCAACGCATTTCTCAGACGTATGAAATTTAATACCCCGGCACGTAGCATTTCTTCAGGGCGCTATTACTGCTTGAGAAACTCCCTAGTCCGAATAATGGGAGGTTTTCTTAATGCTGTGTGGGTGTTTATGAAGAGTGGATTTCAAGGTTCCATGCAGGAATGAATAATAATAGAGCCGAGTATCGATGTGATAAAACCGACACTTCAAGTCTTTGTAATTAACCGCGGTTCTGTCCATATGCCAGAGCGAAGCAAATCCTTGTGACAACAGCAGATCCCCATGTAAACATTCAGGTTTTATACTAACACTCGTTAACTTTTTCCAATTAAAGTGTTCTTCGTAGAATTTTGTTTCAACTAGAGTGCTTTAGCAACACCTGTATGTATGTATATATTCATTGAGCAGTGAGCTCATTGATCTAAAATCTGCATCTTTTGACACACAAAGGTGTCAGTGGAAAACTTCTTTGGAGTTCATTGGTCTTAGCCTGTCCAAATTTCAAAATCTGCGAAGTAAAGCATGCAGCATTTCAATCGGCTCCATATTTTTGTAGTCGTTTTTGTGTGTTGAACATGTCAGAATAGTTAACTTGAATAAACCTGCTTTTATATCCTATACAGTGCATGAGAAAAAACGAAAACCAGTTTCCTCCAGAAAATATGAGAACATCCATATGTACATACATACGGATTGTACACATCCGAGACACGTCGATTAGCTTATTACGGTCTTTAGAAAACCATTTTTTAATGGTAAACATCCTATACGGATGATAGCTTTAAGCCTTTTACACGCTATGCTAATCACCCCCACCCTAGTTGACATGTGTACATCCACTCGTAATTATGAAAGATCTCATCGGCATTACATGTGAATTCCTGAAAAGTGGGCATGTGCTTGACAGTTATGATTTATGAGAATTGTTGAATTTTGAGAAAATAAAAAACGTGGGGTTAAAATACCATTGAACCGATGACGGTGTTTATATGATGGCTCATTATAGTTTTCAGGAATACTTTTTCATATTTTTTCATATTTCCTAAGGCCAAGAATTAATGATGATGAAGTACTTGTTCAACACATCGAATTTATCAGTTCTCAAGTCCATTAATAGCAGCGTTTATTGAGTGATTCATGTATTTTTTCGCCGTTTCGTAAGGATACATCTTGATGTGAATGAACACTGGCAATTTTGGCACTTATATACAGTACATGTAGATAAGAATCATTATTTTCACACTCAGTTGCCTTCTCGAAGGTTGGATTTTAAGGATCGAGTGGGGATCTTTCATGGCTAACGGCAATGCCGTTCTATAGCGGAATCAAACTCTGCTTTTCTGCGAGTTGAATATCATTGCCTGATTAACTAGTTAGTGCATGTGGTGAAAAGCGAATACAAAACACGCAGTGTCAACATGACGGCAACGGTTTTGAGCGGATTAACATTTAAGATGATGGATTATTAAAACCCACACGACCTGCACAATCTATCTCGTAGAAAATGTCGTGTATGTAATTGTACTGTCAGTCTCACAACATGGTGTTAGTCGTTTCCGCCTTAGTCTTCAGTACTAGACTTCGTCAAGTACCAGCATCTCAAAGCTGTCTCCGAAATAAGTGTCACATGCAGAAAACTGACCAGCCACTTCCTCAAGGATCGAAAACGATGTTAAGTCTGAACACACCAACGAGAATATCATATCCGCGTCAAACTTGCATGCCAAACTATCCACAAAGATGACTCGTGATTAGCCGAAGTTAAGGACCCTTGTGCTCAGTTCTATCCAGCGAGACAATGAAATTCAGTATATATATTATATTGCCCACGCATTCATCATTAACAACAACTATGGCAGTATAGCCAGTAGTATACTTATCCTCCGTTTCCAAAATTTTTATACAACATTACACAGACGCTCACGCGAAAACATGTTTTAGAATGTATACTATTCAATTTATATAGTTTATGTAAAACTTATTCTTTCTTATATTCTTTTTCAACAAACACTTGAACAAACACTTGAAAACTAACTGACTTCTTTGTCTGGGGAGTTTCTCGTGCGCGCGATGGTTAACGGAAACCCTGACATTAGTATGGCTCTCATAGATAACACATGCAAATCCATGACACATGAATGCATGAAACCAAATGCAAATCCCGCAAATGTCATTCTGATTTCTGACACCAGGTGAAATGCATTCTCGTTGTGATCATGCTAGAAAGATTCAATGATCTATAAGTACTTTTTTTGTACATGCAGATCATTCGATAACAACACACATCGCGCATGCTCAGGATTGTCGTTTCTCATTCGGGTATATATAGTTTCGGTATCAACTCAATGATGTCTGCCTGAAGATGTCTGTAAGTTAAGAAGAAACGTTATTTTCAAATATATATTCTTATTACACTCAAATTGTGCAAATTGACTTTGTATGGCTTTACTAAAAGCACTAAGACTTTAACATTTATATTCCCAATGTATAGCTACATATATATGAATCTTTCAATTTCCGGCAAAATTCAATCTTACTATTACTGCAAACAAAGCAAAATTTTCACTGAGCTTTCGACTATAGATTTGTGGACATATCGTTACCTCAACAACCAGTATTTTCTAAGCTATATTTATCAGTACATATTGAAAGCTCTGGGATATAAATAATGGTAATTGACTTCGAAGAAGCTTATAACAGCTTGGCTTTCTTCCTCTTACAACTGAGTTTATTTGTGTATGCAACAATTGTCTTTGTGGCATTCCTGTTTGCAATGTGCATGCATGCCGAATTAGTGAAGAGAAAAAAAGGTGAAGTTCAGTGGTCTTACAGAAAACACGTAATTAACGTCTTAACTCGTGTGTATACACCTAGGTAAACGAATGTCAATCAAAGCAGGGATTTCTTTGTTCACCTGAGCTTTGTTGGGAAGAACCTCGTGTGTGCGGTAAAGTTACTTTACATCCATAGCGGTTTTAATAATACTTGAGCCTCGAGGCCTTTCTTTCTATACGTGCACAGCTCCCTAATGATGACGAACTGTATGGAATTTCACAGGGCCAGATTTCACAGTAAAATGTGTAATCTGTTTGATAATACCATATCATCAACTCCTATATACTTTTTTTACTTCCTGGGCGTTAATATATGTCATATTTTGCCGGTGTGGGGAGATCAGCCAGGCAGCTGCTATGCGTATGAACAATTGAAGTGATTGAACTCATTGCCATGCACGGTGGACGGTGGTCATGTGTTGAATGCTGACTTCCCACTCCAATTTATCAACCTGTCGTTACGCTTGTCTCAAAAGGTTATTTATACGTTTCGAGTTGTTTTTAAGAAGGAAAAAAAGCCCTAGATAATGATTATCATCAATAGAATTCTATTTAATCTAAACTGCGACTGATCATTTGATTCGTCAGTGAATGCATGACCGGCTTATCTCAAGCTTCATGTCGATGTTTAAAACGTTTTGACTGAAATTATAATATTACAACGTATAGCGGAAGCAGTATTTCACAATATGCGGAGACATATTAAAAAATTTATATTTGTGCTATGATAGCTTAACTTACTTTAGAAATTGAATTTTATAGATCACTAAGTACAACTTCATCAGTCATCGAAATATCTTGACTTTCGGTGACAGAATTCTTAGAAATTGTTATGCGTCTAGACTTGGCGTTTGTCGTAAATTGCATTGCTTGAAAAAAATTATAAATACACCTGACAAATTTATGCGGAGGCGAGGAAACGCCAGTATGCGTGGGTCGCTTGTCACGTTTACCTTTTTAAAAGTATTTCTCAAGCGTCGACCATGCATATACAAGAGTAACACGTTACTCTGTTTTAAAACTATAATCTATTATAGTTTTAAAGTAGTTTTATATATTTGACATACGAACTTGTTTACGGAAATGACCGTCTGTCTTGGGTAGTGTTTTCCTTTTCGGACTGAATGTTTTCGACCGGTTTATCAGGATATAAGCACGCTGCATCCAATATTGGAACATGCACGCTCGCGCCCATTTGCTGCAAAGGAGTTATTTCCGTTCAATCAACGACTTTACACTTATATCCGCATAGCGAACTCAACTATATCTATATGTACCAATATAACCACATTTGATGCTATTTCAGATCAGTGATATCAATATGTACACTTTCTTAATTTTAATTTTATACAAAATATCATTCATTTTCGGTCTGGTTTATGATCAGGGCCGTAGCTAGACCGCTTAATTGGGGGGGGGGGTGTATATTCATATATTCCTGTTTATATACGGTAGGAACAATAGTGCACATCATAACTCCAGTTGCCTCTCAACGCCAAAATTGTAAAGAATTGCTTTTCCGTTTCAAAAATTAATTGGATAAATATTCCACACCTATAAGTATCACGTTGTATACAAATTATTTTTAAATGTCTTTTTAAGCAATTCAGTTAACTTTTTTTTATATGATATGGACAGCAATTACTGTCGTTAAGTGAAGTATTAAGAATTTGTAGCTTTTGATTTCATGGATCATTATGAATACAGAGAAGCTTTATGGTCTGTTCACACGATCCAATTTTGTCAGATCCAATTCACTTCTGATGGATGTTTTATAGTCTGTTGCTTTGCAAAGTATATATGGGTATCAAATCAACTAAAACTAATGCAGAACTGCTTTATCAATAACAAACTATATTCCATACGTCAGACGTGAATTGCATCCGACAAAGTTGGATCGTGTGAACGGGCCTTTAAGTATGACCAAAGTAGACAAAGTAGTCCCTAATCTTTTAGTATAAACCATTGCCCCTATAAACTATCACGACGAGGCTATTCCGTTTTAAGTTCACCGTTATTTATCTCTTCGAATCTATGCGTGGTTTCCGCAACAACGTACTGAATGAAGTAGTTCGGAAGGTCTTATGTTTACGGCACACCATGCTTGACTTTCAATATCTCTGCATGGGGCCGCGAGTCAATACAACCCCGCAAGCCAGGCCTTTTTTTGAAACGTAGCAAGTCAATGTATATTGAAATATTGGCAACAGTCAGCGATGAATATATCGAGTTGTTGATTGCGCGATGCTGGTGACCACCCAATTCATCGGAAACCGTTTTCGAGTCCATTTCAGGCATTTCTTGAAACGTAGTGAGTCAATGTAGGATGAAATATTGGCAACAGTCAGCGATGAATGTGTCAAGTTGTTGATTGCGCAATGCTGATTGCCCAATTCATCGAAAATCGTTTTCGAGTCCATTTCTTACTTCGCTGTATGTGAAGATGCCGTAGTTTTGGTTTTGGTCGTCCAGCCGCGTGTCCGACGTTCGGTCACAGGCCTCACCCGACGCGAACGGCGGCGGATGAGCCGAGCTGCGGCGATACGGAATGTGGAGTTGCTGAGCGTATAGATGAGCGGATTGATGGCGTTGATAGCGACAGTTGGAACACCAACTTTATAAAACAAAGCAGCATCGATGTATCGTATGTCGGTCAATATCATAGCGAAGTAGACAATCTCTGGAAGCAGAGAGACGGAGAATAGCACTGTTATCAACAACAGTAGACGCACCAATTTGCTTGTTTTTCGCCGCGCCAAAAGCTCGCTTTGAGGATTACCTGCCGTAGCTAGGTTCACCCTGCGATTCCGTCTCCTCATGTGCATTATAATTTTGACATAGACCACGGTTATGACGATCAAGGGAATGATGTAAGCACAGGTCAATCCGACCCAGCCAAGAACCATTTTCCACTGTGGCCAGTCTTCTGCGTTCGGACGTAGAAAGCAGTAATATGTTGTCTTGTCCATTTCCATTTGTTCCGATATAATTGCGGGCGCTACTAAGCTGCTGATCCATGCAAAAACCACAAAATACGTGAGTCGTTTTGGGGTCATATTCCGATGCACAAGAGGTTTAACGATACCAAAATAACGTTCCAGTGCAATCGCAGTCAACGTCACCACGGAAAGGAGGATACAGAAATAGATTATCGTGGTGAAGAGACGACACACTATCTCTGCAAATAAGTCGGAGATGCCACCTGATTGGTTGACGGATAATATGATAATGATCTTTGCGATTGAAAATATATTCGAGATGAGGTCGGCTGCGGCAAGATTTAGAAGTAACTTATTGTAAATGGTATGAAGTGTAGGGTTGCGCGCCATCACTGCGATGGTTATCCCGTTGCAAACGAAACCAATCACTGCTATAAGACCGTAGCAAATAAGCACTGGAATATCCGAGGCTTGGATTTGCCGATGAGCGCTAGTCTCACTGGATGTGTTGTGCGCTATGGGCAGCCAGTTTGTCTGATTATGCGGCAGTGAAGTGAATGCCATCTCTTCTAGTTTTTCTCAGCTTTTACAGCATTAATCTTCGTTTATTTTAACGCTTTTACACAGATATTACTTTTTAAAGTTTACCTTTTCAGTTTTCACGTGGACGTGTTATCCAAGTATAACAACACACAAGTTTTCGTCAGATGATGACGAGGTTACATAATTCAACTCCTTTTTATCTTCTAGTTGTCGCCCTAGAAGATGACGATATATTTCACGACGAATTTTCAAGTCCTCTTGGTGACATGCAGGGTAGGTGTCCTTCGTTTTTCGGCTGTAATTTTAAACAAAAATCAAACTCAGTAATTACACTGTAAGATGACGTCGCTTTGCAGTGAATTTCTTATTTCTTGACACTCTTGCTTTAAATCCCCTGTTTCAGTCCAAAAAAAAGCGGCCGCTTCCCAAAGAGAACGAATTTATTAAGGCTCCGTCTTTAGAATGCTTTTGAGACAGCTTCGCAGACATTTTACGACGATTTTTTTTATGTGAATGTCAGCATAAGCTTTTGGCACTGCTGTAGAAGGGGTCGGTCGACGGTCACATAAAGAGTTATTATAACTTAAACAATTGTCGCATAATTACCGTGGAAACGAGGTTCATAAGTGCGGAACCAATCAAAACGCTTCTAACAACATCGAGCTATGTTTAAATGATATACTGTCACATATCCTTTGCGGTAGGCTTCTTAACAAGAAATACTTTGTTACATGCAGGATAATTAAAAACATCGATTTTAATAATAACGAGATATAATCTCAATAATTTTATATAGTCTGTACTTCTTTTTCTATTAAGATTTAATACTTTGTACTTCTTTCTCTATTAAAATTTAATATGGTTTTGTAGACTTCTTTTTTAAGGTGCATTCACTTCATAAACCGAAAGAAACTATTTGCGATTTTTATGAATATTACAGGTGTCTTCAGACAATTGACTGACCGAACTTAATATATCTCACCGCCTCTTTGATATTTGCTTTATAATCCTAGATATATTTTTCTATGATTTAATGAAAAATGCGAACACTTTATGCACTTACTTGATAATAAAAACCATCCCATGTATGTATGTTACACGGTATATACTTCATCTGTCTTTGAGAAACATCATGGCAGGTGCAAACGTTAATAATGGTTGCCGTTAGTCTGACGAATGAGCAGTTATATTGCAAGTGTACGCAGTGATTATACTCTGTAACATCTTATTGCATGAATAACAAATGTTTGCTGTGAACAAAGAAATCCAGTATTTCAAACTCCCTCATTCAAAGAGTGTCTTTTCAACTATATGTTAATTATTCCTCGAACATTTCTAACAAACATCATTATGAAAAAAGATTATTCCGCCTCGTTATCTGGATTTTAGATTAGGCAAAATATAACTTTTTCAAAAGTATTGAGGCAGATCTGTTTTGTATAGCGTTAATTTCTACACAAACATAATGGGTCTGTTTTACGTGTCCTTATTGCATGTCAACTTGTGTCGATGCCATATGAATTTCAGTTAAATTCGTGCAGTGAATGACAATTTAAATTAACTATGTTTCAAAATGCCTTCTGATTGCGTTGGTTTATCAGTCAGTTTAATCAGTTAAGTTCATTTTGAAAACTAATGTGTCAATCAGTTTTATCACTTTTATGGATTCTAAGCGGCCAAAATAGTCAGGCCGGCAATATTTTGAACTGAAGTAGAGAATTTCGTTAAAAATATAGCCATGTAAACGTGAATATGGAGTTATTGAAACACTCTAAAATACTGTAATATGTCTCAGTACTGAAATACAACAGTACCGGTCTAGCCGTTTTTAACGTATAAATGAAAGCGACCAATGTCTCAAAATCTTCTAATGTCTCGTAGAAACAAAAGTTCCTCAATCGAAAAAACGTCTCCTGGTTACTATAGCTTATCATTTTCAGTTTTATCAAATGGATGTTTTGCCATTTTAACTTCTCTTTACCCAGCGAGATTTTGACCGTAGTAAAGGATCTTCATTTTCAGGTTGTATTTCATTTTTCTGTCGAATTTTTGTTGTCGGCAAACCCAGTATGTCTTCTGAACCAAAAAAAAACATAGAAATCATGCACTTGTACTGCCGAGGCCAGGAAATGAAGAATATTAGGTTAATTTACTCACCCAGGTTTCTTTGCGTAGTGCATAGTTCCCTGCAGGTGATACGATTCACAGACACTTTAACAATGTACCACAAGCCTCTGCGGTACTGTCTTCGCGTGAGAAGATATATCCATGGATTACATAGGGTGTGAAGGGTGACCAGCCGATATCCTATCATATCCCAACAGTTGTTGAATGGATGACCAGTTTGAATCAGGATCACTCTAATCTATGGTTTAAAGATGTGATTTGTAAAAAGACTTGACATTCTTGGGTTACAAAAAATCGCCTATACTATCGTAGTCTGCAAAGCACTGCGATATTCGCTCTGGAGGCTTGGGGATAGCTTACCATAAACAGAGTCCAACAAAGTAGAAATAACGTCATCACAATCATACTTAATTTCAAGAATTGGCATTCATCAGTTGTGCAAACACTCAAAATCGACCCCATTTCCTCGTTGTCTACACTCGGTTGTCGTTCTCTGGATCGGTTGAGCATCTGGAAGCTTTTCCACGAGACTGCTGCATTGCATAAGACAATGATCATCGTGCAGAACAGCAGAAATGCCAAATTTGTATTTAAAGTGATTTTTCCTCCCAAGTCTTTAGGGTTTAATTCAATGGTGCAAAATGTCCCTGGATACTGTAAGACACGTCTCCCTGCTCCAAAACTTGGTAGGAGACTAATAATCATGGCGAAACAACAGAATAGGAGAAGCGTGAATGATAGCTTTTTGCAGTTGAAGACAGAGTTTGCTTTGTAGAAGAAAGGTGTGAACAAGGCTAAATATCTGTCAAAACTCAAACAAGTCACAAGGGTTATTGACATGAGGTAAAGAAAGTTGAGCGTGGCGCCCTGGAAGTTACACAGCGGCGCGTGCGCAATACTAAGACCGCTGAGATAATTCAACAGTGCCGGCCCAAAACCTAGGATGATCGTCAAGAGGTCAACACATGCCAGTATGAAGATTAAAGCGTTCGGTACGGTTTGACGTGATCGTAACACCTTCGCAAGTATCGCTATGGAAACGACGTTTCCAAGAAAACCAATGACGACAGTTAACAAAAAAGATATCCCCAGTATCAACTTCAGGCCTGAGCTAGGCTCTGGAGGAATCTCAAAACTGCTTACACACATTGCTTGCTCCTCGCTTGAGTCAAATGAACTCTCAATATGAATCCCAGTCTGAGTCAGATGTCAGCTTGACAACACGTCTGTCAATCTGTGTCACTTAAAACTGGTCGTATCAATAGTTGAAATCTCAATTTTAGGTTTTCTAGTGCCTAGACACTATAATTGCTAGGCAGACTAGTTTGTCTAATTCACGAGTTCTTGGTTATCTAGTACAAACATGCCTTCATCTTTTAATGATCCACTGATTTTCCCTTTGCTGACGGCGCAGATGAACTTCAGATGCCAAGTCAGATATGTTTACAAATAAACAAGCTATGTATTTATAACTTTAGTTTATTTTAAAGACCAAACATTACAACGACAAAGACAAAACAATTTTGGTTTCAATTTTAATCTATTCACTTGGCGTTATCAGGTCCGAACAGGTTGTTGACTGAAATCAGTTTACTAATTTAGAAACTAAATAATCCTGTAATCATTCTCCCTATAGATGATATTCTTATGTATAGATTGCTTCTTGATAAAGAAATATTGCTTGCATGTAGAAGGACTGTATACACAACTGCAGAAGCAATGGAAAACAAGGTTTGCGCTTGCTGGCGTAATGACTTGGGCTCTGCTTAATGAAATCGCTCTCTAATGCCTCAAAGCTAACTCAGTCGCGTTTCAAAGTGAAATTAGACGGTACAATTGTGATTTTTAACCAGATTCAGTTGAAAGTCGATGAAATCGATCAGACATTGTAACTCTTTTTCAATAAAATACTACGCTTTGCGACGGACACCCCCGGAATTCCAAGTCAACACCGGCAATGAGATACCATCGGGGTTATAGAGTACCCCGAATCCGAATCCCCGATATCTTAGAGACTAGTAACTGTGTTGCTACAACAAATGTAGCAAATTATGGCTGTGTTTATTTTGTTCCTTCACTTCCTTGTAAGATAAAAAATATACATTGCTCATTTTTCTACAAAATGGATGACAAATCTATTAAGATTAGATCAACGAGAGAGATCATTGGACCAATATTTTGGATTAAGGTAAGTTTTTTAATTGAGTATTTTTATTCACTGGTGTGCGTAGTAACCGTAGTATTGTTCAATAATGTCACCATTTATATTTTTGACAGCTGGTTGGTCTTGGTAGTGAAAGCGTTGGTAAAACAAGTCTAGTTCGAAGTTTTTGCGACAAAAAGGTATGAAGTGTGTGTAGGGTGTTTTTATATCATTGATCTTCATTCTTCAAATAGGCTAGGTTTAAATTGATTCTTAAATATCATTTTGATAGTTTTCAAAGTCGTATCATGCAACTGTTGGTGTGGATTATGGTAACATGAGTTTATTAAACATCATTGAATACACTCATCCATAGATTTGACACTTAGTAACTGTTTTATCTCCATCAAGGTTTCAAAATTCACGAATTGGAAGGAGTTGAATGTAAGATATCAAAATACATGTATTAGAAGTATGCTGTATGTATATATGAAGAACCTGCTTGGTTTTATTTTTAGATCGAGTGAATTTCTGGGACTTTGGAGGTGACCCAGATTATGAGTTGATTCGAACTGAGCTTTATAGAGATACACAGGCAAGCTTGCATGATAAACTCATGACAAGCTATATATAGCAAGCAGGGAAACACTGGTTTAACCGGTTTGATTTCAATAGGGTTGCATGCTCATATTTGATGTGACAAGCAGGACATCTTTTGAGAAACTGGATGGCTGGCTTGAAGAGTTTTACGACAATGGTGGAAAAGGAGCTGTTGTCATTGTTATCGGTAATAAGGTGAGTGAAATCTGCGGTTGAATTGCACATTTCTGCCATATGAACATCTTTCTAAAGCAGGCATTTGATTTTCCAAACATAGATCATTTCAAATAGGAAATTCTCTATAGACACCTCTCTAATTGAGAAGATGTACCCTTCTCCAGTATAAGCATATCTCTAGACACACCTTTAGTATGGACATATTCTAATCTTAACACTTTATTATGGACTTAGTGCGATAAACTGAACCGACAGATCAGTATTGAGGAGGGGAAGAAATGGGCTGAGCAGAATGGTTGCAGTTATTATGAAACATCAGCAGCCTCTAAATCAGGTGTCAAAGAGTTGTTAAATGGTCTGTTGACTGCAATTGTAGAAAGAAGACTTATAAAACCAAAATGGATTGGTGATGAAAACAAACCGAAATAGTGTTTTGTATAAAAGCTTATTGTAAATACATACATTAACCAATTGCCAAATTCTTGTTCCAAGAGCTAATTTTTATAGCACCCAGCAACACAAATGGAGCAATATTAATATGGCCTGACCTTACTGAAAGCACGACAAGACTAATGAGAACAAATTCAATTAATTTTAATAGCTATTTTATACATAAAAAACATAAATATTTTTACATATTATCTCTTTGAATATTCTTTTTAATAGGCAGTTCTATGGTGGTGTTGAATGGTTAGTAATTGCATGAAGATAGGGTGCCAATATCCTTTTACAGCCGGTAAGATTGTCAGCAAAGCACTTTGAATTGTTCAGATATTTTTGAGGTGTACAAACTAAGCAACTCTGATAAGACATCTTGTCTTCATTTTGAGCACTCATATCCATTCTTAGTATTATCCGGGCATATCCGTCATTTTAAAATATTTATTTCGGAACTGATCATGAATCATCCGAGAGTGTTCATTAATGCTCACAGCATCATCTTTCTAAAGAACAAGAAATAGACCTTTAAATTAAACCGTAAAATCAACTGCCAATTGCTTTGGTTGCTTCTATATTCATACCTGTGGTTCTCTGATCTTTTCCATCGTTATCAATTGTCTGGACACATTCGCTGATAGATTCTGTTCACTGACATATAATAACTTTAAACATGGATGGAGTGGAATATTTTGCAAAGAAAATCTACCAAAATATCCAAGGAACATTTTACTACATCGCTAAATTTCCATATATTCACATAAACAGGAAATATGCTGCTAGCAAATCAATGTGTGTTCTTGTGGAAGTACTTACGTAGATCTATGAGTCGGTAACCAGAACACAAGGCGACCATGCAATACAAGAAATGCAACAGCAAATTCCAATAAATTGAAAATTGCATCTGAGAGGAGACAACTTTGCGTGGATGGCAACTTAAACCTATGGAAGCAAAAATCTTGCACACAAAGATTCTATCGATCAGAGCATGCAAATACTAAGGATCAAAGGATCAGAGCAAATTAATTGTTTTCGAAATTGTTACCCTTCAATTTCCTCCTCAACTTCATTGTTCTGATCACCAACTGCTTTTGCCAATTTTCTGCTGCCTTCTCTTATGCCATAAGGAGCTGAGAGAAAGAAAGGGAACATTTAAACAGCTATCGTCATTTAATTGAAGTAAAATTAGTCTCTAAAGAAGATGCTGAACATTTTGCAAAGCAAACTTACGATCAGTAACAATGGCATCAAACATTGGACATGGTCTTAAAGCAGTATTCATTTGATCTCCCATCCAAACATCGATGTAGCGATGAAGAAGGCTGTACATTTTAAAGTTCAACCTGACACTTTCATCTTTTCCTAATGAAATGTACACATAATTGGCATTCTGACCACTATAGTGTATAACTACAGAGAAAACTAAAGCTGCTGGTGAAGACAATGTTCAACAAAGACAGTATGTTTTATTGTCATTGATGCCAAACATTGCCCAGTCATACATATTAATGATCTCTATAGGCTGATTAACTTTACCTCGCCATTTTCCCTTTGCTTGTGCTCTCGATGGATGGCCTGGAAACAAAAGATGTTGTTCCTGTTATAAACCTTGCGTATCCTGCCTACATGACTGGATAACTGTCATCACCTCGTCCAAGCAGTAAAGTTCTGTCAATATCACTACCGCAGGAATATGAGCCAAAATGAGAGCAAGCAACCAGAATACTTCCTAAAAACATCTTGATTTAATATACAGGTTTTGCTAACATAAAAACTTAGGTAACAATTCAACACCAGGAAATGAAACAAATGGAATGGGCATGACAGAAATATTTCTCAAATCCAAGTCTCATGCAAGGTGATCTTTGAGTATATGCAGTACTGATCAGGATGAAATCATTGCTAGTACAAGAGTAGCCTGCGCACAGACGTAATATACACGTAAAATTACGTCTGTGCGCAGGCTAGTACAAGAGTTAATTATAAGAACCATACCTGTTCCAACAAACGGATCATAAACTAAGCTGTCATCCTTACACTAAATAAGCAGTAAAAGAGTGCTGGGATTTGTTGTATAAAACTGGAGTTGAAGAATGCGACCATAGCTATCTACCTTTGCCATGTTTGCCATTAGAAGTGCTAGTTGAGCGTCCATTGATGTGTTGCCGATAAAATGTCTAGTCTTCAGGGAATATTTCTTAATCAGGTGACGCTGACCATTTGAAACCTGGAAGTTCAGGTAGACAAACTCAAACAGGATTGTACAATACCAGACATACTGGGAGTTGATATTAACACCAGACAGAATGAAGATTTGGTTGAAGTCATTATGTCAGAGAGTATATACTCTGATGTCTGCAGTTGAGCTAGAGTTTTCCACTTATTAAAACATACCAGTCTTCCAAAGAGAAGTTTAGTAAGCTGATGTAACATCTGTTCAGTGCTGAAGTCCAACAACAATGAAAATATTGTGCCTGGATTTCTCAGGTCAACTTCACCAGTATGAGGTAAAAATGACAAACTCTAAAACATAGAGAATTGCCAGCAAGTCAGCTGTATGAGTTGGACGTGAGTGAAGGTGGCGGCCGTTGGGTTGGTGTAACTGGATCATGCAAGCTAACATGTACATACCTCAATATAATGTAGTTTCTTCTCATGGCTTAATTTCTTGTTAAAACTTTCAACATTGATTTTAAAGGTATCATCAATCATTCCTTGAAGATACTAGCTTGAAAGAAATACTATATACAGTTGATATTTATGTGCTCAAGTTAGTGAAATAGATGTAAACTTGAATTGGCTTTAGATTTCAGGTCGAAATGTTTTACTCACAATGTCATTAACATTATACTGCTTCAGAATTTCAACCAATTCTTCTAAATTATCTGCACACCCATACAGTTTGAAAATTGATCTGCATGAGAAGCATATAAATTATTCCACAAAAAACACAATTGTACCAAAAAGCAGGGACTGTTGGGTGCTACACATTATGCATCACTGTAATTACTTGATTAATATCGATCTTGATGCAATCTGCTTGGCTGCTCCGTCATTTTCTAACTCAATGACAACAAATGGAGTCTGTGGAGAATAGATTTATCAACCAAAGTTGTTTATATCAATTATATAAAATATTCGTTTGAAATATCGTACTTGCCTCATTCTTCTGCTGCAAAGATTGCCATTGCTCATCAATTGAGATGTCAAAAAGCGAGCAGATTGAGAACAACTCCTACCAAATATTTTTTGATACTGTCATGACTCATGAGTGGAAACTGGTATTAAATTCAAAGAAAATTTCATAGAAACATTGAAGGCCACAGGCAGTAAATATTCATACCTCCAAGCGAAAATGTACGTGCTCTTGTGCAAAAACTATTAAATATTTTCGTAAATAGAAACGTTTTAAACTCCACTCCTCACTATTACTAGCTAAATCCAGATTTTCTTTCTGTTCCACCATTTTGAATTTGAGCGCGCATGAAACTGGAGCGATCACAAGAACAAGCATGAATTCGAAAAAGTTTAGGAAAAAAGTTTTCAAAACAAATTTGTTTGAAAATTAGTTTAATAACATCGTTTATTCTAGTACTTTACAACATTATGTACATGGGATTCAATGCAATGTATACTCTTTGTACATTTATATCAATATCTAATTACTAAGTTGAATATGGTGGAGGTGGTGTTATATCTTCATAGCTTGGTATCATACTGGCATTCATCTCTGTTGGTGGTTCTATATATAATCAGAAAAATATTTTCCTGTTTGAATCGTGATTACCAAAGCTTGTATCATACATCTAATATAACCAAGGAGCAACGTGGCAGCGTCTTCAAACAACTTAGCATCAAATGTCTATATGCTATGCACAAATAGTTATCATATCTCTGCCTAAGAAATCAGAATGCCTGTCTCATTGGTATAGTACTAACCACTCATTATTAGGTATGGCATCACTTGACTTGGTAAACATGGTGCACCTGGTTCCCCTGGCTGGGGTAATTGTTCATTTAAGATATCTTTGTTAAAAAACTCTTCCTGGGTTCTTGCAAATGATTCAACTGCAACATAGACAATTATGTGAGGTTGTGAGATGTTGGTAGATTACATGATGTGATTAGTTTGCAAAAAAAATCGCTACAAAAAAGTAGAATCACTTCCTACATTTTATCTGTTCGCGTGAATAAATTTGCCTAGTGGAGAATGGGCTTTATAGATGTGTTTGTCAGAAAAGTAAGAGAGAGGAAAGCAGTGATGACCCAAAGGTGGATATTTTCCTAACGTACGCAGCAGACTAGTAGAGTAAACTTTTCACTGATACCTTCATTCTCTGAAATCTGTTCTTCATATGCATCTAATATTAGGTTAAGTAAATGAAGTTGTGTTCTTCCACATACAATGAATGATTCACAGAAATAATCAAATGCATTTTCTCCTTTGGTCATAAGTATGTCAAGTAGTAAGCCCGCTTTCTTTCTTCGAGTCGTCTTTGCAGTGATTTCCTCACAGTCCTCTTCATCAAGAACTGTTTTCGATCTCAGAAAGTCAAAGTGTTTTTCTGGCTGCATATCTTGAACTAAGCTTTCTCGTAATTTCTCAAGCACCTAGCCATTAAAAAATCATAGTTTGTTTAAAAATGCCAGATGATTTTATTTAAAAGTGAAAGTTGACAGTTAATGGGTTAACAGAAGTGTGCCATAGCATAGATAAGTAACTAGTTAGCAACTTATTAACTAGACAAATCACTAACTTTTTTAAACCAGGAATATCTCAATAGTATTTTGCTGTCTGAAAGTCAACCCAAAATATTAAAATAGATTGTTTCATAATTACCTGAAATTTTATCTCCCTGTTCACCATCTTTATTCGACCAAGATATATAAAAACTGACACTGAAACGTTAAAATGAAACAAAACACGATACGATATACAAAAATTCCCCTCTTTAAAAAATATAAATATTGTTTATTTTTGGTAGTTTTACTTTCTGGATTCTAATTTCCGGTATGGGAGGACGTATGGGAGCATATGGGAGCAATTCTATGGGTGCATTACGTCATGCTCGTGGATAGGAAGGTACATTTGTGGCTGGTTTTGCAAGAGTTGAAGTTCAGGGAAGTTCAAGATGGCCGCTTGCAAGGAGTGAGGTTTTTGAAAACGCCAACAAATTGTGTGTTAAAAGACAAAAATGTCCAGCTTCAGTGGCGGACCTTTGACAGAGGAAGAGGAATACTTGTTAGAAAGATTTAAAGTCCTGCGAGAAAAGGTTTTTATTGTTATAGCATTGTTTAGGTTAAATGATATGAAAGGGAATTCGGTTGTTATATGGCATTAAATATATGGGTATCAAAATGCAGTATCAATGTATCATAATGTTTCGGGCTAAAACACTGTATCTTTATTTTTCTAATTGTGGGGACAGAAAAAATTGCTTCAAAAATTGAAGGAAAAAGCTGAAACTAAAGTGAAGCCAGCTGTAAAACGAGGTAGGTGTGGAAATTGAGCATATTCTTGAAAGTGACTTGGAACAGGCCAGAAGCACTGCCAAATGTACAAAATGCCTACTCAGGCATGTCAACAATAGCACCGGTATGCCAATGCTCTTAAAAGGCATTGAAACTTAATGCCAAAGATCTTTGGGATATAGGTCACTGGCTCCACAAGGTGCACCTTGGAAAGTCGATTCACTCTGACTTTAAATCACTTTTAGAATTAGCTCCAACTGCAAGTATTACTCCTGAAGATGCCAAGAAAAAAGCTGAGATGCTTGTTGCTTCTGGGGTGAGATGGAGCATTACAAAATATTTGCGAGATTGTACATAAAATGTCAGTAACTGACCTCTATACTAATTTATGATAGTGTGTTAAAATATCCAAGACATCTGTGAGTAGAGAATTCAAAAGAGTAAGAACGTCCGAAAAGAAACTGGCAAAGGTAAAAACTATATAAATCTTGTGTATGACTATGTGTATTTCCAAACCACAAGAATCAATTTAACCTATCTTTAATCATTTTCCAAATCTGTAGGACAGCTTATCTGATCAAGAATTAGCTCCTGTTGAAAAGAAGGTAAACAAATTATAAATGTAATTTTCAAATACAAATCGGTCTTATAAAGAATAATACAACCTAACAATATTTTTCCCCACTTTCACTTTAGAGAACACATTCAGATATCAGTGCAATGAAGGAAATGTACAATAGCAAGTAAGAACTGGTTAATTTCTCATTTGACAGTTGGTTTTTCATGCAATCAGTCAAAGTATAATTTCCTTTCATGCAGTGTATCCCAACTAAACTGTAACCTGAACTCTTCACTATGAAAAGAAATTATTTTAGTACATATTTACTTTTTATAGTTTTGTTAAAAGCAGAGAGAATCGTGACCATGGTATGTATTAGGTTTATTCTTAATGCAGTTGTGAGATTCATGAACAGCTAGCCCCTCAAAACTAGTCCATAATAGGATGTTAATTGGCTGCACAACAATTTATCTTATAAACTACCAGTCCAAAAATGTCTTAATTTGCTTCCAAAATCCAAATGATGGCTAACACAAGTATTGATATGTTGCATTGCAGACTCGAACCCCAATCATGGATACCGAGATTATAACCGAGGATATCGAGAACCAAGAAAAGTAAGTTTTATTGCACAAAAATTAAACAATTAAGCCCTTGGTCAGTAGTGAGGGAAAAGCAGTGGCGTAGCCAGCCTGACGATTTAGACATGCTATGCAAATTTTATGTTATTATCATTATTCATTTCTTTAGAAATTCATTGTTTTCACAGTCAATGATCACCACAATATCAGCATAGCATGACTAAATTGTCGGGCTGGCTACGCCACTGGGGAAAAGACATATGTGTGTTGCAAGGGGTGGTTGTATCAGGCCTGTTTAGCTTAAATGGTGGATAAGTCAAATTTAAGTAACACCCTTAAATGTCTCTCTTTGAATGTCAAATTTAAGTAACATCTCTTAAATGAGTCAACTTGAATATTATGCACTGAATATGTAGTTGTAAACAGTATCCTTGTATTAGGGTTGAAAGCATTTAGTTTGCTTCTTGAATAAAACAATAGATTTGCTTTCTATTTTGAATTAATACAACTGGCCCCAGGCTAATGTAGGACGTTCAATGTCCCCAAAGGTTTTTGACACTTGGTATGTTATTAGGGTAACACCGTCTTCATTAAAGGTTATGGTCTTACAGAAGAGATTGTAAAAAAGGAATTTGGCAAGTATGGTAAGTTGCTTGATTTTTATAGTCTTTTTTGGGAATGTTTCCACTCCAGTTAAATGCATTTAGATGAGTAGTAATAACCAGATATGTATTTTGTAGGGACTGTTACTGATGTTCATTTTGAAAGGGATAGAAAGTAAATATACAATACTAATTTTATTTCCTTTTTTCAATGAATTATTAAGAATATTTATACCAATGAATTGAAATGTTAACTATTGAGTGTATTTTGTTGCTTTAGGTTTGGTTTTGTTACATATAAGAGTGTGGACGAGGCTCAAAAAACAATTGATGAGGTAACAGGTCTGACCAAACCTTAAATTACTGATATACATGATACATCTCCATAGGCTTTTTAACCACAGACTGCAAAAAAATTTACTTAGTCCTCCCTCATGAGAACCCTCATAACCAAATATAAGGAGCTATAGATTGGAATATTATTTATTATATAGTTCGCTGTGGGTAGGGTATAGCTTGGTTCATTGCCTTGAGCTGAAGAGAAACCTATACTGTAGATTAATCAAAGTGATACTTTATGTATACTGTGTTATTATACTTAGATGAATGGTGAAAAAGTTGGGGGTGTTTTTGTCCAAGTTTCATTTGCAAGAAGACAGTTTCATAATGATCGAGGGGATAGCCCAATGTGGGCAAGAGGTAAGGGTTACCTCCACCTATGTTCTTATCTATTAATGGAAATTTTTTCACTACCATAATGTTCAGTCAGGCATGATCTCATTCATTCCTTGCAATCTTTTTTTGTACATACACTTGGCTTGTTTGACAAAACCATACAAGATTCATAGTTGCGCACACAGGGGGTGGGGGGCATGGATAGAGCAATATGAAGACATCTCATTTTTCTGTGTAGATCACAGACCTCGTGATCGTAGTGAGAAACCATCACAGGATAATCGAGAGTTGCAGAGATACGGTGATGGCGATGATTTCTTTTGAGAGTTTTATCTTCAGGTTGCTTGTGTGTTGCTGGCGTCAAACGCTAGGTTGAAACTCTGAGCCATTTCTACATACACAGCAGGCATGTGGTAGAAAGTAGCTATTTGGGAATGAAATATACTAGAGAAACATGGTTTAGTTACTAGTTGGAGAAAACTAGGATTTGTAATGCAACCAGAAACACTCAGATTCTAAATCAAACTTCATGATACTGCAATCGTCTAAGGATAACCAAGATCCTTCTCTCTGACTAGGTTGTATATTAAAGGCTAATAATTCACACAACTGCTTTAATAAAGTGCACATTTTAATGCAGATAATTTATTTAAATAATGAACAGTTTCTGCAATAGTTTCATAATGGCTATTGACATTTTTATCATGGTCTATTTTTATGAGCATTCAATTTTTTGAGACGCTAAGGAAACAACACAACAGTTATTTGTAGAATAGGTACAAACAATGCGAAATAGGAAATAGTTAACAAAATTACAAAACAATTTTTATGATAATTGAGTGTCTGTAACATGATAGTTTGTTTAATCAACTTCTTCAATGGTTGGGCCTTGTGATTGTTGGGTAGGTGGGGCACCATCAGTAGCACCACCTGCACCTGGAAATCCTCCTGGCATACCTCCAGGCATTCCACCAGGAGGAGCACCACCAGAAGCTTGGTAGACCTTTGTGATGATTGGATTGTATATTTTCTCCAGCTCTTTTTGTTTATCTTCGAACTCATCTTTTTCCGCAGTTTGATTGGAGTCCAACCAACTAATGACCTCATTGCATTTATCTATAACGGCCTTCTTGTCTTCCTCACTGATCTTGTCTTTCAACTTTTCATCCTCCATGGTTTGTTTCATTTGGTATGCATAGCTTTCCAAACCATTCTTCGCTTGCACACGATCTCTCTGTTTCTCATCCTCCGCCTTGTACTTCTCGGCTTCGTTGACCATTCTGTCAATGTCGTCCTTGCTCAACCTTCCCTTGTCGTTGGTGATGGTGATCTTGTTCTCCTTGCCAGTGCTCTTCTCAACTGCGCTCACATTGAGGATACCATTGGCGTCAATGTCAAAGGTGACGTCAATTTGTGGGACACCACGAGGGGCAGGTGGGATACCAGAGAGCTCAAACTTCCCCAGGAGGTTGTTGTCTGCAGTCATAGATCGTTCACCTTCAAAAACTTGGATCAAGACACCTGAAATAAGAGAATAACACAAACAAGGTTCAAATTAGTAAATTGAAGAAACTTCGGCTGGAAGTAGGCATGTAAATTGTTTGGATTTTTCTTTCCAAAATTGAAAAAATTGAAAGAATTAATGTTTGCAAAAAAAAAACGAACCTGGTTGGTTGTCTGAGTAGGTGGTGAAGGTCTGAGTCTTCTTGGTTGGTATGGTTGTATTTCTGGCAATGATGGCCGTCATAACTCCACCAGCTGTTTCAAGACCCAATGACAATGGAGTGACATCAATAAGCAAGAGATCCTTGACATCATCACTTGTGTCACCAGACAAGATGGCTGCTTGAACTGCTGCACCGTATGCCACAGCTTCATCTGGATTGATCGACTTGTTCAAATCTTTGCCAATGAAATCCTGCAGCAACTTTTGGATTCTGGGAATTCGGGTGGACCCACCAACAAGAACGACTTCATGGATTTCTGCTTTAGAAAGTCCGGCATCCTTGAGAGCCTTCTCCACTGGAGTCAAGGTACTTCGGAATTTGTCACCACAAATTTCCTCAAATCGGGCACGGGTGATGCTTGTATAGAAATCAATTCCTTCAAAGAGTGAATCAATTTCAACATTAGCCTGTTGGCTAGAAGACAATGTTCTCTTTGCACGTTCGCACGAGGTTCGCAATCTCCTCATTGCACGTTTGTTTCCAGTAATGTCCTTTTTGTGTTTTCTCTTGAATTCTTTGACGAAATGATCCACCATGTATTGATCGAAATCTTCACCACCTAGATGGGTGTCACCAGCTGTCGACTTCACTTCAAATATACCATCTTCGATAGCGAGGATGGAAACATCAAATGTACCACCACCGAGATCAAAGATCAGGACGTTTCGTTCAGCACTCACTTTCTTGTCCAAACCATACGCAATGGCAGCAGCTGTTGGTTCGTTGATAATTCGGAGAACATTCAGGCCAGCAATAACACCTAAAGAAAAGTAATTGTCATAAGGATCTCTGCCATCCTGAAATCTTAATTGTAGAGGTATGAATTCGTCAACACAGTTTAAAACAACCTACCAGCATCCTTGGTTGCCTGACGCTGAGAATCGTTGAAGTACGCAGGTACTGTGACAACAGCATCGGTCACTTTCTTACCCAGATAGGCTTCCGCAGTTTCTTTCATTTTGGTCAACACCATGGAAGAGATCTATTGAAAGGAGAATCAAACCATAAGAAATCTGTAAACCTGTTGATTACATACAATAGAATTTGTTACCAACCTCTTCTGGGAAGAAACGCTTTTTCTCTCCCTTGTATTCAACCTCAACTTTTGGTCGGGTTCCTTCATTTCTAACATCGAATGGCCAGTGTTTCATGTCAGACTGAACTTCTTGATCATCAAATTTACGTCCAATAAGGCGCTTGGCATCTGGAAAAGAAAATGCAACTGATCACACCAACCGCCCAAGTTTCGTTTCTGTTTAGACTTTCATGTAAAGAATGTTGTTTTTAAAATCACCATATATTTTGTGAATAAAAGGAAGAATCTGATTACAAGGAGGTGGCTAACAGAACGTAAAACATTTCAACTATGAGACAACTGAAATTGACGAGGCCGGGTCCATGGTCACCGTCACATATTGCGCAAATGAACCACGAGGTTACGTGGTATTACTCGCTTCCGGCAAATTTTTTCCCATAAATTCAACCCAAAACTCTCTCACATTGAAAACAATCTTTTCTAGATACGTGTACAGTAAAAATAGAGCAACTAGAGTACGCTTATTTATAAAAACAACCGATAATAAAGCAAAATAATGAACAGCTGTTTTTGAGTCGCCATGCCCAAATAACAGGTATGCAATGAATGCAAAGTTGTGAAATACGATGTACTTCAAAGTTGAAATACGAAGTATTTCAAAGTCGTGAAACATTGAGTTCTTGCTTTTAAAATAAAGGAAACATCGCTCTATATTAGACACAAAAAAATGGAGCTAATACAGAAAAACTAATGCTGAAACAATGTGCCGAAATGAAACAATATTTAGTGGACAATGTGGGAAACTTCAACAAAGCGAAAATGAAACAGACTTCTTTTAATTTGAAAATTATACATTTCTATAATCCCTTATTGGACAAAAATTCTTTAGATAGGCCGTATAAACACAGTTACATTGATTTCTTACCAAAAACTGTATTGGAAGGGTTCATAGCGACTTGGTTTTTTGCGGCGTCTCCGATAAGTCTCTCAGAGTCTGTGAAAGCGACATAACTCGGAGTCGTTCGGTTTCCTTGGTCGTTCGCGATGATTTCAACTTTGCCATGTTGAAATACACCGACACAAGAATAGGTTGTTCCTAAATCAATACCGATTGCTGGTGATTTAGCCATTTTTTCAGTGGTAAAATATATCTACAAACACTTGTTGTAAATCTTTCTGGCTTTATTGCAACGTTGACTGTGACAAGCATGTGCTCACCCCCGGAATTTATAGTGCTGATCACGTGCCACATTATCAGCTTCTGATTGGTTGTTTTACTCTTGCGTCATTCCCCTTATTTATAGATTTCTAGAATTTTCTGTTATTCTATACCAAGTAGCGAAATCATCCTGAGTTAACAGGAAGTCATTTACGTAAATGATAAGTTTTACTTTATTTTATATACTCGATTATATCTAAAATTCTCACTTACTCATCATGACATAGCTGATTTAAATTAATTAATTTTGTCACGTAAACTGCAAAAAAAATTAGGTAAACACCAAACAGTCCTTAGTTACCACGAAACGAGAAAATTTGCATATGTCATGATCATATGAATTTTTTTCACTTTCATATTTGCTGGGGTCAAATATAATCTAATTATGCAATGATGACCTTGATATTAACAAAAATTTAAATTGCATATCAATAGTTTTATAGTTACAGCTTTAGAAATTTGTCAGACCATAACTGATTTCATTAGATTTTTTGATAAGATCTCTTAGTTGTTGAATAGGGAAATCACAACCATCAACCCTGATTCAGCGTGACATTAATAATTGGCTGGAGCTGGTGACTTTGTGGTAAAGCTATGTGGGGTGATAAAATGACCAACTAGGAAGATGCGAGGTTAGGGAATTCCCAAGGAATTTCATGGAAGAAAGTGATGAGATATTGAAACACTACAACAACCCAAAGCAATTGGCAATTTCTAAGAAATTATTTTTACAATTATTAGAGATCATCAGTCGTTTTCACCAAGCAACACAACAGGATTGTACAATCCTGTTTCAGCGTTCCTTGCACATCTTCGTGATCCAAAAACTTCTCCAGGACGTCTTTGATTTTGACCAAGTCAAACAGGCATAAGTCACGAGAATAGTACATGTACTGTATTGGTCGTTGACCGCTTATATCAGGGGAAGTAATGGTTTCCCGGTATTCGGGTTTCGTTATAACAAAACGAAATAATTGTGCATATTGTTCACGGAACTTTGAGTTTTCTGGGAACTGTTTTTCCAGGAAGTGGAGTCTTGCACGGGCAATGAAAAAGAGAAATTTGAAGAATGTTGCGAAACTTATCCCGCTGTTTGCCTCGAGAATAATCTGCAAGAGAATAGACAAAAATGAGAGGAATGGCACGGTACGGTTCAATAACTTCAATTTCGTTTTCATTATCATTTAAACCGGATTACATACTTGGCACTGGTCCAACCAACCATCCATTTCCTTACAATCATCGATACTGCGTTTTACCTGAAAAAGCAAATTGAAATCTAGATTATTCTGAGAATACACTTAATCTGAAATTCAGACGCAAATTATACCGCGGATTGCAGTGAATTGAGTAAAATGTACCAAGTGTAATTCTGCTTTTAAATGTTGCCACGTGCGATAAACTCCACAACCATTTATCCAATTATGATTTATTGATATTGTGTCCTCCTATATAAAGTTAAGCTTTTACATAATTGAACGTTGGACATGGGTAGTGTCAGATATCTTTGTCTAAATTTGCAGACGTATTTCTTACCATGTTCATAACTTGATGGTGCCAACAACTATAAAATTAAAAACAGGTTTACGTGATGTACTAAATGAGTTTTTGTGAAAGGTAATTGGCACGTCAGTGTCAGTACACGCCTAAAAACGCTCAGGTTGATGCAAGTTGATGCAAACAGGATGGAGCAATGTTGTGCTGCCCACATTGTTCAGAGTTGTTATCAACATTGAACAATATTGTTGAAACTGAATCGGGTGTAACAATATTGTTCAATATTGATAACAACTCTGAACAATCTGGGCAGAACAACATTGCTCCATCCTGTTTATATCAACTTGCATCAACCTGAGCGTTTTTACGCCTGTAGCTCACGTGATATCAAGAAAATTACCGCGAAACGCCTGATGCAATATTTCTACTGGTAGTTCTCGTTTACCAAATTATCATCTTTAAATACAGTTGTAAAATATATACAATAGTTTATTTTCTGTCTGAAGCAATGTCTGTCTTCCTCATTTCAGCTTTGAACAAAGCCAAAGAGTCTACCTTGGTACGAAAATAATTTCCCCTTCTTTTTGATGGACAATCATTGGCTGGGGTGCTTTATGAAAATGTGGAAATCTTTTTGTATCTTGAGTCTCCAAGGAGTTCAGATCAAACACTAGGTTGCCATGAGTGTCTTTCATGTGATTCTCCGATCCTGGAGGGTAAAGAATCCATTTCTTATGACCACAAATGTTTGCTGACCAACTGTATGACCTTTTAAGAATGAAGATAAAAGGAAAACACATAAAGTCATAAACTACCGGTTAATGGCTTGTGAAAATTGTATGTAATTCAAGGTAGAGTGTCACAATCATCTTACCTAAATACATCAGCATGAAATGGTGTCCTATTTCAAAGAAATAAAGATCTTAGTAATATGACTTTGGTTTGCATATACACAAACCATATCATGTGTATATCACCATTTTTTATATCTATATCCATTACAAAGTATTACCAAGTTCCCTTAGGTCCCATGTATACAAATCTGTAGTCATCTTTCATTTCAGTCCACTCATCCCAAAACTCATTCAACCAATCAGATTGGAAGAAAGTAGGCATCTCATATGCTTTGTATTCAGGAAATTGCCTGTTGATGATGGAATAACAGAGTGGTCACTTTGATGAACCAAAGTTGAAGCTTTTTTACACTGAATGTATACACCCTTGTTGGCAACATTTTCTCCCATCCATGCATCCTTGCCTCATAGCAAGGAGAAGCAGGACAGAAGAACAGAACTAATACAAGTGTGAGGAAATTAGTTGCCAATGTTCTGGTTTTGATTAAAGTTTTTGTCTTTGGAAAAATTGAAAGAGGACTTACTTACAAAAGTGCCAGTCTTTAAGGTACCAACATTTCTCATCTAAAGAAGAAATTTTGAATATTGCATGCATTCATTATACTAAATATAACAGCTTACAAGCTTTGCTATCATGGTATATCACTTATAACACACCTTGCGACATTCCATTACTCCTAGCTTGCCAGTAGTCAATGAATTTTTTAAATAACATTGAATGTTTTGGATGTGATTGGAACTCCTCTTCATCGCAATCAGCAACTGGTACTGTGGCTTCAGCTGAAGAAAACACATAACAATGGAAGAGAGTTAGCATTCAGCTAGATCACCTGGTTCACATCTGCAAATTCACATGGTACACAGTGCATACCAAAAGATTCTCTCAGAAATTCAAAGTTTGGTTTCCCATCACAAACCCATTCCTGTCGACTCTTCCAATTTCTTGTGAATCTTTCATCCAGCAAACATGGCAAATTCCCCAACAAATACTTTTGCACAAACTCTTGGTAACCAATCTCAGACACCCTTGAAATTTCCATCATATATACATTGTAATGTACGGTTATGTAGGTTATGTAGGTTATGTACTTCTGGTAATGTACAGTCTATTATTCATCATTAATATGCAAAGTTGCAAGACGCACGAATATTAATGATTATGTGATATTAAAAAATATTACCCTGGTTAAAGGGTGATATATAAACCGGAAATGAATCGGCAATTTTGAAACCAGTTTCTTGACCGAGCAAAACAATTTACGAAAATTTATACAAGATGGAGGGCTGTCCTAGGTCTTTGATGCTCAAGCTAGACCTAAAAGAGTCGCATGTAACTTCTTTTGCCCCCGCTTTAAAACGAGTAAGTATGGTATAAGACTTTGCTGAGATTATTAGCTAATTTTTATGTTCATACGAAGTGTTTTTGTGATTTTTATAAATGTGTTTTTCATCTGTTTTTATAGTACATACGTGATTTCTACCACGAAGATGGGGAAACGTATGCTCAAGAATGCACTCAACTTGAACAACTTAGAACGGTAATTTCTTTTTTAATAATAAACTGTCATAAATGATGTTGTGTTTGTTGTAAATTTTTGAAAGTAGACTCAATATATATGCCAATGAATAATGTTTAGTGACGTAATTTCAAATATTTTATTGTTTTGTTTATAAAAAAACATACCTCCCATTTTATTGCATACTGTGATACAAAGCTTCCTATTTTAGTAGCTATAATGCCTTTCATTGATATATTCAATGTTTGAATATGTTTGAATGAACTAAAATAAAACTGTTATGAATCACAGCTTTCATAGTAACATTTGGGGTTTGTATTTTCACTATTTTGTACATGATGAAGCAAAAGACTTTGGCTCATATTGCTGTATTTCCATGTGTAATTTGAACAAGTAAAAGTTTGCAAGAACAGTTATGAAATATATTTCCCATTCTTGATAAATGAGGAATTCAGATGAACCTGACAACTTTTTTGCAGACTTCTATATTACACACCTCCCCTAATCTAAATTGCCGTAACCTATCCACTTGTTTGAATCCACTGAGAGGGGCAACCAACCCAAAATAGTCCCAATGCTGTTGCAAATATAGGGTCATAATTTGAAATGTTTGACCAGTGATTTCATTTCACTACAAATTTCTGTAATTAAATAATCAATAATGCTACTTTTCCAACGAGGAAGTACTACTTGTCAATGATGTGTAATAAATTGTGTAGATTTTCTATTAAGTTTCTCTGTTTTAAATTGAATTTTTGACAGGCTGTGATAAAACCAACATACGACAATTCAGGATGCAATTTGCTACGGAAATATTATGGGCAAATACATTTGCTAAAAACCCGGTTCCCAATGGGCGAGGGTTCACCTGCGAGTGTTGAATTCACATGGTTAGTACAGTAAAGGCAGTGCCTACACATACTGTGTAGGGATGATTTTGTTTGGTATTTGCAAGCAATTTCTTGTGAGTTGGAAAATTTGTACACTTGCATTGATTATATTAGATGCATGGATTGGATCTATAGTAGAAAATGATACAAAATAAACATGTTCTTCGGAATGAATTATGCATGTAGTTAAAAAGTGAATTTTATTCCCAAAGGTAGATCTGAAATCACATTCATCGAATAGTGTTTCCAAATCTCTGTCCATCGAATCATCAGATTATTCTTCATTTTCTACTTTGCAATCCTTGAGACTGAACCTGCATTTTGTAATATGTTCGTTATTGAGTTTGAGGTGGTTTGCTTCAATTTAGGACAGATCTTTATACCGAAGACCCAATCACTTTAGGTGACATCACATATGAACAATCTTCAATTCTGTTCAACTTAGGTGGGTTATACAAAACTTATGATAGCATTCAAAGTCCACCTGATTTATAGACATTGCTGTGCAGTTTAATGCATTTTTTGTTGTAATTTTCTGCAGGAGCCCTTCATTCACTGTTAGCTGGAAGAGAAGACAGGGTTTCTGAAGAGGTATACAAGCAATTAAATAATTAGGTTTGCATGAAAATTCTGTTTAATCATGTTTAACTAAGACATTTCATCAACATTTCAGGGTATGAAGGTTGCTTGCACACATTATCAATCAGCAGCAGGTGCCTTTAATTACATCAAGGTACTTGACACGATTCAAGCCATTTCAATACCACCAATTTCTTAAGTGAATGCATACTTGTACAATAATATTTCTGCACCTTTTTTTCAGGAAAATTTTAGCACCGATCAATACAGTGATACTTCAAAGGAATTGCTTAATCTTTATATCAATATTATGCTTGTAAGAACCATTTTTTTCCATGAATAAAAGTACATCAGAACTGTTCCTTTAATTAAGCTATGGGTTGTTATTTAGGGACAAGCTCAGGAATGTCTTTTGGAAAAGTCCATGTTAGATAACAGGAAAAACTCTCTTGTGGCTAGGATTGCCATGCAGGTTAGGATGGATTCCTTGGCTAATTCTTTTAATGGAGAGTAATTCTCAGTATCTACACAATTTTTTTAGGTTCAAAATTACTACACAGAAGCCATAGCTTGTTTGACCTCTTCTTTTGGCGAAATACTACCACCCAGAATGCACAAGGTGGGTCGGGGGATGACTTTTTAAAACAATGTATTCTTGATATAAATCTGTGAATTCAAAATAATGCATTTGTTTGCAGCATTGGAGCAAGACTTTGCAGATTAAATGTTCATATTTGAATGCTTTGGCTTTTGTAAGTACTATATCATGGCAGCAAACGTTTATACTTTTTTATTTTTATATCTTTTCTATTTCCTTATTTCTTTCTCTGTACCCTTTCTCAAGATGTACATGTCAAATGCATCAGATGAACAGACAAAATATGGTGAAAAGGTATGACATTTGATCAACATAAATACATGTGCCAAGTTTTGTGAGATATTTCTGCATATCCTAGTTAACAACTTTTACTACTGTATGTCTCCAAAGTCCCTTTGAGTATTTAGTTTCCTTTTTGCTCTGGCCTGCTCTCACCTAAACATCCTATGAATTAGAAATCCTCCACTTAAGAAAGAAAAACCTGACATTAATAGAATAAATAAACTGCTTGCATTTAAAGGTTGCATTTCTAAAAATTGCTGCACAAAAGGTTGCCGATGCACAGAAGTTATTGAAGGTGTGTTCTGCAAAACTACAGCTAGTCCATTGTTTTGTTTCACCAGTCCTGTTTCTTAGTGTAGTCCTGCCATTCTATTGATGTTGAGGTGCTTTACACACACCTGTTTATCTTTTTAGAACCAAAGTCAGCAAATGCTGGACGTAGTTCAATTTATTGCGGATGTTGTCACCCAAAAGTAAAGACTGTGAATCATATCACATATCTAACCTGCAAATATCTTGATTTCTCCATGTTAGAGGACTTCAATGTTCTCTCCCAAACAGTCAACCTATTGTTAACAACTGATGTATTTGGGTTTTTCTAGGCTTGAAGGTGCAAAACGGGACAATGATTTTGTTTACCACGAGCCAGAACCAGCACCTGCAGCTCTCCCAGAGATTATAGGTACTTCATGTAGACTGTCCTTGATCATTTTTAAATTCTGTATCAACTCTTGTGCATCTCAATTCTCAGGTTTATCTCAAAAAGGTTGACTGATAAAAACTTGTCTGTCAACCAACGTTCATCAGTTTTAATGTGTGTCTTGTTACAATCTCAGGTGCATCTTTGGTCAAACCACTGCCTTTTCAACCCTATGACCCTTCAATGGGCAAAGATATCTTTGAGAAACTCATTCCAATGAAGGCCCATGAATCATCCTCGTTGTACAGGTGACTTTTGCATGAATTCAGCTTTGTTTTTTTCAAATTCATCCAAGTTTATTGGTTTGATTCAATGTTTATCAAATCTCTACTTTTGATAGTGAAGAGAAGGCAAATCTCCTCCGTCGTTACGCTAGCATTGTCAGTGAAAAAGACAAGGAACTAAGGTAGTCTCATCATAATCTTATCTTTAGTTGTCCTTTAGTTGTACTTTAGTTGTCCTTTATTTGGCCTTTAGTTAGCCTTTTGTTGTCATTTTGTTACCCTTTGCTGGCTCGTACAGTACAGGCTTAATTCTTTTAATACATATCGTTCCAGAAAATTAATTCAATGATTGTAGGTGTGTGAGCGGGCTCTGGAGAATTTAACGTACATTTTCTTATCTAGTTCGTGGCTAGCTTCGATGCATATCGATGATCTCATGAAACCCGAAGAAGCTGATGCTCTTCCTCGTAAGTCATGAACCTATTATGCAGGCGTAGTTTGATTTTACCAACGCTCTGGCATATCTCAGTGTGTTAACAGCAAAGAATTTGCTCATTTTTTCAGCTGAACTCACAACCAAGTGTGAATCATTGCAGTCTAATCCTGGCGCAATCAAGAAATCCACTGAAATGCTTGCAAGTACGTCAGCTCAGATCACACCCAGGGGCCGGTTGTTCGAAAGGCGTTTAGCTTAAACGGTGGATAAGCCAAAGTTTAAAATTACTCTCATACATCTTGTGAATGACTAAATCTGCATCGTATGCATTAAATATGTACTTCCATTGACAATTAAGCTATTTACATCAAAATATTTCAGCTCAATTGTTCAATAAATATACAGTTTTGTTTTCCATTTTGAACTTATCCACCGTTTAAGCTAAACACCTTTCGAACAACTGGCCCCAGGGCTATAGAAAGGCCCAAACGTCTTTATATAAGCTTTAAACAACAATATAAATATCTTTCTAGAACTGAAAGAGAAAGGCTCTGAGCTAGAGAAGACCCTGGAAGAAACACGTAAAGAAATTATTGATTTTCAGAACGAAAAAACTGGTTTCATGGTGAGAGAATGATATAGTTAGTGTATGCATTGTTTCTATCAGAGACGAATGGTGGCTTTTACATCGACTGAACCATCATATCTTGTTGTGCCAGGAGAAATATAATGTCAAGCTGGAAGAAGATAAGTTAAAAGAATATTTGGAGGAAATTGACAGCTATCAACAGAAACATTTGGCTGCAGTAAGTGGTATTTAGATATGCTATGTGTTCTGGTTCATCTATTAATTTTTCATGATATATCCAGCAAAATCGACATGGAAATTTATGCGAATTAGAAAGAGGAATAGAGTCAGAGAGTTGCGAGAACTATCCCTTGTTATCATTAGAATATGGAAGAACATTTGGAGACCGTGGTCAAGCTTAACGGATCTAACATGTCGTATTTTTTTGTAGAAAAAGACAAACGATGAACTGGAAAAAGCCTTTGAAGCTCATCGTAACAATTTGGAGTTGATGATCGGACCAGAGCAAGCATTGCAGGGCATATTCCCTTCGCAGAATATCCTGGATTGTAAGTAGATCGCGGTAGTTACTGTACAGCAAACGAGCATAGGGATTCAATGTATCTCCTTTGCTTTTTGTCAGCGCCAATTGAGGACGATGCCGTGCAAAGAATTAGAGATCTTTTGGTAAGAAGCTGACGAAAATACTTGTCTTTCAGACGAGTGGATTGTTTGTTGACGATCTTTTCTTTTTCTTCAGGCCAAAGTTGAGAAGATGAAAACGCAAAGAGCAGAGTTTATGAACAAATTAAGAGACCAGGTCTGGGCTTATTGTTTTCACTAGTAGGGTAGTTCTCAACGGCGTTTATAAAATTTTACCTCAGTATCTCTTGGTGTTGTCGTCCAGAGTTTCTTTATAGCAAATCCTTTCTCTCGCTAAGAATAATAGTGAATCCGTGTCCCCTTTCGGAATATTCAAATATGTAACAATAAACTGGATGTTTATAGGTAAATAAAGACGACATCACTCATCTGATTGCGACCAGAGATGGCGGTGATCTAGAGGTAAGACTAGAAAGAATTCTTCTTAAAACCTTTTTTACCAATTTCCTCAGGACCGAGATGTGAAAAGAATGTTTAGTAAATAACATATGTTATTATATCGCAGGACTTATTTAAGGAAGAATTGAAGAAACACAACGAATCGTGTGAGCTGTTGCAATGTAACCTTGATGCCCAAGAGAAGATCATGAAGTAAGGTGTTTGTGCTGGTCAAAAGAGGGAAATTTTACCCGGCTAAAATTCTGCCAAACTTCATCTGAAATTTTTGTCCAGTTTTATATAAATATGTTCCTGAACTCACCTTATTTTTGCATTCCAGAGCTCTGACGGAGGCTAATGCGAAATATGCGCATGCTCGTAGATCTGTGGCTGAAATCCAGGCGAAGTAAGATGTGTTTAGTTGCTGACCATAAAATTTATCCCATCGGAACAGGGAGGTGAATCTACGCAAGAACTGATCGTAAATTTGTCTTCTTTAGACGTGATGTTGTCGTGAAAGGTTTGATAGGCTCTTTCGACTTCTTCATGAACTTTAAGGAGAAAGTCAGGTGCGGATTCATTCATACATCGTCCCACTTGCGTCGTCCGGTCCGACATTCGGATATTGATGAATTTGCCAATATTTGTTTCATTGCAGTAGCGGGGTTACTTTCTACAACCAACTGTCGGAAATATTCGAGAAACGTCGACAGGAAATTGCGAGTGTTTGCAAAAGCGAGAAAGAAAGGCTGCAAAATATCATCGACAAGGCAAAGCAAATAAAAGGTGTGGACGATTATAAACAACGCTACAACACTGGCAAAGATTATTGAAGAAAGTTTCCACAGAATTGTATATTCTAGCTTTAGAAGTAAATATTAATGACCCTTTATTTATTTATCTTGTACAGAAGAACGAGAGAGGAAATCTGAAACGAAAGTCGATCCAACGTTATCAAATACTAACCCGGGGGAAAGACCAAATAACCCTGGGAATCCTCAACAATCCCTGCCAACAGGTTATCCACACCAAGGTCATATTCCCCAGCTCACTCACCAACCCATACCTCACTCGCTTCGAGGTCCAGCTCCAAATCAACCAGCACCTATGCAGTCTGGCCATCCAGCTCAGTTCAACGCCCCACCCTCATCCCATCCACGAGGGCCGAGCAATCAACCTGGCATGTCCCAATACATCCCCAGGGTACCATCAGGAACCCTACTGACTACTAGACCTAGAATGTCATATCCCCATCCTCCATTTCCAACGAACCCCCAAGAAAGACCTCGCCCACCTACGTCGGGATCATGGCAACCACCCCCTTCAAGCAGACCAGGGGACACATCCCCACCTGTCACAAGCAACATCAGGTTTCCTCCTCCGCAAAATATTAGACAACCAAATATACCTCAGGGACCCCCGCAACAGTTCCCAAACAGACCCCCCTTACCCATGCATACCCCACAAGGTTACCCCCAACAGTATGGACAAGTACCCTGGCAACCACAGCAAAATAGACCACAGTTTAGGGCTGGTGCTCCTGAACAGAGCAGACCCCCGCCACCACAGATGATGGCCCAAAGACCGGGGAGGCCTCAGCAGCCAATGATGTCACACCAACCAAGACCTGTTGGGCAGCCACCAATACGGCAAGGACCACCATCACAAGTGGTACCTCAAGGTCAACATATGCTACCACAGCAACCAGCTCGACCAGTGACACCGCCATCTCCAAAGAGGATCTCACAGCCTTACCAGGCAGAGCCTCCCTCCTATCAACAACAATTCGGTATTGGTTCTAATCAAGCTGGTCCGCTTCAGCAACCTGGCCACCAACCTGTCCAACCAACACCTTACCAAACCGCACATGGTCAACAGCAACATGGTCCGTTATCTCATGGTCAACGAGCAGATCAGTACCAGCAACCACAAGGACAGCAAGGTAACCAGCAGCCGAGAACTCGCCAAATACCAAACCCATACCAGCAACCTCAAATACGAATGCAGCAGTTGCCACCCCAACAACAACAGATACCAAAACAACCAACTCTCCATCAACTACCACCACAACAATTACCACCACAGCCACATCAAGGAGTCCCACCACAGCAGCCACCTGGACCATACCATCAACATGGTGCATACCAACAGCGTTTCCCTTACCAACCCCAACAACAGCATGGATCATCACACCAATCCACTGGTGGAACTCACCCACAACCAGGTCCTCAACAACCCCACCAACAGGGTTTCCAAGCAACTACAGGTCCTTCCCCACACCAACAAGGACAATATCCCACCTCAACGGGTCCTCTTCCAGCCATCCAACAATCCCAAATTCCCCCAGTACAACAACAGCCCCCAATCCCATACGATCAGCTCACATCGTCCCAAGTCCCCCACAACTTTCCCCAAGCACTAGCATCACAGTCCTACCAGAAGCAACCATTGACCCAAAAACATTCCTCCGAAAGTCTACCACAACAGCGGGGTCCTTTTCAAATCTCAAAATCACGAGAAGTAGGCCAGCAAGACAAGGTCCCTTTTCAACATGAGAGACCTGGTCCTCCACCCGCTCAACAATCGTACGGTAACCCCCCTGTACATCCAGTTCAATCACAAATCACTGACAAAATACCCTCAAACCCAGCGCAAGACAAACAGCCTCACTACAGCCAAAGACCAGAAGGCCAATATTTGTCTCAAGCACCGTCGGGTCAACAGCAGACAACTCAGACTGGGAGCTGTGGTCCAAACAAAGCACCTTATGTCCCTCAACAACAACAACAACAACAATGGCAGCATCAACAGCAGCAGCAACAACAACAACAACAACAACCATGGCAACAACAATATAGACCCACGTCGCCTCCACAACACGACCAATACCCACAAACTAACAAAGCGGTTCAAGACCCAGGCATTTCCAAACCTGGGATGTATCCTTCAACCTCCTCGCACAGTATTCCTTCTGGCTTCCCTCACCCCTCAAAACCTGAGGGATACCTCTCTCCGAAAGGTTCGCGCACAGACATAAGTGCAACCTCGACCTACCCCCACTCCACGACGAGCCAAAAAGATGATCTCCCCCCTAAGCCCGGGGTGTTCTCCACACAATCAACCCAACCTACTGCTTCATCTTACCCCCAATCAGGTCAACAAGGTGGTGGACCCACTCCTGACACTCCCCGCTCAGGCGTGACCACTGTCCCATCGTCCCAAGACACCCGACCTAATATGGCCTACCCCCAATCTACATCTAGCCATAGTTTAACCCAGCACCATACACACCAGCATCCCTCCGATATCCAGAACCTAAATCCTTCACATGACACAAAAGGACCATATTTTCCTGCCGTTTCTTCACAAGCATCCCAGTCCTACTCCGCCAAAAGCCAACCAACCGACAGCAGCTCCTTGACGTCCAGAAATCTTCGTTCGAATTCATTTCAAGATTTTAACCCCACTAAAGTCGTGTTAGCCAAACCCGGGGCGTTGTCCGTAGGTCCTTCATCAGGCAACCCTTCAGCGATCACGTCTGCTCAGGACCTTTCAAGCGTCTCTACATCTGAGACGAAAACTATGAAAGACTCGAATACAAGCAATATTGGAATGATATATAGCGAGGTTGCGCCCTTAGACACTACTCTGAGCAGCGGTATCAAGGACCCTGCGGGCCAGTCCTCTGGAATATACCCGTCAGCTCCTTTGAGTGGTAGTGTTCAACCAAAGTCATCGATCGATGATAAATTGATGGAGAACCTTAAATCACTCGATTCGCCAAACGCATTGGTCCCGAAACAACCGGGGAAATCGACCAAGGATGAAGATATCGGAACAAATGACCAGGAGTCTGGGTCGAGAGACCAAGGACCAAGCGTTTCTGAATCGCATCAGCCAGGAGGGGGCAGTCAGGGAGTGGCGTCTGGTCAAGAAGATGTTCATAAGCTGCAGCAGAAGGTATTGCTGCAGCAACAGCAGTTGATCGAGCAGCAACAGCGGTTTCTCGAACAACAGGCTTTAGGCGAGAACTCGCAGGTGCGGAAGTTGATGGAACAGATTAAACAGCAGCAGAAGGAGCTGGATGAACTACGGAGCGAAGTGAAAGTCCGGGAGCAGTTTGGTGAAATTGAACGACACTTGGAGAACCTCGAGCGACGACAAAACGCGGTGGAATCAAGAAAGACTGATGCAGTGTCCGATGAAGGCGGTGCAGGAAAACCTAAAGTTCAAACCGAGTCAGGCGGTGAAGCCATCTCAGAGGAAATGCAAGATGAAGATAAGACAAATGATAAAGATATGAACGAGATAAACACGGGTGCTACGACTTCGAATGTGGGTGGAGATGTATTCGAGGGAACGACCAAAGACCAATTGAGTGAAATCACTGGCGGCGTTGAGATCAGTAAACAGGAAATAAACGATTATTTCTTGATGAGTCAGTTGAGTGAATTCACCTCCACGTCTTCACAGCACGATAAGGGTACATTGAGCCCAATTCTCACAGACAATTCAGCAAGTGGACAAAAACATCACGAGACTCGATCTAATACGATATCAGACGAACCCCCTCCGAAACCATCACGGGCGCCTCAAGCTCAACCGCATATTACGACTTCGGAAAAACCCGAAACTCATCCGACTGCTAGTGGCTCTATTCCGTCCACCACGGACACTCTTGAATCAAATATTGCATCAGACGTGGGAACGACCCCACCTTCAAAAGACAAGGAAGCTTCTCCACCTCGACCAATAAAACATCGCCCTCCTCCAGCAATACCCGAGCCGTACACCCCCCCTACACCACCCGCCTTTCTCACCCGTGACGTGTTCAGTAAGCCTGCATCAGACGCAATTCGCGTTGATCTGCAGAAACCCGAGGATAGAGAAGAATATATTTTGCGACTAACAGACTTGGTTATAAATTACAGAGATACCGTGAATAACTTAACCCAAAGGCAGGCACGTGGACCAAGCATTCTCACTAAAGAATGGCTGGTAAGATACAAATCATAGGATCTTATGTCGTAGTAGAACCAACCAAACCACAATGGAAAGGTCAACCCAGGGAGGAGGGACAATTTCGGTATCAAGTATACTTGTCAAAGCTTCGAGTTTCACTCTCTAAGGCGATCGTCAGACAACTGACAGGTCAAGACCTAGCTACTCTTTATTTACATTCGGACATAAGGTATAATATACACCTTATATCCTAATGGAAATAGAGAATAGCCAGGTGACTTGATCTGTCAGTTGCCCGACGATCGCCTAAGAGCGTGAAACTCGAGTAGCCACAGTTTTTTCACTTTAATAAATACTATACATACTATATGTAATCAGACAGCAATAGAAAAGTATACCATTGAGAGCTTCTCTATTTCAACTGTATTTTTTAAAGTCATTTTAGACGAACCTTAAGTAATGTGTGGTTAGGTTGTATTTTGCTGATTCACAGCTTACCTCATACGGAGCCGGTCATAAATCGAGATAATTTGTTCCTTTTAGGCAGTTCAACATTACCAGGACATGGTGAGCCAGGCGCTTACTTGTGATGACGGAAAGAGGAATACCACAAAGAACAGATATTTGGATATTTTACCATGTATGTTCTCCTTTTTCATTTGCAAAAGATTTGCATTCATTATCCATCCGCAAAGATATGATATTCTCAAACAACTCTTTATCCTTGTTTAGATGATCAGACAAGAGTTCATCTGGAAGACAGGGAGGATTCAGATTACATCAATGCGACCATGGTGGAGGTAAGTTGTATTCACAATCGTTCTCTTTCAAGCTTTGTAAAACCTGTAAAACATGGCCTGTTTCCTTCTCAGGATCTAACGCCTCTCTCTCCAAAATACATTGCGAGCCAAGGACCAATCCCACAATGCTTCATGGACTTTTGGTTAATGATCTGGCAACAAAAGTGTCCGTTGATTGTCATGTTGACCAAAGAAGTTGAGGGAAAGAAGGTATACTATCATGTCTTGTCTTAATTTGTACTATAAACCAACATCTTTTGGCCTCTGTATTCGATGCCACAGTGAACCATACAACCCACTAACTGGATTGCAATGCCCTCTGCTTTAGTATTTCATTCTTTCCAACGTCAAACAATTTTGCTCGATTGTGACAGGGGCAATGCCACTCACTATCAATGACAACTACTGTTATTTCCAACATTACAGCTAAAGTGTCATCAATATTGGCCTAAACACGAGGGACATTCGATGCTCTTTGGATCCCTACGAGTCACCATGAAACGCCAAACATCCCTGGCATTTTGGAAGGAAAGACTTATTCACATCACTCACAATGAGGTTAGCATTTCACCAGTTCTGTATCGAGCGTAATAGTAAAAACGTTAGCAAGCTCCTAAAACTCTTCAATGTTCAGATGTTTTCTCAAATCACCACACACACAAATACTGTATTGTATTGTAATACATGTTTCCGCTTTCCTGCTTTAGACCCACGAACTTCATGTTGTGGAACATTATCAATTCACTTGTTGGCCTGATCAGTAAGTATCGTGGTGAGAATGTGACTCGTGAGGCGTGAGATCACTTCCAGCTGCATTCTCCACTGAATTTTCTAGGCATCGAAAATACTTCATAATCGAATATTCCATGCAGTTTAAGAATAATTCTTGCATGATTCATATCCCTTTACCAAACAATCCTACAAAGTTTCAACTTTGTGTTTTTTGTTCCATAGTGGTGTTCCAAGCAATCCATCCGATTTCTTCACGTTTATGGGCCATATTTACATCCGTCACCTGGTGATCGACCCGGATATCAAGAAGCCAATCCTTCTTCACTGCAGGTTTGGGCATGATTTGAAAACACAGCGCTCGTGTCGACAGAAAATGAAATGTTTTCTTTTTTCACCTAGTGCTGGCGTTGGTCGAACTGGGGCCTTCATCGTCATCTATTCCGCTATGAGAGAAATGTATTCTGGAAATGGAATAAGTATGCGAAATTTTGAACCAAAGACTTCGCTTTCATAAGCGAAAATTCGGTCTTAATTTAAATTCGGTCTTAATCCGCGTAATTTAAACGTTTTTTTTTCAGTGGATGTTCAAACTCTTGTGAAGAAATTGCGAGAGAAAAGAAAATACATGGTTCAGAAAAAGGTAAGATTTGTTTTCTAAGAGAAAAAGTATTGAAGATTTTGGTGTTAGTTGAATGTTATATGAATCGTCTCTTTTCCCTTTAGGAACAGTACGAGTTTTGTTACAAAGCTATTTTGCATTCTGCTGAACAGTTTCTGATCATTGGTAAGGGCCTTCTGAAGCCTTTCACTTCTTGAAAACTTTTTTTTGTCTGAAAATCGCTAACAAGATCAATTGCATTTGAGTGCAATAGCGAGCGTTGGTGAGACAGGAGAAGACAAGTGTTTAAATCTTTCTTCTCATTTTGAAATTTTAGAAAATAGCGGCAATATGGCAGACGACGATAGCAGCAGTGATTATTCCACCTCATCTTCCGATAGCTGTTCTTTCCTCTCTGATGACGAGGCTGAACTTGCCATGAAACCTACCGTACCGCAACGTCCTCATATTTCTCAGAAACCAAGAGAAATTCCTGGAAATAGCAGTGATGGTAAGCAAGAGAACAAGGGACAAGATTCCGAGAATTTGGAATCTCGAAATGAATTACCGTCCACCTCAAATTCTGGGGAACGGGATCCCAGTTCACAAACGCATGAAGGATTTTCGGAGAAGTCCGTTGACACTTCCCAGAAGTGTGATCAAAGTTCTGAAAAATCTCAGAACGATTCCGAAAAAATAGAACAAGGAAATACTTTAAATAATTTCTTAGAAATCTGTAAGAAAAGTCCACCCGATAACGAGATTTTGCCGGAGGTAATAAACAAAGATGGCGTGGTTCCTGGCGGGTTCCAGGAAACTGATTCGGTGAAAGTTTCAACTGACGAAAATTCGGGAAAAGAAAGCAATTCTTCTGAGAAATCTGAAATGGGCGAGACAAAGTATAAGGAAATCACTGAGGAACCAGAAGAGCAGATTGCGAACGGTGAAATCACGGATTCTACCAATGCGGACTGTGGGACTCTGGGTTGTGAAAGTGCGGCGGTTATTCCAGGATTACAGGAAATACAGGGGGTGGTTGAAGATGATAATGATAAAGCCGTCGCTGGCGATGATGAGGCGAAATCAGATGTCCCCTCGGAGAAAACTGACGACAAACCACAGGACACTCCTGTGGAAGAGATTGTGGGGGAGATTTTGGAAGGAGCCACAGTGGATGTTGAAAAAGGTAAAGCAAGCCGGGTTGATGACCACGTATTGGAGTGTGAAGCTCTCAAGACAGAGATCTCTCCTGGAGATGAGGGTGATGTGATTTCACAACAAGAAAATGGTGGGATTCCCACAAATTATACTCCTTCTAAAGAGATTAATACAAAGGCAGAGGAAGAAAAGGACATCAGCCTCAAACAATCCACGGAAGAAATGCCCAATGACTTGGGTGCAGGTGGGGAAACAGAACAAGAAATCGTCCTGACAGAGAAATAGTGATACAGCACATTATAAATTGTGTTTTGTGCAAAGTATAAAAAGATAAGTTGAATAAATATTTACTCTTTTCAAAAGATGGATTGCGTTTCCAGCAAATTCCCTTCATACAAAGGAAATTTAAAAAAAACTGCCAAGCATGACCTGAGAAAATATAGCAATAACTGACCATTAAATTTCTCCTGTGAAGCACCAAATTCTCATTTGTGAAAGGGATTTTGCTGGAACTGAGAGATGTGAAAGCCGCCATAATGATATGGACAGCTTAATTAATTGTATTTTCTGATTTGAATACTAGCATTGCTGTATCAAGTACAACTCATTACAGGCATATGGTAATACACTGCATGTTCCCAGCATGTCAAGACAGTCAATATATGCAGTATATCAAATCAAAAATAATTTGTCATAGTATGTCTGTACATAAAAATATTAAAGTCTAACACAATTAATAACAAGCAACAAAAAGATTTTCGATATTGTATATTGTTTTTTCTCTTATCTACCAACACATTGATTGATGTTATATCTACATGAACCAAACAATATCTTATGTCTTCACTATTACAATACTTCCCTGACATATTATTCAACATGAATTATATGTTCAATATAGTGCCTTAAAAGCAGTCTCTATTAAGTGTCTCTTTATGGAGCAGGGAGATTTAATAACATGTTATTGCCATCAGGTAGATATGCAACATTTGGTGCATGGCTGATCCTATCTGCTATTTCTTCTGCAGCTTCTATTCTTCGTAGTTCAATCAAACCTTCACCAGCCTCCTTGAATGACTGCGCAATCAACGATGCACCGCGGGCATCACCCTCGGCTGAAACGATGGCTGCAAGCTTTTGTTGCTCAGCCTAAAGAGAATGAATGAAAAACAGTTGGTAAAGGGATACATTTTTTCCCTTCAAATCTTCATCTTACCTTTTCAACCAGAAATCTTGCTCTTTCAGCTTCCTGTTGAGCTAAAAACACACAAATATTGTGAATGAAGGTTACATTGATATATTTCAAAGCTCCAAAGTTGTACATACCAACTTGTTTTGCCTCGACAGCTGCTGTGAATTCATGTCCAAATGTTAGATGAGTCTAAAAAGATAGACTGGTTGTTGAATGAGGTTTATTTAAACTTGTTGATTTCATACAGGTAGTGCTTTATATCCAGGTACAACAAATATACTTCATTGCTTACAATTGAGATATCATCTAAGATCAAACCGAATGATCTTCCACGTTCAACCAAAGCTTCTCGCACTTTGTATGAAACCTACAAGAAGAATGCATGTTACAAAAGACTTCACTCAAATAGAAATGGCCAACTAACATGATACTTACAACTTCTCTTTGGGTGATGAGTTCACTTGCATCAAACTGGGCCTAAAAAATTTTGATTCAAAATGAACAGTTATTGTATTCAGTGGGAACCCAAGTCTGTTCCAAAGATATGTACCATACTCACCACTATGGCTTTCAACACCTCTGTTGTAATGGACGGTAGCACCCTCTCATCATAATCTTCACCAAGACTTGTAAAAATTCCTGGTAATCTTTTCGCTTCTGGTCGGAATAATATCCTCAGCGTAATATTCACATTTTGTAAATCTTTACAAGAAATTATATTTTTATGTATTAACTTTGTATCAAACAACTTTCATCAAATGATATCACGGAGGATAATGGTTAAAATTGCTTACACACCTTTGCTACCAGTTGTCACAGGGACGTTTCTTGGTCGACTACGAATATCAAAAATGATTGGTCTTTGTACCCAAGGGATTAGAAAATGTGTCCCTTCATCTGTGACTTCGTCTTTAACGCCTTGAAAACGATCAAATATCACCGCCCTATGTCCGCCTTCAACTGTGGAAAAACAAGAAATGTACAAGAATGCAGAATGAGAATGCGATGAATGCAAAACTAAAGATTAATTCAGGTTAGGTGTGATGATGGTTGCATCATTTCTTTTTTCAAATATTCCCATCAGTTGGTGCGCATATTGTATACAGTTAAAAAGGTAAAATATAATAATTTGTACAGTTTCATCTGAGCAAAGTACTGACCATTATATAACGCAGTATTAACGACCCCTCCGACAACTGCTACGCCAAGGCCTAACGACGCAATTTTATTCAAAAAACTTGATATGCTGGAAGCCATTTTGGAGGATTATTACCACATGTTCTTCACGTTCTTGAAGAATATACTCGGACGATTCTCGAGACCTGGTCGTAACATGTCGTCCAGCTGCGTGTTCCTCGCATCACGTTCTTCGTTTTTCGTGAGCACGTTCTTCGTATCACGTTCCGCGCAACACGTTCCGTGCACCCGAATCATAACATTGTTTCACATGACATGAGTAGTTTGTTGTTTTTAGTTTAAGTGCTTTGATGTAAAATAAAACTTTCTATGGTTGGAGCATAACTTTATTTAATGTTGCAGGTATGCAATTAAATTATAAACTTTGTGACAAATTATGTGTGTATTTTAAATATTAATTATATACACTTTGGTATTTTGCTAGTTTTCAGGATAAAGTGTAGCAATTGGAGGCAAACAAAGTAAAGATTCTCTGATCTTTCGCTGACGACACCATGGGGCCATTTTGGATCCAGCATTGTCAAAATTCCCACAACTTTTGCTTGTAAGTACACTTAAAATGAATGCTCTTGATTAGACAAAGTAGTATACATAGCTGAAGTGCAATACATTATGCATTAAGAACAATAGATAATCAGTTAATTCAGTGTTGTTTAACTACTGAAGTTGCTACATTCAGGCTCGTTGGTACTTTGAGTATAACAGCAGATGTTGTGTTCTATGAACCCATTATTCAATAGTATATTAGTTCTCATAGACAAGTGCAACTGTCTAGCAAAGACTAGCATATGACATGCATGTGTTTTACCCACCGCTGACAACTCTCACGTGCTTTCTTCATATCCATGTCGAGGATTTTTGGTGTTACAATAGAGCTTTGTGAAGTTTCAATAGCTGGCAACTAAATTGGAAACATCTTTGTATGCAAACTAACATTAACTTTGGCTGTGTGTTATGATTATTACAATGATTGAACTGACTTCAAAAGGAGTTCTTTGAAAGTGCATTGTGTGAAAAAGGATGTTATTCTCTATTAATTTGGATACAATCTCACAAGCTTGTTTACTTCCCACCTCCCAAGATGTTGTGTCAACTTCTTCAGGAGCAAAGAACTTAAAGCCTTTAATACCACTCAAATTTCCAACATCACCAGAGTTCCTTTTAAGCATTTTGGTCAAGTGATCTTGTCGTTTCTTGTGTATTATTAATTGTTGCTCTGGAAGCTGGGACATGGAAGTACTAGAATACACTCTTTTGATGTGAGGTCGAATGAGATGAACACCATGGTCCTTATTTAATTCATTGCACCTTGAGAAAAATACAATAGTCATATTAGAGAGGTGGAGAGGTGGTCATATTAGAGAGGTGGTCATATTAGAGAGATGGTCACATTAGAGAGATGGTCATATTAGAGAGATGGTCACATTAGAGAGGTGGTCATATTAGAGAGATGGTCACATTAGAGAGATGGTTGTATTAGAGAGATATAGTCATATTAGAGAAATGGTCATATTAGAGAGATGGTCATATTAGAGAGATGGTCACATTAGAGAGATGGTCATATTAGAGAGATGGTCATATTAGAGAGATGGTCACATTGGAGAGCTGGTCATATTAGAGAGCTGGTCATATTAGAGAGCTGGTTATATTAGAGAGCTGGTCATATTAGAGAGCTGGTCATATTAGAGAGCTGGTCATATTAGAGAGGTGATCATATTAGAGGTGGTCATATTAGAGAGATGGTACATTAGAGAGCTGGTCATGTTAGAGAGCTGGTCATATTAAAGAGGTGATCATATTAGAGAGATGGTCATATTAGAGAGGTGATCATATTAGAGGTGGTCATATTAGAGAGATGGTACATTAGAGAGCTGGTCACGTTAGAGAGCTGGTCATATATCAGGAGATGTCTTATGCAAGCGATAATACTCACATTTGTTTAAAACACATATACATCTCGGTTTTCTTTTGCATTTCTTCAGTTTTCCGTTGGGTCAGTTTCTTCTTTTTCTATAAAATACAAAATCTTTGATGGTCTAAACTGAGAGTATAGCTTCTTAAATAACCACTTCAACAATGCATCCAGACGAGCTGTAGTAACCTTCATAGTTGTTCCCATGTCATATTACCTCGGCTATTCTTTGTTCCATATTCTTAAGATATTCTTCAACCTTACGCGGTCTTTGGAAACCCTTACGATACTCTTTTATCGCTTCACAGATCTTCTTCCATTTTTTATGGAGTACATACTTCCTCACCAGGCATGCAAGACGCGTTCCAGCCGCGTTGATGGTTTTCTCCAGCACTGCCATTGCCACCTTTGAAAAAATAGCGAGAAATTCCGTTTTTAGAACAGAGCTTATTGATATAGAACAAGTTCCAAGTTTCTCAACTCACTACGTGTTTCTCCTGTGGTATTTTCTTCGAAGCTAAAGCGTCGTTTAGTAGTTTGATATTTCTAATCATATCTTTGCTCCTTATGTGCAAATTTTGCTCGTTCAAAATGCGTGAATTTTCTGATTTTAAGCTTGCTACGATAGCGTCTTGTTCTTTCAACTTCTTCTTCATTTCACCGGCTTCTTTTTGCATTTCTTGTCGTTGCGTTTCCTTCGCTCTCGACTCATCCTGTAGCTCTTTCGCTAAGAATGTCACCTCTTTGTTTAACATTGAATTCTGCCTCGTCAATTCCTTATTTCTTTCCATCAAATCAACATACTTGTCCGTCTGTAAAACAGAGAGTGAGAAACGATAATTTTTAACACAAGAAGTGATATACTTCCTTCAATAATTCTAGAGGTTTAAAGGGTCCTAATTTCGAGTGGAATTATACACACTTCAGATTCAAGCCAGGAACAGTTGAAGGAAAAATGGGTCAACTACAGGTCCTCCGGTAGGAATCGAACCTATACGCTTTTGCGATGCCGGTGCAATGCTCTTGCTACTTGTTCCTGGTTTGAATTTGAGGTGTGTATAATTCCACTCGAAATTAAGACCCCAAAAATCACAATTGATTCGTCCTTCAATAAGTTATAAGTTCTTCAAAGTGTCTGCATGTGTATGTGATCTTCAGCGAATATCAAATCTTCAACGGACTTACTGGTGGAATGACAGTCTAATTTAGTCAACTAACAGTTTAATTTACTAAAATACCTCGCTATGTCTGAGTTTCAACAATTCAACCTCTTGACCCGAGAGTTCCTGTCTTGCTTGCTTTAACTTCTCTGCCTGTAAGTTTCCCAGCTCTCTGGCTTTCTTAAGCAGTTCTTCTCTGGCTTCTAAGTCCTTTTCTAAGAAACTCTTCGCCACAGAGTTGTCTTTCATTTCAATTCTCTTGTTCATTAAAGCCTGCGACATTTTGAACTCCATTTGAACCATGAGCTCAGTGATCCCTCCAGCCATCTTCAGCAGTTTAATGTGTGGATCTGTCGTCGTTTCATCCTCAAGTAAGTTAGGAAGTTTCCGTATTCCGTGGGCTGCATCAGCCAAATCTAAAGCGAAAAAAAAACAATTTCGCATATATTATTTCCCATGTGAAACGGAGTGAAGGTTTACCCCGTTATAAAGGAACTTTAGTGCTACGGTTAAAGAAGATATCTATACAGGAGGGCATCTGTATATAAGTTGTGATCGTATTAAAAGTTGGCTATATAAGTTTGTGTTCAAGATCTTTTTGTATCAAAGGGGTATTTTGTGGGGAAATTTTAGAGAGATATTTTATATTTATTTGTTCTAGATAGGTCTCTGTATTAGAGATTTATCTGTAGAAATATGCTTACTTTCTCTGTCAAAAAGCGTAGCTAAGCATTCTTTAAATCTATTCACTGCCCGGAATATCACGCTGGTGTCTCTGTAGATGTTCTGAAGGTTTACTTTGTATTCTGTCTCTAGTCTCCGTGTTTCTGCTTGATGTCGATCCGACTCTCTCTTCACGTATTCTCGCAGTTTCTGCATTTCATATTCGTATTGTAAGTGAAGTTTAGCCAACATTTGTTTCGACTCCAGTAATTTGTCAGTCGCGGTGCCACGTGCCGTTCCCGTGTTAGCCTGCAAGCCCGCGCGCATCAGGCTTAATGTCATCTCGCGGGCAACCTCCTGGATTCGTTGTTCTTGGAAATTAATAATCTCCTCTTTTGCTTGAACCTCATTGGATAATTTGTCTTTCTCCTGTTGCATTTCATTCTTGGTCCGTTCCCAGGCCTCCTGCTCCATCTCAAACTGTTTTTTCAAGCCTGGGGTAAGAAAAAGTTAAATTTAAAACGTCATCAAAAGGACAGTCGATATTATCCATTTGGCTTTGGGAGGTTGGCCGTCGCTCACAAGAGCTAACTAAGTCGACCTTTTAGCAGGAAATCAGGAGTTATCTGCAGGTATTCTGTGTCCTCCTTGTCCGGAAGGACTGTCCGGGAAGACAAAACGACCATCAGGGAGTGAGCTGAAATATTATTTGTAAACACGAAAGATTCTTTTGCACAGCTTACTCTCAGCTTGAAGTTTATACAACTGTGTTTCCTCTTCTAACTTTAGCTTTTCCTGCTCGAATCTTCCCATTTCCGTTTGCAATTTCATTTTCAATTCCTTTACTAAACTCTCCCTCGCCTCTCCCGCCTTTTTCAGTTCGTCCAACTCCGCTTTCGCTTCTTTTAAAGACATTATGACGGAGGTTCTTCGAGTATCTTCTTTTTCCTTCTTTTTCCGTTTCTCCTCTTCCTTGTTTTCTTTCTTGGTTTTTGCATGAACGCCATCTTTCGAAGTTCTTCTTGTTGTCTTTTGTTTGGCTTGCTCCTGGCTCGGTTGTTTTTCAGAGCTGGCTTGTTTCTCAGAGCTCGGTGGCTCTTCTTTAGTTACCGATGTTGTTTTGATTGGTTGCTGGATTGGTTCGTCAGGCTGTTTTGTTTTCTGTTCCTCCTGACGAGGCTGTGGTTTTACAACAGGCTGGTGTATTACAACAGGAGGAGGTGCTTGTCTCTTCAACTCTCGCTCAGTTTTAAGAGCTTGTTCCTGTTCTTCATTGAGGCATTCCAGTTCATATATTTGGTCTGATTTCTCCTTAATCATCTCGTCTCTGACGTCCTAAATAATTAATCCAAGACGAAAAAGGTTACTCAAAGTGTTTTGAGTTGTCGTTTACTCGCTGTAAGAGACGTGTTTTCAAGCTGCTTCGACAACCTGGCCTGTTTCAACACCAAAAAATACTTCGAACCTAGAACCAATGACTTTATAAGCATTCAAAGACCTCAAACATACCACTTCCTTCCTTAGTTCTACGATATCATCTTGACATCTTTCCACTTGAGTTTCCAAGGTCTGTTTCTTTTTCCTTAAAGATTTCACTTCTTTCTTCTCCTTATTCAACTTTCCTGTGACAGAATTCAACTGCAGTTCTATTTTAGTCTTCTCCTCAAGTCGTTTCTCCGCCAACTCGGTCATGAAGCGGAATTGCTTGTGCGCGTTGGTGAACGTCTGTTTCACTCGGGGATTTGTGTTCGAAGCAGACGCCTCTTCGAGAACCTGACCGATAGCGTTGGAAGCAGTCCGCCAGTTTTTAGACTCCCCGAGTGATTCAACTGAAACAAAACATGTAAGATAAGGACTAGCAAATTATTGAAATAAAGGAAAGGCAAAACTGGCTGGTTAAAGATTTCCTTGTGCAAAGAATTCGTCTATATTCTGAAAAAGGATTTCCAAAATTGCCATCTGAATAACAATATCATACGATCGAAAACTTTATTTGCAATGTATCTTGATTTTTGTTTATTCATCTTTTCTTCAAGCAGTTTTCTTTTCTCGTCTTCTTTGTCTCCGGTATCTTCATCTTCTTTGTCCTTTCCATCAACATCTTCAAATTTTACCAGCCCCATTTCTTCTGATATCGATGTCAATCGTCTGATATTCTTCTTTACCTCCCATTCGGAAAACAAATTCTCCTGTTCGCCGAGGTCGTAGTGTGCAGGTGCAGGTGCAGATTCTTCCGTGGGTGTCTCGAGGAAATTTCCCGGGAGCGAATCAACTGGATATCGGTCCATCCATTCAAGTACTTCGTTCAGTAGTATTTGGCGGTCAAAGGATATACTATTAAGATCATCAACGATGTTCAACATCACTTGGCATACTGGCTCCTGAGAAAATCAAGGGCAAGAACGTTTATCAACATTTTAGATCTTCGTTTATCAACATTTTAGATCTTCGTTTAGCAAGCATAATCATGGCTGATTTTGATCATCAATGGTTTTACTTTAGTTTCCAATGCTGAAGCTTCAAGCATAAAACGGAATCGTTACAATCCTAGCGTATCAACTTTCTCACGTGCTCACCTCCATTTCTTCAGCAATCGTCGTGACAGCAGCATCATTTTCTTCCTCGTTTTCATCTTCGACAGTCACTTCATCTTTCGTCCCAGCAACAGATTTTCTTCTCTTCTTTTTGGCAACTTGTTGTTTCCCTTGGGACAAACATGTTACCCTCTCCTCAATCTCGCCTTTCAAAAACTTTCTTATTTCCTCTTTGATGCGCGCCTCCTCGTTTTCTGAGAAATGAAACCGACAGTTGTTGCAAGGTAAATCCAATACGAATATCTTTCGATTGCTGTAATTTTCATGAAGTTGGCAAAATCTCAAAGTTATCATCACCTCCTTAGAATCTAAGTTCTTTTCTGTAGACATTTTTTCTCATAAAACTTCGTTTAAGCGTGTCAAACCCATTGAACTGTAAACAAACTGAAACGATAACTCAGGATGGAAAATTGAAGCAAGTGCTTTTTACTTTTTCCGAGTTATGAGCTGAAATACTTAACGCCAAATGTTCAAATGTTGAGCCGTATATGAAATTAAAGCTATTAAAAAGTTAATTTCGTGTGGAAATTTCGAGAGTTAGTTGGGAAATATCTAAAAAATATTTGAAAATTTCCCGGTTTTTTCCGGTTGGTGATTGTTTTTGTTTTTTTAATACATTTCTTTTGTAGTTTAAGTCTTGAAATTTCGACATAGAATAGAACTTTTCGATAGCTGTAATTTGAGATACAGCTCAACGGCGTTCAAGCTGATATAGGGATGTTTGTCAGGAGTTAGCGTTCCAGTTTACCTACAGTTCAATGGTCAAACCTCATATTACCTTCACTTCCTATCATTTTCTTGGCGGGAACCAAGAGCTCTCGGGGCATCTGTTCCGCGTAGAATACATCAACTGTTCTTACGACGTTTCGAAGAATGCTCTCGAGATGGTTCGACGCATCTTCGCGCACTCGTCGTAACTGATTTCGTTGGATGTTCGTGAGCGCGGCCAGCACCGACTCGGGGATCATCGTGAGCTGATCGCGGAGTTTCGTGGGAGCAGATGTGTCGCTGTCCATGAACGAGGATCGACCTGGACAAGTAAAAGTAAAATAATAATACAACAACTCGCATTTATTGATGTGGTCGAATTCATTAGATAGATCATTAACTCTGAGTTGAACAGGTTTAAAAAGGCCCTGCATGACTGCGTTTAGACTGAGGCAGCACTCAGTAACAAAAGCACTGTGCTCAGCATATTTTATCAACCATGTTTTGACATTGAGCACCATTGCAAGGCATTTGCTGTCTGAACGCGGCCTTATACAGCCTCATGTGAGTTGAGATTAGTTTGTTTCCTTTTGTTCTTTGAAAGTTGATTGTGGCGAGTTGATTTGAACAGACAATGCGAGAGTTTGAAGACAGATTCACTTAGGTTAGGAAAGTCCTTGCGTTTTTTAGACAGACTTGTGGGGCTTGAAACTCTTTGCTCAACCCTGTGTCCCGAGGGGTGATGATGGCAAGTTTTCATGTTCAGTTTTGAATAACTTACTGTCTGTATACGTGGAGGAAGAACCACAACGGCTGCTCATCGTTAACAAACTCCTGACAGTGCTGTGGCGTATTGCATGAACAAACGCCTCGGGGAAGTTTTCGCTGTTCTTGGAGATATTTCGCTGTTTAAGGAATTCTAACTCATCATCGCTGTCCGTGAACATCACAGATTCTCTTGTCACGTTTTCTCTGTCCATTTCTGACTGAACAGAAAACAACACAAAACGTTGACAATTTGTTATTAAATTCGCCGAATAAAAAAACTCAGCCTTATTAGTTCCTAACACGGTAATTTTACCTTCTTATTATTTGAATCGTTCTTGTTACTAAAACGTGACTCTTCTTTTTCTTTGCATGTTTAGCGCGTGTTTAGACCGAAGATATTTATGACGTCATAATTGATCAATGCTCGTTTCCTTCTCGTCCCCATGTCTCTGACATACGCGACCACACACCAATGTTAATTAGTGAGTAAAGATGGCAAAGCTATGGTAAAGCGCCTCTCTCCTCCACAGAGGCTTTCGAGTCGTTTTTTATTGCGCTAGACAGTGGCGCGAAGGGAAACCGCTAGCTTTGTGATTTACCTTCGCGCCACTGTCGAGCGCAATAAAAAATGACTCGAGCGAGGTAAAGCCTCTGCGGAGGAGAGAGGTAAAGCGCGCTGTACCACTGGCTGTACGCTACAATACAAACGTTTTGGTCAACATTTCGTCACAAATTGTAAGGACCTGCGTGACAGCCCTGCGATTTGAGCACATGAGAACTTCCTTCTTGCTTGAGTGCTTTGCCACAGGCGAAATACTTCGTGGAAAAAAAATCTCGAAGATCAAGACAAGAAAAAGTGCACAAGCTTAAAGATGCATTGTTCAATTACGTCAATATCTGAAGATGCATTTCACTTGACTTGTCTGAAAAACACATGTTAGTGGCCTTCCATTTATTCATTTTCGTCCCATTCATTTTAGGGGTACTTGCGGTTAATGTCACTTCCTTTGCGGAGATTTAAATCCAATTGAGTTCAGTGAAATATCTCCGAATGCGTGAAAGACTTCCTCAATCAAATTTCATCCACATGTTTATCAAACGTGGCTTTCAACACCTTAAGATAATAGGTCGCTGGAGAAAAGAAGTAACTCGATATTTATCGGACTCATCAATCGCTATCGTCCAATATGTTCTCCACAAGAAATTCATTTCATTGTTCGTCGTTACCGAAATCCTAAAAATACCCGCGTGAAGTGTTTTTAATTCGAATTTCAGGCTTAAGGTTCAAGTTTATGCTATTTCGAGCTTCGGTGTAGTCAATGCATTTGTGACGCAATTGCATATAAATGCCTAGTTTTACCTCTGTAAACCGACAGAGTTGAAAGTTGTAAACGAAGGGGGGGCTGCAAAGTCACTTGTATATTTGCATATCAATGGCCTCACCACATAATAACGGGAACGAAAATAAGATTACGCATGATACGAAGTCCGGGGGAGATACCGCCGACATATTGCCTCTTCCTCGTGACAGAGGGTCGCTTGTTATGGCCAGTAATAACGAGTACGAACCACTACGAACGTTTGAGACAGCAGATGACGAACAGCCCAAACGAACTGTCTTTGGTCGCAGATTGAATCGTAAGGCATTGATAGCATTCTTAGCCCTGGTTGTTGTTGCTGTTGCTATCATCGCGGTCACTGTTGTTCTCGTTGTTTATAATGGTAAGTTCGATTCTTTTAGCTTTGTTTTGGATTCGTTATATGAACCCGAACAATGCAGCACCTACCTGCAAATTATCAGACCAGTTATTAAACAAGACTGGCGGGTTCGCTTATATTGAATTCAATTCAACGTGTTTTCTGCTAATAGTGTTCGCAAGCGTCTTCGTTTAAAAAATATAAAGAGACTCTAGATTTTTTCTACAAATTCTTTGGTTATATTCTTCCAAAGGATCGTTTTGATGTTAAGAATTACATTGTAGGGGGATTCTTAACCGTATACATGTAGTTGTGTATACGACGATGAATTTAACAGTTTAATGCTAGCCTTTAATTCACAAACCAGCATATATTGGCTTTCATGCAGTGTGTACAAGCTTAATGTGGCGAATTCACAGCTATTATCGACCATTTACTATGGCTTAGGAAGTATTAGGTAGAGATTTCGTGCCTTATTGATATAAGTCACTGAATTTATCACTCAACACCGGCAATAGTGATAGATGCTACTGCGATATTCTTCATAAAGGCCGTACAGTCATATTATGTATTTTATTGTATAGGGAAATAGACGACTATTATCATGTAAATATGTGGCCATTGCCCGGACGAATATCACGTAATTTGCATAATCTATCTTAAATATACACACGTATACATACAAAGCGACTCTTAAAATATCGATATTTGGCGTATGCGTGTCGAGCGCGGGTTCTCTCTTGCCAAAAAACGATTTCTGTGAATTAAATTTTCATCTGTTTGGATTCTAATTGATTTCAATTTATTTATCTGTTTGTCATCACATCCACCCTTACGGCCCCGTTTTCCCGGCGTTACTCTGTCATCACCAATCAAGGATGGGCTTTTAGCTATAAAAATCTCGCAAGAATGATCCTTAATTCTGTCTAGAAAGCCTTTCTTAGGCTCTTACTGGATTTTTTTCTCCACCGTGGTCTAGACTCCTAAAAGGCCGAATCTGTTTCTAGGAGAGAATGGTTAATCGTTCAAGTGATTTGTGTCCTGATTAATCCCTTTTGTCGACATGTTTTTTTTCAATTATTCCTCCAGTACTGAACTCTATCAATATTTATCAACAGCGAATATTTTGAACCCTGTGCGGCCGTGACAAATGTTATTGCAATATTTTGTTTTTAGTTATTTTAATTGACCCTGTGTAAAGTATGTCTTTCCATACCATCCCGAAGTAATAATCGTATAGGTCAACGGGATCACGCCATGAATGAGTCGTCATTACAAAATGCAATATCAGTCTTTACTTTTAGACTTTTAGTCATGTAACAAAAATTTTGTAGGCTGTTTGGAAGTTATTGCACCATGTGACCCACTCTGTGTTATCTGGCAAACAAGGCTGTTTATTTATACTTTTACAACTGACAATTACACAAAGCGATTTTTTATCCTGTTTACATCATAACGTAACCTAAGTGCATGAGTATTCCTAACTAAATACTGCAAGAGCCATTCATTGCCATAGTTGGCAACCTGGCGGCATGACGTAAACTGCAAGCTGTGTGGATGTCGTCTAAATGACTTCTGTCTGTCAGACCAGCTGCATGTGTCTCGCTAGAAGCTTGTCATGTTTGTCTGGAAATCACCAATAGTCAGGCATGCAGTGAAGCAATTAATCATACCTTGCGTGTCCTCTAACTTTTTTTTAATTGTAATTATCTTTTTTTTGCTCAACTTTAGATTCAGAAAATAACAACAGCGAGACAAAAACAAAACGAGATGAAAACCGCTATCAGTTTGACGACATGTTTGGAAGAGAGTTTTATGCAGATATCCCGGATGAAACCTGGATTTCTGGTAAAATTTGTGTATAACAACATTCATGGAAGCATGCAATACCTAGGCCATACCACCGACCACAGGCTAATTCTTAGTCTACCTCGCGGGCTCTCTTTTAGCCCCCAGTCTTCCTCACACGTTCCCTGATTTCAGTCTGTGAAATTTGCCAGCGCTGATGTGCGTTAGGCCAGGCTCTGCATTCTTTTGAATTTTTATCTCACAATTATTTAGATGATACCGTGCTCAGAGTGAAGAATGGTGACGTGAACCAGTATAATTTTGCTACCAACAAGACAAGTGTATTATTCTCACAAAAAACACTCGTAAGTTAGTTTAACTTCCATTCGTTTTAACTAAACCACTCATGGGAGACTGAAGTGACCCACGCAGTACACAGACACGCACGCACATCACTGAAGGGTTAAAAAGAGCATGCATCATCGATTGATTTTATCCACCTGTTTTCAAGCACACAAGACGATTATCTGTACTTAAAAAATTATGTTCATTTTCTCACTTGGATTAGTACGTTAACTACTTGCTGACTACCATATACCAAATGGAGTTCACTTTTTATCTTCGTAATTAACCTTTAGCGGACCACCCGCGTCATACGGAGATTTAGCTCGAGGACGTGAACGTCAAAAATGGCGTGAAAATGTCGAATAAATGGCGTGATGCGTCCATATATGGACATGCGATTTTCTTCTTTTGATAGATGCGAACGAGTGATTAGTTACCAATGCTCTGATGTGTACGAGCTTCAATTTGAACATCTGTAACTAATTCACTCGTTCACATCTATCAAAAGAAGAAAATCGCACATAAAATCGCAGCAAAAATTGCAAGTGTAAACGGGCCTTCAGCTGCGATTTTATGTGCCATTTTCTTCTTTTGATAGATGTGAACGAGTAATAAGTTACGAATGCTCTGATGTATAAGAGTTCTTATTTGAACATCAGTAACTCATTCACTCGTTCACATCTATCAAAAAAGGGAAATCGCCCTTAAAATCGCGGGCGTAAACGAGCCTTAATTCATGCACCAATATTTCTGTGTCATGCATTTCACGTGTTATTTCACGTGCTCTGTTCGTAGGCAAATGTAGGAATATATATGTATGAAAGATCAAGCTATAACACATTATCACCAGATGGACAATGGATGCTGTTTGCTGTCGATGTAACGCAGGTCAGGATCTTACAAATTAATACTGAGAGACAAACTAAGACATCCATTTTGTTGTTCTATCAAGCAAACAGTGCAAAATCATCAAGTTTTACTCCATTCCTTTCATTGCTCTTTCCAGTGTTAAAAGAATCACTTTCGCTCAATTATTCCATTTTTTTACATCCATTTCAACCGAGGCTGCTATGCAGTGCTTTTTTTTTCTTTTTTCTTACTACCTCATCTTATTCTATTCTTTTTGTAGAAGTATCGATACTCCACTGTTTCGAAGTTCGTCGCTGTAAACAAAGAGACCAAGTAAGGCTATGAACACACAAGCGTCGTTTTCGAGCGTTTTCAAAAGCGTTTTTATCTTGTTTATCGCTTTTGACGCCTGGTCCACACGATCCAAGGGGAAATATGCTTAATATGTTAAATGAGTTTCAAACTTCTATTGTAAATTGACGGTGTTTGAAAGCGTTTTAGCATGAAGACGAAGATGAAGTTTTGGCTCGAAAACGTTACCTTGTGGCACATAGTCTAAGTTTAGATCATTTGAAACGCGAAATAACGACACGATACATATACACAATCACATCATAACTATACGAACCAACACGTCTAGCTTGGTCTTGTTCATAAAATAAAAATCCACTGCACTGTCTGTTCCTCGTATATGACGCCTCAGATAATGAACGAATCGTTTCATGTTTTCAGAAAGGGAGTTAATATAAGCACAGATGGGCCTGGTTCGATGTCTTCTATTCAGTATATTTCATGGGGAAATAAAGGCAACAGTTTGGTGAGTTTTTTGTTATAAAAAAAAACATGAATACGTTGTATCCAGACCTTTGTATAACGAATCACTCAAGTTGTTCCTTGATCTCTTGTTAAATTATACAAGAGAGTTTGGTAAGAGTTTATATATACAAGGGTTATCTTATGGCGAGTGGGGGTACCAGAATACCTCAAGGGAATCCTTTGTACAGGAGTGGACACAAGGAGATAGCCAACCGCTCATAATCCAAGCCGAGGTAAACGGTCTGAGTTCTAACCATATCTCACGCTATTTGATTCAGGTTTTTGTGTCGGACAATGACGTGTACTGGATTAAGTCGATAGAACAACCAAATGCCGTTCGAATTACGTCGAATGGAAAGAAGAAGATCATGTTTAATGGAATCCCTGATTGGGTTTACGAAGGTGGGCCTGGATTTTCAAACTCGGAGAAAGTAGCTCACTAAAGTGAAATAATCGCAAGCTTGCTTGGGCCAGTTGTACGAAGGCTGGATAGCGCTATCCACCGGATAGTGATTTTTTCAACCGTTCTAAAAATGCTCGAGAAGCGATGAATTTTGATCTCTGGAACCAACAATTGTTAAAGAGGAACCTTGATTTAGGAATACTAAGATTTAATCAAAGTTATAGCAAACAACGGGTGATTTTAAAGCGATTGAAAAAACCACTATCCGGTGGATAGCACTATCCGGCTTTCATACAACTGGCCCCTGGTGTTCGCTTCTTCAGGGTATTCGACTTAAGAGTCATCAAACTTGTTCACTTTCAGAGGAAATCCTTGGTGTAAGACCAGCGCTTGTCGTATCCCCAGACGATAAATATCTGTGTTTTGCGAGTTTTGACGATACAGATGTTCCACTCTTCAAGATAGCTTACTATGGTAAACCCATCACACCTTACACACGTATTCAGGATATTGCCTACCCAAAACCTGGAACGAAGAATCCCATTGTACACATTTATATTTATGATGTTCAGAAGAAAAAAAACATCAAGTTGACGCCTCCAACAGACATGAAGGATAGGTAGGGGTTGTTTGTTGAACTATGTTTAAATATAGTAAAGGCCCTGTTACACAATGCAATTTTTCTTGCAACTTGAAATGCAATTCTACTTTTGAGAGATGTAAATTTGGCCACTACGAAACTTTTATGTTTATTACACTCCATGAGTCCATGTACGTTTCTTACATGCACTTACATTTTGAATACTCTGCACTAATTTACATCTCTTAAAGTTAGGATTGCATTGCAAGTTCCAAGTAAAATTGCACTGCGTAACATGGCCTTAAGTCCTATTGATTTAACTTGTAAATATCCAGTTGTAAACTCGTGCTATGATGTTCGTCATCCAATTTACCACTATCCTTAAAAACGTAGATCACATTTAAGAACTGTAGCCTTGCCAGAAAAAATAATGTTTAACCCAGCAGCGAGTACATGCAGTACAACCTCAAGATAGTTCGACAGTTACCCCCCAAAAGGTCCCCCATTATCTTAAGGGGTCCCGTTTTATCTCTTAATGTTGCATTCATGAAATTTTTTCTCACTAGAGACCACTATTTTACTAACCTTGTCTGGGCGAACAGCGGGAAAATCAGTATTCAGTGGATGAATAGGGAACAAACAACAAGCGTCGTGATGAATTGTGAGGCGTCCAGTGGTGTTTGTACCGAGGTAATACACGGTAATACCGTCTCTCAGTGGCGGATCTAGAGGTGTGCAGTGCAGAATAAATCACACGGCTTAATTTTAAATTTAAAACACTTTAATAACAACGCTTTTGGTTATAGATTTGAGAAGAATATTTTTACATTAAAATCTACCAATGCGATTCCGATTTTAAGCTTTAGTAATTCATTCTGCACACCCCTAGATCCGCCATTGCCGTCTCTCTTTTCGTAAACCCAACCTTCGAAATACTCGTCTAGAGATTTGAAGTCGTACGGTTGAAAATAAGCCCGGCATATTCTGCATGTGGCCTGAAGAATAGTCATGATATGAACGATTGAAAAGTCAATAAATTGAAATGATTGAATAAGATAACGTTAGTCGTCTCTATAATCCTGCCTTAATCTTTTGTTTTAAGAATCAGTCTCGCGCCCTGCACATCAATTGCTTCTGAATTTCAAATCCTAGTATGATTTTGAACGAGTGAATATATTCTTGTTGCAGAATTATAGATTGGATGTTGAGAACGGATGGGTTGATCAGAACGTATGTAAAATTATTACTCTCACATGTACTTCCCGGCTCTATGAGTCTTCCGGTTTCTCGTTATTACCATGCAGATATTTCGTTGTGAAAATGTAATGTGAACATATTTTTCCAGTATCCTGACCCTCAGTTCTCAACCGACGGTGATTTCTATGTCCAATTATTACCTCGAGACGAAGGCGGAGATGCTGGGAAATTCTTACACATCGCCAAAGTTCCTTTCACTGTAAGTCGTTGGTTTAAAATCCAATGAATGAGGAATCAAGTTTCACCTTCTGACCTCGCGGAAACACATCAATGACACGAGAGGAATGAAGAAAATCCTGTTAGTCAATTTTAGGAAACTTTATTTTTTTTAGGATAATGCAAAAGTCGAGTTTCTGACACAGGGTCGCTGGGAAGTGAAGAGAATTGCATCTTTTGACAAGAAGAATGAAATTGTGTAAGTTGAAATCCTGAACTATGCTAGTGGGAGAATTTTGAATTGTTTTTTCCTAAACGTCCAGACTTTGTGTTTTAGATATTATGAAGGAACGGAAGAATCTTCGATGAAGCTACACCTCTACAGGTATGGATATCGAAGCTTTGAACTTCTTTTTCGTAAATGAAATTTATTTTAATAAATAGAGTGAAATATATGACTTGTGATTTCTCTCAAAGCGTTGATCTGAAAGGAAAGAAAACCTGCCTCTCTTGTGAGTTGAAAGAAACGAAAGGTAATCAAACAGTTCTTTTCAAACTTCCAATTCTTGTTTTCATGCTGAAGATGAACTATTTAATTGTTGCTTCTTTTTGTAGAGGGACGTTGTACGAATTACGATTCATCGTTCAGTACGAAGAGTTCCTGGTATATCCTAACGTGCCTTGGTAAGATTTTGATTTTCTAAATGAAAAATGTCTCGAAGCAGAGTTTCAGAAAATGAAACAATACATAGGTACACTACGTAAGTATTTAATACTGCAAAGCTTTCGGTCCGTTATAACCCGGGTCTTCATCATTGTCCGATGATGATGATGATGATGTGCACTGATGAAGGCCCGGGTTAACGGACCGAAAGCTTTGCAGTATTAAATTCTTACGTGTTGTACCTACAAGCTAATTTATTTATTTGATGTTACCATGCAAACGTACAAGAATAATAATTTGTTTGTAGGTCCTGGTGTTCCGATAAGTTGGTTCAAAAGTTCAACGGATAAATCAGGTTTGTTTGTCAAGTCCAAAGGTAATGGTAATTTAATTCTTAGCAGGGATAATATTTATTTTGTTTTGTTTTGTTTTGCAGAGATCCTACTTTACGCTAATACCAGGCTTGAAAAACTCTTGGACACGACGGAAATGCCAACGTATAAATATTATGTTATAAAGACAACTGATGAGGAATATGGTAAGAAAACGATTTGCAAATCATCTTAATGTGGACTGGTCATCTACAAGAGAATCGATCATTTGTTAAGATAAGGGTCTCATGAAACGTTCTATTCTAGAAATCCACGTGAGAGAATTAAGGCCTCCCAATTTTGATGAAAAGAAAAAATACGCCGTTTTATTCAATGTGTAAGTATGGGAGCAATAAGTCTTTAAGTGATCCCTAATTTTACTGTGTGCACGGGGTGCCTTACGAATTTTACCGTATGGGGTGCCTCCCTAATTTTACTGTATGGGATGCCTCCCTAATTTTACTGTATACATGGGGTGCCTCCCTAATTTTACTGTATACATGGGATGCCTCCCTAATTTTACTGTATGCATGGGGTGCCTCCCTAATTTTACTGTATACATGGGATGCCTCCCTAATTTTACTGTATACATGGGGTGCCTCCCTAATTTTACTGTATACATGGGGTGCCTCCCTAATTTTACTGTATACATGGGGTGCCTCCCTAATTTTACTGTATGCATGGGATGCCTCCCTAATTTTACTGTATACATGGGATGCCTCCCTAATTTTACTGTATACATGGGGTGCCTCCCTAATTTTACTGTATACATGGGGTGCCTCCCTAATTTTACTGTATGGTCTGTTTACTCGTGAGTCACACCAATGGCTTCACGATTTACTCTTTTCTCTTTCAGGTATGGTGGACCAAGTAGCAAGGAGGTAAATGAACTAACTCAATTTTATCTCTTTCATGCGGTGACCCTCATAACCTCTCATACAAGAACATCTGTGTGGCCTCTGGTTATTTATTGCTTTATCATTTATATGGACCAAGATATAGTAAAAATCTAACAAGGGGGTCTTTACCTTAAATCTGTCTAGATAATGGAGACCTTCCAGACAGGATATCATACATATTTGACAAGCAATTTTGATATTATTGTTTGTGAAGTGGATGGTCGTGGTACTGCGTTCAGAGGAAGAAAATTTGAACATGCTGTTTATAAACAGCTGGGGGAATATGAGAAGAACGACACTTTGGCTGCGGCGAGGTAATCTAAACTCTTCCTTAATTGTTGCTGTTAACGTGTCACATGTAGGACAACCCGAGAAAAAAATTTTAAACTGGATAGTTCTATTAGTTCTAAACTGTTCTTGCTAGACGTCCAGTAAGGATCATCTCTTATTGATCCAGTGTTACTACAGGAGAAAACTTTAACTAGACTAACTTTATTTATACTGGATAGCTCTATCAGTTCTAAACTGTTCTTCCTGGAGGTCCAGTAAAAGTCACCTCTTACTGATCCAGTGGTACTACAGGAGGAAACCTAAACTGAACTAACTTTATTTACTCCTCACTTACTAAACCTTCTCACTAGGGGACTAGAAGGGATCGCAAACTACTTCATGATATAAAATATTTTGTATGCCTCATGTATAGATTTATGCAATCAAAAGATTATGTCGACCCATACAAAATCTCAATCTGGGGTTGGGTAAGTGCAAGGCCTGCACAAAGAATTGTTAGAGTTTGCATTTGATATATTTTTTAAAATATTCTGTAACAAGGGATGTCTACCATTTGTTTATCGAAATTTTGTTTTTATAGTCCTACGGTGGCTTTTTGACTTCATACATCCTTAGTACTCAAGATAGCAGAGTCTTCCAAAGTGGTGTTGCGGTCGCTCCTGTCACTGACTGGAGATACTATGGTAGGTTGGGTTATTACCATCAACACAACGACATGCAGCTATAGCCACGAATTCATGTGTATTCATTGCAGAAGTTTATCTATTTTAGATTCAATTTACACTGAGCGATACATGGGGATGCCGGACAAGAGCGATAATTATATTGGCTATGAGGTAAGCAAAACGACATATTCGCATACCATATATTATGAACAAGATGAAGAACACTGTCTTTTGACAACATGAATCTAAGTCAACTAGTTTTTCCTACAGTTCACGTCCGTTCTGGAGCATGCTAAAAACATTCCTGATAATTCATTTCTACTGGTACACGGAACTGGCGACGGTAAGTGGTACAATGGCTGTGTTAACTTCTCATAACTTCATCATTGGTACATTTAATAGCTTTTAAAGTCAGTCAGTGACAAGCTATCATCGTTATTCAATACAACAATTTGTTGCAGAGAACTGCAGATAGAAACTTTGCAATAACTCGATGAAGTGCCAACTTATTTTGACGTCAAAGAACTGAAACATTTGTTGTACTTTTAGACAATGTCCACTTTCAGAATAGTGCCCAATTAGTTGAGGTTATGGCAGAAGCTGGAGTGAAATTTGAAATGCAGGTAAGATATTTGATTGGTTCACTGGCGTGATCTCTTACAGTAGATAAATTCTCAAGCTTTGTTGTGTTCTGCATTACTAGATTTACACGGACAAACACCATTCACTAGAAGGAAATCACGTTCATAGGCATTTATATCACTTACTAACAGATTTCTTTAAAGACAAATTAAAGTTATAGCATTATGATGTAAAATCTATAAGATGATATTTTTATACTGACATTGTAATTATTAATATAGAACACTGCTATACGTGGTCAGAATTGATATAGAATGTTGATCATTCATTTTTAAAAATATATTTCGTGACCAAATTGTTTGAAAACTTTTTAAATATGTGAAAGTTCTCATCGTTTTGGCCGGATGAAACAACTAATCCCAAACGTGAGGTTATTGAATGCCTGCTGTTTTGCGGCGATGGACCATATGCGCCCTGTGCACGTTGGACCACCAGCAGGATGAAATTGACGAAGCTCAAATGAAAATACTAAATTCGGACTCGCAGGTGAGGTAATCTGAAATTCAGTTTATACCCCTTGGTGGTTTTTCTCGGGCACTCCGTTTCCCTCCTTTTCGTTCGGCTTCAAAAACAGTGTCCATGACTGAAGCCGAGCTCTCTATTGTCGAGGAAGTCAGTGAATGTTCAAATCCCAAAAAAACTCTTGTATATTTGTCTCGAAAGAATCAGGCATGCCTACTGTGAACTCACATTCTGAACAACAAGTTTCACGGCAAAAAAAAGCCCATAAAAATCCGGGGGGATGTGTTGTAGTGGGCTCAAAATTAAGCCTGGTCAGTGGTAAATACCATAAAAAAGGAGCCATAGGAACCATGTTTGTTTATATCCGGGAAACGTAACATTCCTTTATTTGGACCAATCAGAGTGTTTGTTTACAAGTGTGATTAACATATTTTAAAAGGAACTTGATAAATATTTTTACAAATACGATGGGGAAATATTTTTAAAATGTAATTTTTATCTTGATAGTAATCTGCATGAGCAAGCATGCGTTCAAGAAAGTTTTTCATTTCTTTATGTGTTGGTCTTGTGTTTTTTTGTACATTTCTACTGTTGTTTTGTAATCGGATTCCATCACCACAAAACTCTATTACAGAACCAAAATGGTTGCAGGAAAGTAGTTCAGACTTTGCAGAAAGATCACGTAAAGCCGTTTCCCTTTTAACACCTGATCTGGCATGGCTGGGGAAACTTGGAAAGGAAGAATTAAGTACAATTCCAGTGAATTTTCCAAACTGCAGTCGTTCAGTGTTTCTTACAATACTAGTGACAAGTGCTCCTGATAATTTTGAACAGAGAAACGCCATACGTAGCTCTTGGGCAAAATTACATCATAGTACGAAAAGTAAACGTTTTTTTACTGGACTATTAGGTTCATATGAACCAGATGATGTTGTTAAAACAGTATTCTTATTGGGTCGAAGTAGCACAAACGAAGTACAAGCATTAGTCAACAGAGAAATGGAGAGTTTCGATGACATTGTGTTTGGAGAATTTGAAGATAAATATGAAAATTTAGTGTATAAGACAAGGTTAGGTTTCACATGGGCATATTCCAGTTGTCAGTCAGCCTATGTGCTCAAAACTGATGATGACGTCTTTATTAACCTGTACCAATTTCTGCGGTGGATTGCGAGGTCAGAGGAGCGGAACTTTTACACAGGCTGGTGCAATTATAGAAGCAAAGTGAGCAGAAATAAGCTGAGTAAATGGTGAGAGATATCTAGAGAACTCTGTCATTGCACAACCATCAATATTAGGGTCAGGGTGTCTAATATTAGGGTGAGGGGTAGGTATTACCAAGGCGTCTCTTGCAGGAAGGTGTTTGTATTAATGATGGTCAATTCATAAGAGAGACATGTCCCTATTCAGAGACATGTCCTTATATTAGAGAGAGGCACATATATAATACTGAGGTCAATATCACCAAGGTTTCTATATTAGAGTCTATATATACATGATAGATGGTTAACATACAGAGGTTTCCATACAAGTGAAAGGTGGTTATCAGCATTTGAAATATCCCCAAGCCAAAAACTGATAGTGTTAGGTATATGATTAGCTATCAACTATTCTCTCTTATTATCATTGCAAGGTATGTTTCATTGGAAGATTACAGCGAGGATGAGTTTCCTCCCTACTGTCTTGGCGGTGGTTATCTGTTATCTCAAGATATATTGTCTCACATCATAAAACCAATGTACACAAAACGTGTGATTCACTTGGAGGATATATTCATAGGTGTCTTGATTAATGAATTTAATATACAACCAATTAACAATAGAAAAGGGTTCAATCTACTTTTTTCTGGAAATAAAAAACTCTGCGACTTCTTGCATGTATTTTTGGTCCATCCTGTAAAAACAAGTGAGATACTGAGTATGCATTTGCAAGCTGACCTTGCTAGAAAGATATGCTAACGTTACTGAAATATGCATGTTTGGTATATGCTCATAATTAGTAATTCAACTAACCTGGAATTTTTGTCAAATATACGTATTTAATTTAATACCCACATCACTAAGATCATCAATTTAGAATATAGTTTTAAATAATAAAATATTTTATTGTTTGTGTCTTGGTGAAATTGCTTCTTGGCTTGGTTGATTGTATATGTTATTCATGATAAAAATTTGACAGTCAAACTTTGACTCTCTTGTGTCTGGTCCAAGTCCTTTTTTCAAAAAGGCTTCCAAGGACACATATTTAGTAGCTGCCTCCGCAGGCGTCTCTTATGTATTAAATTATATTTGGTTATGAGGCATGGATTAATACATAAGAGATGCATATGGAGAAGAATATTTAGAAGAACTCCTTTAATTGCAACATTTCTTGATTTGTTCTGAAACAGTTAGAGCTTTCCTCATGGATACATCCTTAATTAGTATTTGCACATGAGTCTGTGTATGAATGGGGATGCAGTTTATCAAGCTAAATTTAATGATGTTTTTGGAATATTCCCAATTCCCATCTATAATAAACGGATTTTTGTACTGGATGGCTGGATCACTAGCTATTAAAGCTGGATATTATAAAAATTCTTTAGCACACGATGATATACCGGAGTTGTACCGACGTACCAGCGATGTTGTTACGACGAGGAGTCGAGGATACGACTATTACGTAATATACTATTAAACAAGTTACAACTGGAAGGTATATTTTCTGACAGAAATACCTTGTGGAAATAACTTTTTTTATCTTTATAAATGAAATTCTTTCATCGGAAATCGACTTTAAAGTAAGTCAAGTTCGTATTTACGTTTGCTTTAGTATTTAATTCGTTGTTTTGTGGTCCTAAATGTGTTGTTTTTTTCAGATTTGATTGGGAAACGGTCTCAAGTGCTTGGCATCGCAGATACCCAAACCCATTCAGCAAACACGTGTTGAGTGAAGACGTTGTAAGTCGGTATGTAAAGGTCCATCTAGTTTTTAAATTGTATTATTTGTAAGCTTTTTTGTACCTTTGTACTTTCTGGCAGTCAATCCACATTTGTTTTATAAAGCGTGCTTTGAAGCATGCATACATTGCTTGCCTTATATACTTAATTTAATATTTTCAACTTCTAGATGTTTAGAAAACGATGTTTTAAAGAGTAAAAGATTATTAGTTAAAACAAATCCAGCTCCAAAATGGACAACTAAAGTAAGTGACCGTTATTGAGGCGTTTCATCGGATTTCAATGCCTTGACCTTGTGTCAGAATGGCTATTTTGTTACTAGGGGTGATCACGGTTGTCAATATTTATCAGCAGATGAAATATTTGTCTGTTGTAACAAACAGTTTTAGAGTGAGGTCGGAAAACTTATATCATATTTGCTACGCATAGTTGTGAGTGATCTGAAGTAATCATTTTGCAAGGTGTAGGTGGATCTGTAGTTTGAAGTGAATCACAAATTTACTCAAATCAAGCCCTAAACAAATGACAATGTTGAAGATGCCTAGTTTAACTCAATCCAATTCTAGTTTGTAGGCAGTGGTGTGAAATCAGCGTGTATCATAGAGGAATCTCTTGTTGATCCTAAAAGAAAAGTTATGACAACATACTCCAGAAATATCTTCTTCACATCACTTATGGTGGTGGAGGAAAAATGTGTTTATTCTGTTTGCCCAAATAACAAAAACTGGTGAGTCTAATTTCTTTATACATGCCATGATACTTTTCCAAACCTTAACCATAGAAATTCTTAAATGTCCTTAACCTTTTTAGGACGGAATGTAGAAAGGATGCGTGGATAAGCTCAAATGTTTTTGGACTTGCAAGAGCGATAGAATCATTTGGTATTGAAAGATATAAGAAAAATATTGTCAAGGTTTGTCTATATGTCTGGTATCCATTTGATAACCTTGTTTAACAGTGATCTTTCCACTGAATTTACCTGATTTTCTAGGCTCGTAAAGGCTTGGAATACATAACAGAGAGATTGTTTACACCTGACAGATTGCCATATACAATGAAGAATCCGAACATTGGTTCACCTTAGTTGTGTCTGCCTTAATATAATTTGTATATAATTTTCTAGGAAATTTTATTTAATTATAAGAATTATGTGCATCTTGTTTTATGAAATAAAGAGGTTGCAGATTTAGACTTGTTTTTTTAACTACTAGTTTAAAAATGACAGGCCTTTCCATTGAAAAAGGAAGTTGCCTTGTACTTTAGCTAAGCAGAAAAGACAGTTATAAAGTCACAATCAATCCTAGAAGAAACACAGAATTAATTCTATAAGTTCACAATTTAGTTCAGTTTGCTGAATTTTTAGGCCTCTGCTTTAGTCAGAAAGATAATCTAAGCCCTGGAGTCACTTTGTCTGTGCCTTTTCAACCAGAACTAATGACTCTGACACACAGGAAATGCTTTTGTTTTGGTCCTTCAAATAATTTTTACTTATAGGAGCAACCCTTGGGGCTAGTGGGACAGGAAAGTTTTCTTAAATTGGCTTCAGGCTATTACTTGTCGTCGAAAACTCGCAGATGAAAAATTGTTATCTGATGCGGTTCTGTGATAATTTTTCTACTCAAAATCTGCCTTAAAAGCTTTTAAGTGTTGCCTACCAAGGTTAATTATTGATAATTGTAAAATATTTACATATAGTCCCCTCCCACACTGGTTTTCGCGGGACTTTCGTAAAGTTATGCGGAAAAATCTCATTTGAATGCGAACGTGTCCCGAAGAACATCGTCTCCACGTTTTTGGTTGAAATTCTGCTTATCATTTAGTTTGTGCTCCTAAATTTTGCAACTTAGCATCATGGTTAAGACAAGGAGTCAGCAGAAAATAGGTTTTCCTAAACGAAAAGCAAAACCTGTAAGGAAAGTGATCGATGATGAATCGAAGACAAGATCTTGTTGTATCGCGAAGCTGACTCGTGCTTGTCGCGACAAGCCGAAAGGTTCGCAAAATTGATTGATTTCTGTTTAGAAGTAAAATATATTGTGCTGTGATGTTTGTAGTTAGCAAATCCTTCGTTAGAAATGAATGTACAAACTGAAATAGATGTGGCTATCTTGTGAAATTCGATACACGGCTAGCGCTGTATAAAGATACATAAATGCGTGCGAATCATATATTTTGCACGCCAAAATATTGGGGTGCATTTCAGCTCGTTTCTTACAAATCGCATTTGTAATTCATCAATAAGCCTTTCTCCTTTCAGGAGTCGAAAGTCTGAATGAATCCTGGTCGTCTTCTGCAAAGAAATCAATGTCGGCAAGCCATGCTTCGGCTTTGCAAGAATATGAGATAATTGAGATGCAAAAGGAAAATTTGAATGAACCATGTCGGAAAACCCGACGAATCTTGAGCTACAAAGAGAATGAAGGTAATTGCAAACTCTACTGACACTTTCGCTTATATATTCTTGTAGAAGGAAGCTAAAAAATCAGTTCAAGTATGTACACCATTTAAACCCAACGTTTGGTATTGTTTACATTTATTCAAGATGGCGCGAAATTTTCCCGCAATTTGACATGTCATGCTGTTTATATGAATAAATTCCTTATTTTTTTTGGAAGTAAAAATGCGGTCAAATCCTACAGTTTATTCTCGATTCCACCGAAAACAAATTATGTCCATTTAAGAGAGTGGAGGTGTTCGTTAAATGAGTCATTAAATTCTTGCGATTTTGCCTGATTTTTGAATTCGGAAGTGAATGTGTTTGAGTATATTGATTATATTTTAAAATTTCTCGCGAAATTTTCGGCCACCTATGGTTTACCCAGCTGAAATGCCAGGATAATTTACCATTCTAAATGTAGCTATGAAGTTATACACTGATAGATCTAAAACTTGCAAAAAACATGATCATTTGTGGTACTGGATTCAATCATTCAAACCATAATTAGCAGTCTTACTTAGCATAACAATGAGACCAAAAATTATTAGTGATTGCAATAATCATTTTGTAGTGGTGATTGCAGTTTAATTACTTCTACCAAAACACCATTTCTATCATGGATTCCCATCATCTTGCTATCTAATGCTAAAGGTTTGGTTTGACCAATTTCTCAACACTCCTATAATTTTTGTCCTATCTTCAATGCTCCTAGATACCCATTCCAATATCCAAGGAACCCTGACAAAAAATAGAGAATTGAGACAACAGCCAACAGCTAATAATGAGGTGCAAAAACCTAGTAGCAAGGGAACTACTATGAAGGTTCCAGATATTGTTGTTCATAGCCCAATCAAAACTCGTTCCAATGCCGTGTTATCTCAGAGTTCGCCTTTGAAATGCAGTCTAAGATTAGAGCGCACAGGTGTGTATAAAATAGACAGTGTGAAACTGTGAATATGTTTATGGAGTTCTTGTTGAAGTTATATTTTAATATAATGTTTAGTTGGTTGTAGTTGATGGATGTTGTTGTCTTCAATAGTTCCAAAAAAGTTGACCTTGTGTAGAAGTGCTGGTCACCTATCACCAAGTCAACTAACAACACCACAAAGAAAGAGAAGACATTCTAGTAGTTCCGATCATGAAAAAACGTCAGTTCAAAATAAAAGTAGGTTTTGCAAACATTGCATTTGTGTTGTTAGATGTTAGTGTAAACTATCACCAGTATTGAAAATTATACCACAATGCTGCTTTCCCTGTTCAACACCTAGTAATTCCAATAAAGACCCTGATAACTAATGCACCATCAAAACTGCATGGAAAAGCTAATGTACATATACTCTGTCACATCTTTAGATACAGAATTGCCTGCTGGATCACCCCTTGCAAATGAAATCCCCAAAAGTCTTTCTGACACTTGCTTGGAAAATGTTACTCCTAACAGACAGATGTTATGCTTGAAACGACAGGAAGGTAGGTGTTCTATTCCTACAATGTCTCTGCTTTTCTTAGTAATTCTACTTCTAGAGACAGTTAATAAACCTAGTTTGATTTTAATTAAACTAAAAATTCTTAATTTATTTACATTCTCTTTACTTTTCAGTCATTTCATACAAGGAAACGAAAAAAGCCCTTCATTCATCAATTCCATCAAATCTTCTTTGTCGAGAAACAGAAATAAGACAAATTGGAGTATTTTTAAGAAGTCACCTTATGCATTGCAAGGCAGGCAGTCTGTACATCTCAGGTGCTCCTGGCACAGGAAAAACTGCTTGTTTGACACACATATTAGAAAATTTGCAGGTAAGAAAATTAGCAGTTCTCCTGCTCATTGGAATATATATGTTCTTCTAAATTTCAATTTCTTATAGTCACTAAGATAACTCCTAGAAATGCACTTTTTTGTTAATATGCTCTATTTTAAACTGTTCCTTTAATCTTATTTCAGGAGGATGGGGTGAAATGCCAAGTCCAGTTCATCAACTGTATGAACTTGAGCAAGTCGCATCGTATTTACTCCAAAATAGCAGAAGAACTAACTGGTTGGGATAAGCTCACTAACAATGAAGCGCAGAAGTTTTTAGAAAAGAAATTTACTACCAAAGGATTGCCAATGTAATTGAATGCTTATTGAAGCTTTTCTATGATGGTATATTGTGTTTTGTAATAATGGTATATCGTTTGGTACATCAGGGTTGTGGTGCTTGATGAAATGGACCAACTAGAAAGCAAAAATCAGGATGTACTCTACACAATGTTTGAATGGCCTTCGCTACCTTCATCTCGACTAATTCTTATTGGTAAGTTTCGGCCACTTTTCAGGACTTTGAAAAAGAACTGCTAAAAATACATCTCATAATTTGAACCTAATTTTTTTAGGAATTGCCAATGCCTTGGATTTAACCGACAGAGTTTTGCCACGACTACAGTTAAGGCAAGAATGTAAGTACGAGATTTAATATTACGTAGCTACAACTCGCCCAAAACTAACTCATAATTAGTGTGGCAATAAAGCTGGATTGAAGGAACAAAGACTTGTTTTCAAATCTATTTCTGCATTTCTTTTTTAGGTAAACCAAAGTTATTACATTTTTCGCCTTATGCAAAGGATCAGATCGTGAAGATTCTTACAGCGAGGTTAAGCGAGGTATGACATTTTGCAATTGCAAAAATCATCACAATTTTTCCAATGCAGTGAACCGCATGCTCAACTATCAATATTTTCAACTGCGATTTGCAGGACGCTACTGCAGGAAATGTAGATCTGAACATGTTCTCAAGTTATCATTTTTCGTCGAACTGCAGTTGTTACAGCCTATGCGATTTCTTTATGTAGGTCGAAGGCTCGAATATTATCGATGTGAGCGCCATTCAGTTTTGTGCTCGAAAAATTGCTGCCGTCTCAGGTGACATGCGTAAAGCACTTAACATTTGCCGCAGAGCTGTTGAAATGGTGGAAAGTGAAGTGAAGAAGCAACAGATTTTAAAACCTATCGATCAACGTAAGTTCCAGTGCTTTAGAAATCGTCTTCTTTTTAACATTTTAACGGTAAAGTGAACCTGTGAATGGTGCAAATGATCAAACTCTGTATTTTCCAGTCCAACTTACAATTTTAACCATTAAACCGTTTATAGGTGCGTCGCCTAAAAAGCCTGGCCAGAAGAAAGTCACCATAGCTCATATTTCGAAAGTAATCTCAGAAGTCTATGGCTCACGTATTGTGAATTCCTGCGGTGGTGAACAGCCCACGATACCGTTACAGCAGAAATTATTGATCTGTACCATCCTACTGATGCAAAAAGAGAGTAAACTACGAGAGATTCCAGTTGGTCAGGTAACAAGAGTTCATTCTTCGTACTAGGATATGAATCACTTGGAGGAATTCTCGTTTTTTGGGGGAACCTAAAATTCATTCCATTATCTTCCTAGCTTCATGAGACATACTGCAATATCTGTAAGAAACGTCAAGTCTCACAAATAAACCAAGAGGATTGTTTATCTCTTTGTAACTTGCTTGAAACAAGAGGAATAATCTCAATGAAAAGGGCTAAGGAGACACGAATGACTAAGGTAAGAGGTATTTTTAAGGCTCTATTACACGGTGCAATTTTTCTTGCAACTTGGAATGCAACTCTTTTTTTGAGAGATGTAAATTTGGCTACTACCGAATTTTGTCTTTATCACACTCCATGGCGTTTCTTACACTTACATTTTGAGAACTCTTCACTAATTTACATTTCTGGACTATTCATGCCACGCAAAATGGTCGTAAAAAGCGTACTGTTACGACGCATTGTATATACTCTCTGCTGAACTATCATAACATTTATACAAACCACAGCCTGCTGAAATGGAACAAAAGCTGGTCTTCTTGCCTTTCGTTGGTACAAGTGTTGCCATAAACAGTAGTGTAACAATCGTTCTGTATTTTTCTTTACAGGTATCATTGAAGATTGATGAACGTGAAGTTGATCATGCCCTTCAGGATAAAATTTTAATGACAAGCATCCTTCAGGGAGGATTATCTCCCGGCCGATGACAGTCTTTTTTTAACGTGAGAGATATTTTTAAACCGTTCGCAAAACCGAACTATATACAACGCTAATTTTTGAAAAATGTTTTTCACACACACACCATTTGCATTCATTGTAATATAGCTATTACTATTAGTATTTTTAACTGTTTTGCGATTAAATCGTAAAATAGGTTGATAAGATGAAACTAAAACATTGGTTGTAAATATTTTAACAACGTCTTTTAAAAATAGAATCGTAGATTGTTTAATAGATAACAAACTGTGAGTATATAGCCGTATAGCTTTTAATTTCTAAAAGTGGTTTTTTTTATAAATAAAGTTTATTTTTACAAGACATACTTTGTCTACAGTTCACTAGACTCAAGTTAAGTAATATCGTAACCTTTTGAACTTCCTCGCCTGATAATGCCATATAAAGTATTGCTCTATAGCTCATTAACTGGCTTCCCACACTTCAACTGCCGTTGATTGAAATATTTCACACACTTCATTCTACACGTTGTGGTTACCCTTGAAGAACAATGCTTGAAAAATTTGTTTTACGGAAAAAGTACACTTGAAATATGAAGAGATCATGGTCACGCTTGAAAAGCGAAGGATATCTCTGTGTTCATATATGATCTTGTGAAGTGGATTCTCCGCAAAAGGCAAATGTGGTTTATTTAAACTTTATTAAACTCTAATCAATGTGTTCCTCGTTGGTACAGGAGTTTCATTCCTGGCTTTTCCAGTCCTTTCCAATCAATCCAGTAATCGATATACGTATCTGTGTGCCTTCGTCATTAGGTCGGCAGGGCTTCGTACGCAGCGGGTGATCCCGGATGAATGACGATGCCAAACGATTGTTCTCCGATGAATAAGAGGAAAAGAGCAACATCAGAGAAAATTTGCAAGTTGTCAAAACATTGTGTCAAAATTCACGTTTACTTATTTATCTAGAAGAAACCACGATAGGGTTTGTCGAGTGGAGCGCCTTGGAGGGCAAAGCTTTTGAAATAGATTGCGGGATCTTTTGTTGACCAAAGTATGGACAGATTTGGTAATATATACTGGCCCGATTAAATGACATGAAACGGTAATTGCTATAGCTTTCTAACGCGTCTGATAAACTGCTTTGTCCTAAGGGCTTGGTTTATACATTGGGCTTTTCTGTGAAAACTGTTTTGAAAAAGAAGGCAATTGAAAGGCGTTAGCTGTCAACAAGCGAAGGTTAAGACCATCAGAATAAAATCCTAAGATCCAGCTAACAGATTTCCGAATAACAATCGTGGATTATGGCAAATTAAAACAAAACAATATCTTGTAATGTTTACACTAGATCGTTCGACAAAGCCAGTCAAAAATTCTGTTTGTTGGGCGTGTTGTTTGATTAGAAATAGCGATACATTCACCCAAGTCTATTCTAATGTTAACGTTACGATCGATGATTGAGACTGTTGTGTGATTTTCGTTTCTAGTTGTAATATAATCCGTGGCTTCAAGTTGAACTCTGGCGAAGCGTTTTGTGAACTTGGTGTTCAAAATAAAGGAGGGGACAGTATTTATAGTACATTGGTCGGCCACATGGTCCGAAATCGTGGCAATTGAAAGGCTAACGCGTCCGCATCTCAGGCTCTCTCAAAAGCGGATGTTTTCACAGTGAATTTTGATACAAATTTTCAATATGTGTCTGGTAATTGACACACAACAACACTGTCTAGTTGAAAGTCTGTGAAGGAAAACAAGACTCCCAGCAGTGAAAAACAATCACTTGAACCGCCAGAAGTTTGATTATTGGTATTTGTATAAAATAATGCACTTGGAGATGTCCAAGACACAACAAAGTCGTGCAAATATACCATCAAAAAGGCAAGGAATCGTATACAATGGCGAAGAACAAGCCTCTCATTTCGACGGCCTTCCATCATCTTTGGTTCAAGGTTATAACTATTCCACCGGACAAAACGGTGCCAACAAAGGCTCTAATCTTGTAAAATACAACAAAGAAGATGAAACTAGAAAAAGTACAGGCTCTATACATAACTTCGGAGCGAATCCAGAGTATTTTCATGTTCGAAGCTCGAGCGATACGAGTGAAATTATGTTACCGGCTTCGTATGCAACTCGTAAGAATAATGAAAGGAATGGCGAGCGACCAGAACGACCTACATCAGGCGACAGTTTTAACGCTATTTTACAGCGTTTTGAAAACGCCAGCTTTCAAGGACAATTGGGACAAAGACTTACTCAGTTGACAACAAAGAAAGGAAATGACCGCACGGACTGGGGTGGTAGTAATAAAGTATTTAAGTCGCCATTGACGTCGGGCACAGCAAGTCCAATTTCAGACAAGAAAGCATATTTAAACCTCAAACGCAAGGGTTCCCTGAAAACAAGCGCTTCGAGGAAGAGTAAATCTGACGAAAAGGGGGGAATAATCGACGAACGCAATTGGGAAAAGCCCAGGAAAGCTTTTGCCCACTATGATGTACAAAGCGCATCGTTTGACTTTGAGATTATTGCAAACAACATTGCCAAGAATGGCGATTCTCAGCGACGCAAGAACATGATCACTGGAGCGTCTGCTGCATCAGGACGGGAAACTGCCGCAGTTATCGCTGATAAGAGTGAAATGACGTGCAGCACAAGTGATGAGAAGGACCAGGAAGAGGGAGATTTTAAAACAAACGATCTCGTCCTCTCCTGCCCCTATTTTCGTAATGAACTAGGAGGTGAACAAGATGAAATATTTGGTGAATTTAGATATAATTCATCCTATAAAACTCTTAATGGACAAAAGAGCTTAAACAAGAGGCATTCGACCCTGGATGTAGTACTCACGGCATATGATTCTATAAGGCGTGGTCAGGTATTTAGTGCAACTGGCGTAACCATACTGGATTCCCATACGACTCAAGGTGAAGGAAGCGAACCCTATGATTTGTCTAGTGTCGAAGATAGGAAAATGTTTGAGCATGTGGATCATGGTGCATTCTACTACAGACACTACTTTCTCGGTCAAGGTATGGTATGTTGTAGTTTTCTTGGAAATCAGTTAACCAGCATTTAACTGGCAGTAGCACAATCCAGGAGTGCATCTGGAAACATGTAGTATTTTCCTGCTTTGGTTCCTGATGCACTTTCCTTTGTTATATTATTCATCACCACAACACTATTGAAGAGAGAGACTGTTGCCTCTCTGATTGATTTAACCAGAAACTCTCAATCTAGTTTAAGACAATTTGTCTGTAGAGGAATTCTGCCAGTTGAATCTGAACAAAACTATCTACCAGGGTATTGTACACTGTATTCTTCACTGTATATGCGCTGTGCGGGTTTTGTGTGTAAATATTTTTTCATTTATCATTGTAACAAGGAAGTGTCTTAGTGCCATGTTGTCACCAAGTCATTGAAAGCTTTTTTCATAAGTGGGCTTGTCAATGTATTGATCATGCTTGAGAAGTTTTTTAGTTGATGGGATCATGTTATTGAACCCATTGAATAATCTAGACAGGCCTCCACGCTAAGAATTATTCTGTTCTGCATATTTACTTTGAGAGTATATTTGTGGGAATGCAGTCTAGAATGGTAATGTGATATTACTGTTCTTAACCACAAATGTTTGTGTGGCTTTGGAGTTTCTTTTTCATTATTGATATGATGTACTGGAAAGAAATTTAGCCAAATCAGGGGCTGGACACAGTGCAACTCTGTGATAGTATTATTCCAACAATATGATGTTTTGAAGGCAAAAACCTGGTAGCATGTTGTGACAGAATACACAGCTGATAGTGTGCCACTGACAAACACATTGTTTTATGCTTTCAATTTATCATAAAGCAAAACATTCATGATAAAATAATTTGGATATCTTCAAATGGACAAATATGAAGATATCCCTGTTTTTTTGAAATGACCTTTTCCAAATAACAATTATGCATGATAAGTGCCATGATTTCTCCACGCATAATAGCAGGGGTGAGATAACACACTGTGCCAATTAACAATTTCCTACTGGGCACACAGCATTTGATATGGCTATAGAAATTGAACAAAATTATTTAGGCCATACACTATTGAACAATGATTTTAAATTGCTCAAAATTGTTTAGTAATAACAATAATTGTAATACAATAATTACAAAAATTGAATAATTTTGTAATAATGTTTCCTGTCTGTTCATAGTTTTTTATGCCTCTTGTTCTAGATCATGTAAATTATGTTGGCGAGGATGAGAGATTTGGAGCGATGGCCATTTCATACAAGAGAGAAAAGACAGAGATTCCTCTGAATGGTGAAGAAGAGGCTACTATTAGTCAGTACGAATATCGAGTTATCATCAGGACCAGCGAGGTATGTTCAGTTGTCCTGAGTTCACTTGGCAATCAATGCTTACAGCCATGAAAACTCTGTTGTCGCTTTTCAGATGGAAACATTGCGAGGCAGTGTTCTCGAAGAGTGTATTCCTTCAACATCTCGCCATGGCACAGCACGGGGTCTACCTCCAAAGGACATCTTGGAGTATGTTTGTCCCGAGGTCAGCATAAACTCCTTAAAACTGGCCACAGCTGGAGCAAAGGTGAGCAAGAAAGGCAAATAGTGTGCCTCTTACAATAGCACATCCCAGATAATGGATGTTTGCTTAGAGTTATAATATATGTTTTCAAGAAGCTGTTTCCTCTGTACTTAAACCTACTTTTGATTCCCTATTTTTCCCAGGTTTCTGAAATACTCTTGAAATTGGATGAACAGGGGGTAAGTGAGTTTTTTTTTCGTCAATGATTCATCGTCAATGATGCCGACTTTGAAAGCAATTTTCGTTTCAAGTTTCCTCGAGAAACCCCCCAGTATATAGGTTACTGACTTTTTTGTGCATTCTGTACTTGTCTCAAAGGTGACACGACAGCACAAGATTGGTATATTGTATTGTAAAGCTGGTCAAAGTACGGAAGAAGAAATGTACAATAATGGTAAACAGTATTTCTGTTATAGTCCAGCGTGTCGTCCTGTAGACTAAGGTTTTATCGACTTCAGTAATTCCTATTATATCATTGCGACTTTCTCATCTGTAATGAAACTGAATCAACACATAGATCTAGACAGTCTTGAAAGCAAAAACAAAACGTGAACTAATTATGCTAGTTATGTACACAATATTGAGATAAAATATGAAAAACATCGGTCGAACATGTGTCTGGTCAAAACTGGTTTATCCAATATGAAACTTTCGTTGTTCCATTGTTTTTGCACGTTTCGTGCGTTCTAAGACCAGATTTCAATATCATGTGTTTTTTGTAGAGGAGGCCGGACCCGCTTTTAATGAATTCATGGATTTGATCGGAGATCGCGTCGTATTGAAAGGCTTCGAAGGTTATAGGGCACAACTTGACAATCGAAGTAGGTTACTAATCAATGAATCATCACATGCACGTTTTTTTAAACATTTTTTTGATGGGAAACAGAATTATATCACATATCGGATATCAATGTGATTAATTAAAAACAAACATGTTCACGTCATTTTGCAGATGACTCCACTGGTGTGTATTCGCTATACCGGACATTTCGTGGTCGAGAGGTGATGTTTCATGTTTCAACAATGCTGCCATATACGGCTAACAACAGACAGCAGGTAGGGATCGGGAAAACACGAGCGTTTGGCACAAGAATGATTATAAAACTAACGGGTTTTCATTATTTTAGCTTCTACGTAAGCGTCACATCGGCAACGACATCGTGACTATCGTGTTTCAAGAACCAGGTGCGCTGCAATTTACACCAAAGAGTATCCGTTCACATTTTCAACATGTTTTTATCCTGGTCCGTGTTTACGATCCTGGTACACCCAATACGAGATACCAGTAAGTATTGCAGTACGCATTGGCGTTATCGTGATCACCATTGCTATCATCATTGTGATCATCATCATTATTATCGTGATCATAATGATCATTAATCATTATTGTCATCATCGTGGTCATGGTCATCGTTATTATCCTGATCATAATCACCTTGCTATAATCATCGTGATCATAATCATCGTTATTATCATCATTGTGATCATATTCATTATGACCGTGATCAAAATCATCACTATTGTCATCATTGTGATCATAGTAATCGTTATTGTCATAACTATCGTGTGCCGTGTCTTGTGAAAATGACATTCCTTGTGTGATATTACTCGCAGCATTGCCGTTAGTCGTTCAAAAGACGTTCCAGCCTTTGGTCCACCAATTCCTGCAGGAGGGATATTTACGAATAAGGAGGGATTCAAGACGTTCTTAATTACAAAATGTACGTATATGTACCTATGTACTAGCTCAGTTCATTCAGTTGTAACAATAATTGAGGAAATCATTATCCAGTGAATATCCGTGGCAACAAAACTGCCCTCTAATTATTTGTTATTGCCAATTTCTGAATGAACTTTCTTCAAAACCCTGGCCAAAGCACACTCAAAAATATACTCCGGGATAGAGTAGTTGCATATAGAATTGCAAGAGAACGGATCAAAGGCTGATTTGCATAACTATCTCGAGAACTATCTCGTATAACTATCTCGTGAACTATCTCGTATAACTATCTCGAGAACTATCTCGTATAACTATCTCGAGAACTATCTCGTATAACTATCTCGAGAACTATCTCGTATAACTATCTCGAGAACTATCTCGTATAACTATCTCGTGAACTATCTCGTATAACTATCTCGAGAACTATCTCGTATAACTATCTCGTGAACTATCTCGTATAACTATCTCGAGAACTATCTCGTATAACTATCTCGAGAACTATCTCGTATAACTATCTCGTGAACTATTTCATATATTTTAATGATATTTCCATGTTTTAGTAATCAACGCGGAGAACGCCGCTCACAAGTCGGACAAATTTCGTGCCATGGCCGTGCGTACGCGACATGAGTACCTCAAGGACCTGGTGACGAACTACGCGACCAACACCACCGTGGAGAGTGGGGCTAAGTTTGGTAAGTGTATATAATATATGAAGTGCATCTTACTCTTCAATTCTATAGATCGCGAATGGTTAAAACTTCTTTCCTTTCAGGTAAATTTTCGCTTTCTTCAAAGAAGAAAGAGAAGAATCATCCAAACATCAATCCTGAACTTCTCTCCAAAGGAGGGTTATCTTGGGATGTAGAGGTATGTTCATGGACAGAGAAACTGGGGTCATGTGTGTTTTGGCTGAGAATGTGTTTGTTTTTCTAAGGTGGATGATCATCGTAACACATCAGTGATAAAGTGTTTTCTTGTTCTGTCAGTCGAGTCATTTGTACTCATCCATGTGTCGACCAGGGTAAGAGACACGATGAAGAAAGTCGTATTTTGCGCTTTTCAAAACATATCAATTCACAAAAACTTTTTTTTTACACAGGAAGCAATATTCTACATTCCATGTAAGGCTATTATTGGCTGGACACCAATGTCGAAAAAGTAGGTTTAAAATACATTCTTAAGAGGGATTACTTATACTTAGAATTACGAATTCCTCACAGAGAGACTGGCTTTAAAGTTCTGTACTGAAAGACCTTTGGCATTTATGTATGAACTGCATTTATAACTCGTGAAATTATTCGCTATCAAAGGCTGAAGATTTTCCACGGCGTTGGAGATTGCTTGGTGTTGAGTCTTCCCAGTCCAGAGGATATCCCAAGCATCGTGAGGAGACTCGAGATTGTTACGATTGGCTGCCAGGTTTGTTTATGATTACATGTGTTATGTATCAACGTACACTTGTCTGTCTTGACGCTGTAACTCTTTGCTTTAGACAATATCGATGACTCTACGCCGTCATAATGCTGGGCAACTCGGTTTCAATGTCCACAACGAGGGAATGGTTGTCGACGTTGAACCCAATGGTCTCGCGCAGGTCGCTGGGCTCAGGCAAAGTTCTCGTTTAGTCGAGGTTTGTACATTACGCGCATGACAAAACGATAAATCATATCGCCTGCAGTCTATGATTTCAGCCGTCATAGACACCATTGACACCAAACTCTTCTAAAAAGCTCCGCTACAATCCCATCTTGTTTAGATCTTCGGAAAGCCAGTAGCAATGATGGGTTATGATGAAATGATATCAGAACTTCGTCGACCAAGTCACGTTCCTGTTGTCGTCATTCCACCGTTTCCGAGCGGAAAGCCAAGAAAGTAAGACACGCGATTATAGATACTAATAGTTGTGGCATCATTTCAAACACTGGCTAAGCACGTTTCTAACTCGCGAAATTATTTCAGAGGTGTTCAACTTGCTGCGGTGAACTACAACTCGCCCACGGAATCTCTGAGCACGTTTAATACCTCACGATCTCAGCAATCGTTGGAACGGAGTCCTCACTCCAGTATGCACGAGCCAGAGAATGGTAACTATTCAAATACCTCGACTCTCAGGTTGTCTCCTCAGGATTCCTCGAAAGAGATTGAGGAAACGAAAACAAACGGCGTACCTTGGATACGAAGACCAGGTTCTCCAGCTAACAGCGAGGAAAAGTAAGATTATATTACCGGTTTAGAGCAGTTAGTGTAGTCTAGGTTACCTCCTGTAGTAACACTGCATCAATGAGTATGATTCTTACTGGACCTCTAGCAAGAACAGTTTAGAAGTGATAGAGTTAGTTTAGTTTAGGTTTCCTCCTGTAGTAACACTGGATCAATAAGAGATGATCCTTACTGGACCTCTAGGAAGAATAGTTTAGAACTGATAGAGTTATCCATTGTAAATAAAGTTATTTTAGTTTAGGTTTCCTCCTGTAGTAACACTGGGTCAATAAGAGATGATCCTTACTGGACCTCTGGGAAGAATAGTTTAGAACTGATAGAGTTATCCAGTGTAAATAAAGTTAGTTTAGGTTTCCTCCTGTAGTAACACTGGATCAATAAGAGATGATCTTTACTGGACCTCTAGGAAGAACAGTTTAGAACTGATAGAGTTATCCAGTGTAAATAAAGTTAGTTTAGTTTAGGTTTCCTCCTGTAGTAACACTGGATCAATGAGAGATGACCTTTTCACCAAATATCTTTTAGGTATTCTGAACACGGCTCAGCACGATCAGGTACATCTCAAGAACAAGCACAACGCAATTACGGCAGCAGCTACACCCTGACAGGCAAGAGATCTGCAATTCAACCCAGCGAGGGAGGGACTGTCTTGTCACTCAAATATATTCCAAGAACTGACCCCTCCACCCCTAAGGCCGCAGAAAGCCCGCGCAGGAATGATGACTACAAGACCCCCGAGTCGCAAACTAGGACTTACATATACACACGAACCCCGAAAGTCACAGACAAGAAGACAGCTGTCGATTTACTGCAGTCCAAGTTGGGTGCGCAAACCAGGGGTGACCCAATGAATCCTCGACATTTCCCTCGGGCTCCCCCATATCCCGGTCCTAAACCTTCCCGCCCCCCTGAATATACTCCTCACGACGAGCGACGCGCATTGAACCTGTACAAACCAGATACAGCTAAGAAGCCGCCGCCGTCCGGTCTCGAAGGAATGCATCCACGACTGGAAATAATACATTCAAGATCGAAGTCCGAGCCCTGGGACCCAGGTTATATCCAGGACGGTTCGCGCAGGACTTATAAAGAGACGACACTTGGACCAAACATCACGACCGTGGAGACATTCCGAGATAACTACGATAACGCCATGTCGGATACTGTCAATCAAATCGAGAAAGCCTTCGGGGGACCGTCGGCCCGCTCCGATCATTCGCCGTCCATGCACGGCACGAGGAAAAGCCGTCGTTCTCCGGCGGTACCTCGGCTGCAAGATTCGGAAAGTCATTTATCCAGCACGTCGAACGAGAGTCTGCCCACCAGCGAACCTTACAGTGATTCGGAACGCGAGCGAAGTTCCAGCGGACAGAAAAAACCCGTGTCGTCTAAACGGCTTGTTAGCAAGAAAATTGGCGTGCGTGCTGAGATTACTAGCACTACGGCAAAGAGCCCCGGGACTAAGGACACGCACAGTGCCCGGGAGGTCGCTTCTCCGAGCATCAAGAGTTCGACTACTGTGTTTGTTCGCTCCAAGTCAAACGAGGCACCCGCAGCCATCAACACGGGGAGCGTGAAACGGACCCCGCGTGTACACAGCAACACCCTACCCCGGACTGTCAATCGCGAGGAGGTCACTATATCTCGGGGGGATCCTGGAGCGCTAACACCACGGAAAAGGCAAGGTTTAATTCGCGAGCTTTCTCAGAATGATAACGCGTACGTCTACTCCCCCCGGCCATTCCATACGCAGGGTTCGAACACCCGGGGGGTCGGTGAGGCGGAAGCTTTCCAGTTTCCAGATCCCGACACGAGGCGAATTCGTGACGAGAAACCGAAGATCGTTTCGCAGACGAAAATAGCGTTGTCGCCGCCCGGAAGTATGACGCAGTTGAATAGCGATAACTCGGGTCAAGGCTCCGCGCGGGCGCCGAAGCCATCTGAGAAAGATAATCGGACGAACAAAGTGCCGTACTTTGTAAAGAACAAAAGGGATCACACGGGGATAACCCCGGAGTTGGTCGAGGAACGGATATCTAAGATTGCCGGAAAACAACGATCGAAACAATCGGCCGATGTCGGAAGGAGCCGTGAGGGTGCGGAGAAAGATACACAAACATTGAACAAGAGAACTCTTGGAGACAGCGCTCAGGTGAAACAGTACGACTCGCAATCTTCGCTTAATAAGGAAAACAAGAGCGATCCCGTGATGAGTGAGGTCTCCTATCTTTTGAGCCAGACCGATGCGATGTCCAGGGATGCTTCCTCGACCCTCGCGCACACTGAGCAAATGTTAGCGTCGTGGGGAAAGGTCTTGTCAGAGAAGAAGGATGAGAGCGATGGTGCCAAGAAGTTGACTCACTCGAATACCACATCAGCATTGCGAGCGAGGCTACCATCAGGTAAGTTTAAAGTGATATTCACACGAGGGTTAGATGAATGGACGGACAACTTGCGCTTTAGACTAATTTCTTACCTCGGCGATAAAAAGGACATTTTCTGAAAGAGTTTACTATAAACTTAGTAAAACTGCGAAGTTTGGCTGCGAATTGTTTTAAATTACGGAAAATATAGCCATGCGAAGTTTACGAATTTTGTATACTTTTGTATTACGACCGGAAGTTTGTAACTAATTTAGTTACAGTACATAATACATAAGTGTACAAAATATGCCAACTTCATATTGCTATATTTTTCGTATTTTACAAAATTTCGTAGCCAAACTTTGCATTTGCACTTATTTAAGCATACTTCAGTAGCATACTCTTTCCAACTATGATTATTTTTTCCCTCTTGTTGCTTCGATCAAAAAATAGTCCACAGCGCAAATCGTCCATTGAGAAGGAGACATTTTTACATGAAAATCCATGTTGAAACACGAGAGTGTTTTCACTTGTCTTCCATTATTTTACATTCTTGTTTCTTCGTGTAACACGATCTGTTCGCTCGAACCACACTGGAGACAAAACATCTTGATATTATTTTATCAAATAACTTTACCTTTTTTTACATTTTATTTCATGAGATGGTACACCAATCAGCGTGTCAATGCGACTCGGCCAGGCGACATTGAATGCCACTCCAAGAAGACATAGCTTTGACGAACGAATTTTAGCTCTGAACGATGCGACATTTGAGGTACGAACGACAAATAAATGAAACGGCGTAACTACCAAATTACGCTCTTCAGGGCCCAGTTGTTCAAAGCTAGGTTAGCGTTAACCCTGGATTAAATTTTAATCCAGTGTTTTAGTTTATGTGCTTTTGAACTACTGTTCGTTTTGAAACTTTAGAAAATATGACTTCTATTGGTACAGAAAATATTTATGAAAAAAGATATTCAACTTTGTAAACAAGCGATTTAAAAAATCGATGTGAAGATTTGCTTTTTAACCCAGGGTTAAGCTAACCGGCTTTCGAACAACCGGCTCCAGATTGCCTCAATAATTGCTGTACTTTTTGACTGAGCTGATTTTTGTATCTTATCTGTATTTCCTTGTATAGAGTAAAGAAAATATGACCAGTTCTCGTCAAACGTAAGTTTAAAAAAGTAAAGTTTTTATCAACTGATGCATGTGTATACTATTTATTTTTTGTCAAATGTGGCTAAAATGAGCATATTTGTCGATCTCATTAGTTTATTGTCGTCGAAAGATGGATTTCATCGCATAGCAGAATTGGAAAGCAGAGTAACAGAGTTATCATTTTTCTTGCAAAAGGTAAAGTGCTCATTATCATCACCATGGGATATACCTTTCCGACCAAAGTATGATTTTGCCTATGACTTTTGTCAGCCGTTCCGTACTATTCCACGCTATTCGAAAACAAGACAATTGTGCTTTTCTTTAAACCAACGATTATCTTTGTTGTTTAGGAGAGAGAGGAAAACATCGAACTCAAGAGAAGATTGTTGAAACTAGAGAAGGGACAAACATCCCGTAGATAGCGCTTCGTGTCGTTGTTGGTTAAGTATCGACGTCTTCCGAAGCACGGGTTCTAAGTTGTGCGAAAATTTTTAACAATTTTAAATGGACAGATAGCTACATATTGTGCTCAGAAATAATTATGATCCCATCAAAAGCAGAAGAATGTTAAATCCTGGTGCCAATTTCATTGTGTTGCTTGCAAAGAATATAAAGTGCCTGCAAGGCAGCTTATCAGGTCCGTTTCTGTGAAACACACAAGAAAGCTGTTTTGCATCGAATCAACACACAGACAGCCCACACTGAGCTCATTGGCACGAAGCCTTGATCATATTCTCCGAACAGAGCGTCCAACAGACGGTAGCTAGCTTTTAATTGTGGATCCATTTTAAACAGTGTAAATATAGAGATATTTTATGTGAAATAAGAGTGGGTTTTCTTAAGCATTATATGCAGCTGATGGATGATTTAACCCGCGCTTGTCCTTTCGTCATGAAGATCGATAAGCAGAGTAGATTATAGATGTATTTAATTTAATAGTTTATTTTTGCAAAATGATTTTGACGGAGTACGCCTGCCCGCGCTCTTGCGTATAGAGATACTTATGTATCACTAGAAGAATAGAAACTTTTTATTGTAGTCACACTTAATAGTATATGTATAATTTAATATTTTAGAATTCTATCCTGCCTAGAGAACATTTCTAATTCTGGTTTTCAGTAGTTATTTATGTAAAGGCGAGAAAAATTAGCGCATGAAGCCTGAAGGTAAAAAAACTCACTTTATTCAACTCACTTGAACGCTATCACAAAACGACAAAAAGCCAAATCAAGTATTAAGAAACCCTGCGCAATCGCAGTGAACTAGTAATAATCCCACAATTAGCACATTGAGCAATGTCGTATATACTAAGCCTACGAGTTTCAGAGTTAAGATAGTGCTCTAAGGCACAGGCGTGCTTTAAATCTGTGTGCGTTTTATGCGAGAAAATCAATCATGAACATGAAAATGAACTTATTTCAATCTTTGAAAAGGGTTAGGTCAAATAAAGAACAATAGACTTTCAACAAATGACCACTAGACAGTGGTTAAGACCTTGGTCTTTCAATCCTAGGACACATGTTCAATCAAGTCCTGGCAATGCAAAAAAAAATTAGCCTTAAAAATTTCGGTATGATTTGTAGAAATTTGACCATTTTGGTCAATTTTGACGACTTTTTCAACTGTTCAAAAACTGTCTTAAAATGCTAAAAATTGCTTCCTAACACTAATACCTTTCATTTTAGAGCATTTTAAGACAGTTTTTGAACAGTTGAAAAAGTCGTCAAAATTGACCAAAATGGTAAGGCTTACCCCAAAATGGTAAGGCTTACGTCTTAAAATACGAAAAATGGCTTCCTAAGACTAATATCTTTCATTTTAGATCATATTTGGTTGGTTTTTGGAACATTGAAAAAGTCGTCAAAAATGGTAAGTCTTACCCCTTACCATTTTGGTTAATTTTGACCACTTTTTGAACTGTTCAAAAACTGTCATAAAATGCGAAAAATTGCTTCCTAAGACTAATATCTTTCATTTTAGATCATATTTGGTTGGTTTTTGGAACATTGAAAAAGTCGTCAAAAATGATACCAAATAGTGCAGGATTGTTTGACATCAGAAATACAAAAAATTCGGCACACAGCGACAATTCACCTTTTAAAACGAAACCAAAAAACTAGAAGCAAAAAACAAATTGTGTTTCAAAACAAAACTAGAATGCACTGCTTTTAAACTGTTGAAATATAGGAAAGGACAACTTTTTTCTAGGCGTTTAGCGATTCGTTTATAGTAACATCGCTCACGATGATGTTCGGAGTTGATCGGCATGTTGTCGTACATTATCATACCACGTGATCTGCTATGATCACATGGTAATTTTCGTCTATAAAATTAATCTCAACGTTAAAAAAAAATTTCTTTAGATAGGTGGCGATCGAAGGTGGACAGCAAGATCGAAGCTCAGCAAGATTGAAGATTGTTCGAGGAAGAAGGAGTTCGCCGTTGACTAAAAGGTGGGTTCCGGCGATTATATGCGTAATCTGCGGTTGCTTTGTCCGACCCCAGTAGGGGGACCGTTTGCCTAGAGCGTTTTGGTCCCCCGCACGCTGCTAGTTCCCACTTGTAGGCCTTTACACTAATCTACGGGAAGGCCATAGGCCTTCCTTAAGGAGTACAGTGTAGCTGAGCCGAACCCTTTTTTTTCGTTGTATATAGGTTTATCTGAACAGCTAGTTGTCAAGATGAAGGTGAAGACTCGCCCGGCCAAATTCAAAATGGCGATGCCAAAGAAAACCATCCACGTGGACTGTCGCTGACCTTTCTGAGCAAGATTTATTGTGCTGTCTGGTCAAAGTTAAGTATTTTACTTTGATGTTTGTGTGCCTTCTGCTAATTGTTTGCCAGAAATAACAAAAAGCCATATACAATATGAAATATTCTGCGTACAAGGTTATCTAAAGTTTCGAGCTTAATAATTCTGCCTGCAATGATGATAATTTTTTACTGAAAATTTATGTCATGAGCAACTTCCGCACCCATAGACTGAAGCAGAACTGAACAATTTGTCATTAACGTTTATCTCAACAGCCAGTTATCAAGACGAACGTCAAGAGAACAGTTGAAATAGAAAATAGAAATCAGTTCAAGGCTCGCCTGGCCGCCGAATTCAAAATGCGATCCCATCCACGTGGACCGTTCGCGGATCTTTCTGAGCAAGATTGTTGTGCTGTCTAGTCAAAGTTAAGTATTTTACTTTACTGTTTATGTGCTTTCAGCTAAAACTAGACAATAATTAAGATAGTTGAAAATGCAATTTTATATTCAAGATTTTCCTTGGTCAAGAGTGCAACATGAGCTCTGGATATGAACTTTACTGTCAGATGAACATTGGAAGTGACAAGATTTCTGCACAGAGGTAATTCGATTGTTCCTTCAAAAGTTATATCAGCCTTGCAGCTGAAATTCTTGTAGTGACCTTGTAATACATATCAACTGCCCGGGTATATATTTTGTTATTTAGTATAAGGGGGAATTTGCTGCAACTAGGATCTTTTTTTGGAAAATCGTCAGGCAGTCACAAATTTTGTTAAGATTACTAAGTTAACATTGCTTCTATGCTCACTATGTGTCACCAGTAATAAATTCCTGTGGTGGTCTTTAAATAAATATAGCAACCATAGTTATATGTGGAGGGATGAAGTATAACCATAGAATACCTGACCAAAAACTAGACAATAATTAAGATAGTTGAAAATGGAATTTTATATTAATCATGTCTTCTTATATTCAAGATTTTCCCTGATCAAGAGTGCAACATGAGCTGCTGTGGATATTAACTTTACTGCCAGATGAACATTGGAAGTGAAAAAGATTTCTGCGCATAGGTAATTTGATTGTTCCTTCAAAATTTATATTAGCCTTGCAGCTGAAATTCTTGTAGTGACTTTGTAATACATATCAACTGCCCGGATATATATTTTGTTATTTATTATAAGGGGGAATTTGCTGCAACTAGGATCTTTTCATGAAAATCGTCAGGCAGTCACAATTTTGTTAAGATTACTAAGTGAACTTTGCTTCTATACTCCTTATGTGTCACCAATGATAAATTCTTGTGCCGGTCTTTGAATAAATATAGCAACCATAGTTATATATAGAGGGATGAAGTAACCATAGAATACTTGACGAAAAACTAGACCATAATTAAGATAGTTGAAAATGAAATTTTGTATTAATAATGTCTTCTTTATATATTCAAGCCTTTCCTTGGTCAAGAGTGCAACCAGCCATGTGAGCTGCAGTTGATATGAACTTTACTGGCAGACGAACATTGGAAATGACAAGATTTCTGCGCAGAGGTAATTTGATTGTTCCTTCAAAATTTATATTAGCCTTGCAGCTGAAATTCTTGTAGTGACTTTGTAATACATATCAACTGCCCGGGTATATATTTTGTTATTTAGTATAAGGGGGAATTTGCTGCAACTAGGATCTTTTTTTGGAAAATCGTCAGGCAGTCACAAATTTTGTTAAGATTACTAAGTTAACATTGCTTCTATGCTCACTATGTGTCACCAGTAATAAATTCCTGTGGTGGTCTTTAAATAAATATAGCAACCATAGTTATATGTGGAGGGATGAAGTATAACCATAGAATACCTGACCAAAAACTAGACAATAATTAAGATAGTTGAAAATGGAATTTTATATTAATCATGTCTTCTTATATTCAAGATTTTCCCTGATCAAGAGTGCAACATGAGCTGCTGTGGATATTAACTTTACTGCCAGATGAACATTGGAAGTGAAAAAGATTTCTGCGCATAGGTAATTTGATTGTTCCTTCAAAATTTATATTAGCCTTGCAGCTGAAATTCTTGTAGTGACTTTGTAATACATATCAACTGCCCGGATATATATTTTGTTATTTATTATAAGGGGGAATTTGCTGCAACTAGGATCTTTTTCATGAAAATCGTCAGGCAGTCACAATTTTGTTAAGATTACTAAGTGAACTTTGCTTCTATACTCCTTATGTGTCACCAATGATAAATTCTTGTGCCGGTCTTTGAATAAATATAGCAACCATAGTTATATATAGAGGGATGAAGTAACCATAGAATACTTGACGAAAAACTAGACAATAATTAAGATAGTTGAAAATGAAATTTTGTATTAATAATGTCTTCTTTATATATTCAAGCCTTTCCTTGGTCAAGAGTGCAACCAGCCACGTGAGCTGCAGTTGATATGAACTTTACTGTCAGAGGAAAATTGGAAGTGAAAAAGATTTCTGCGCATAGGTAATTTGATTGTTCCTTCAAAATTTATATTAGCCTTGCAGCTGAAATTCTTGTAGTGACTTTGTAATACATATCAACTGCCCGGATATATATTTTGTTAAGATTGCTAAGTGAACTTTATTTCTATGCTCCCTATTTGTCACCAATGATAAATTCCTGTGGTGGGCTTTGAATAAATATAGCAACCATATATATAGAGGGATGAAGTAAGCATAGAATACCTGACCAAAAACTAGACAATAATTAAGATAGTTCAAAATGGAATTTTATATTAATCATGTGTTCTTCTAATATTCAAGATTTTCCCTGGTCAAGAGTGCAACATGAGGTGTGGATATGAACTTTACTGTCAAATGTACATTGATTGGAAAGTGAACAAGATATCTGCACTGAGGTAATTTGATTTTGTCATGGATGGTCAGCATTTGATTTTAAAAAGCCACTACATTGTTGAGATGACAACAATGAAATTGAAATTTGCTTCTATGGTCACCATGCGTGAAACCAATGATGAAACTTAATGCTATAAGAGCTGAACAAGTCTGGCTGATTACTAAAATTCCTGTGCTGGTCTTACAATAAATATCCATGAAAAAGTCCAGCAATTACTATTTTAAACTTGGGAGAAATTTTTCTGATTTCCATGTGATTTATATTCTGTAGTACTCAGAAGGGTGGTACCCAGTTTTTCTGTGTTCAAATTAAATAGTGACATATTTCTGGGTTGAATATAAGCATGTGACACATTCTTTTTATTGAAAATAGCAAAAATATAATTGGCATAAAACAAAATGCATTCACGAATGTATTGTCTATCCATGAAAGATGGCTAAAGTAAGATAATGAGTAATATGTTTTAATAATGATGTCAGGTTGAAAATACAACTTTTTGCCTAAAAGGATTGATGAAATGCTTTTTCTCTTTAGAATGAATGAAGTTAAAGAAAGTTGAAAGGCACCCCAGAAGAACCTGAATTATTTTAGCCCTATCCTAGATTCATTGAATATTTTAGTGTGTGATAACATGTGTGAAATGTGATCAATTATGTGACAATTTTCAAAACTTGGATTTATAAAGAGAAATTTTCTTTGTAAAGTTTAAGAAGTAAACCTTTTTTGTCTGGTGGTGTTGGTGTTTTGATTTTGCATGTTTTTCCCTGTGCTTTCACAATTGAAAATATTTTGGCAGTTGCTTTTGGCTTTTTCTCATACTTCTTTTCTCTTTAATTTCTTCTTAGTATTAGTATTTTTTCTAAATATATTTTCTCTTCTTATTGTTTTGATGAAATTCTTTTTTTCTTTAGTGTTGAAGAGAGTTGAAAGGCACCCAGATTCATTAATTAATATTTTTTAGTGTGAAATGTGATGAATTATGTGACAATTTTCAAAACTTGGATTTATAAATTTTTTTTCTTTGTAAAGTTTAAGAAATAAACCTTTTTCGTCTGATGGTGTTTTTGTTTTTATTTTGCAAGTTCTGTGTGACTTGACAATTCCAAATTAAACCTCTTAGTATTTTTTAGTATTTTTTCTAATTTAAATCTGTTAGTATTTTCTTCTATTTCTCTAGTTTTTTTTCTCTAGTTTTTTCTTCTATTTCTCTATTTTTCTTCTATTTCTCTAGTTTTTTTCTCTTGTCTTTTATCCTCTAGTTTTTTTTCTGTTTTTTTCTCTCTAGTTTTTTTCTCTAGTTTTTCTAGTTAGTTTTCTTTTCTCTGGTTTTTTCTTCTATTTCTCGAGTTTTTTTTTCTATTTTTCTACTTAGTTTTTTTCTCTAGTTTTTTCTTAAAGTTTTTCTCGTAAGTATTTTCTAAATGTTTTTTGAAAAGTTTAAGAAGAAACTTGATTTTTGTCTTGTGGTCTCTAGTTTATTTTCTATTTTTTTTTCTATTTTTCTACTTAGTTTTTTCTCTAGTTTTTTCTTAATGTTTTTCTCTAGTTTTTTTCTCTAGTTTTTCTAGTTAGTTTCTTTCTCTGTTTTTTTCTTCTATTTCTCGAGTTTTTTTTTCTATTTTACTACTTAGTTTTTTTCTCTAGTTTCTTAATGTTTTCTCTAAGTATTTTCTAAATGTTTTTTGAAAAGTTTAAGAAGAAACTTGATTTTTGTTTTGTGGTCTATTTTTTTTTCTTCTATTTCTCTAGTTTATTTTCTTTTTTTTTCTTCTTTTTATCTAGTTTTTTTTTCTACTTTTTTTTCTCTAGTTTTTTTTCTATTTTTCTACTTAGTTTTTTTCTCTAGTTTTTTCTTAATGTTTTTCTCTAAGTATTTTCTAAATGTTTTTTGAAAAGTTTAGGAAGAAACTTGATTTTTGTCTTGTGGTCTCTAGTTTATTTTCTATTTTTTCTTCTATTTCTCTAGTTTTTTTCTCTAGTTTTTCTAGTTAGAATTTCAAAAAAGTGAAAAAAAGTAAATTTTTTCAGTCCCGAGAAGATCACCCTGTCAAATTTTCGTGAAAAAAAAAGTAAACATTAGCATTAAAGGCGGGAAATTTTTAAACTTTTTTTAAAGTTTTAGTCGGACATTTTCTAATTTTGAGTCTTTTCAAGAGACACAAGTTTTTAAATATTTTTTGACTTGCGTTTTTTTGTCAATTTTCACGTACTTTTATGAAGCGAAAGTTGTTCAAATGTTTCTCAATTTTTTTTTACTTCCAATTTCTTTCAAATTTACAGCCTTCCTGAAAGCTGAGAGTCTTAACTTTTTCAAGCTTACAAATCATACCGAAATTTTCAAGGCTAACTTTTTTGCATTGCCAGGACTTGAACCCTTGTCCCGGGATTGAGAGATCACGGTCTTAACCACTAGACCACCGCGTCATTTGTCGAAAGCCTATTGTTCTTTATTTGACCTAACCCTTTTCGAAAAGTTTTCCGCCTTTAAACTCGGAGAGCACTGCTTTAACCAGAAGACCACAACCTGCGGTGAAAGGCTACACTTTTTTATATTACTTAATACCTTTTTGGTAGGATCTCAAATGAAATAACAATTTCAATAAGTTCATTTTAATGTTCACGATTGATTTTCTCGTCTAAAAAGCACACAACTTATAAAGCACTATCTTTCCATAAGTTAGTTATACTTATATGCGGCGCAAGTGAAGCTAATGGTTGCGGTGCGATTGTTTTGTATTTTCAATGAAGTAAAGTCAAAGTAAAGTACAAGAGTTAACAATGCCTTTCAAAATAGGTTTAAAAGAAAAAAAGTACAAGAATTAAGAATGTATTTCAATGTGTATAACGCGTATGGTCATGAGGCAACAAGCATGCAACTCGTAGTCTCGTAGATTACATCTGAAATCGCAATTGAGGCAAATATCCTGTTAAACAGATAATGACTATTTATAAGATTTTGTTGTGTAAAGAGTATATAAAATACGCTAAGAAAAAAGAAGTTCTAACAGTTCAAAAGCGCAATGTCTGTAGTTGACCGCGGTAGCAAACAAGCAAACAGCAGCTCAACATTATTACGGCAACGATTCATAATGATTTCATTTAAAAGTTCTTTGAAGAAACGATTAAGTCAAAGAAAGAACAATAGCTTATCGACAAACGATGTGGTCGTTAAGTAGTGTATCATGTTCATGATTGATTTTCTCGTCTAAAACGCACACAATCTTAAAGCATGCCTGTGTCTTACAGCACTATCTTTCCATACGTTAGTTATATGCGGCGCAAGTGAAGATAATGGTTACGGTGCGATTGTTTTGTACTTTTAATGAAGTCAAGTCTAATTTCACAGGTCACAAAATAAAATTTGAGGGAAATGGTAATTCAGATTAATTAGAATGTTTCAACATTTGCCACTTATTTCACAGCTGGAATTGTACTCATAATCTGCAACATAACGCAACTGATATTAAATAACTAACTCTACTTCTCTTAAGCTGCGTTTACACGGTACCATCCGCTAGTCACAACATCTTTAATTTACCATTACTATAAAATATGAAATTTACCATTACTATAAAAAATGACACTGGAATATAATTCAATTTCCTAAATTCTAAATTTCTTAATTTAATCTAATAAAAATATACACGACAGTAAACAGAATAGCATGAACTTGCACCATTTCGCCGACCATACAAAACCCGACATGATATTACCTTCTATCTTCCACGGCGCTTGGTCTCTATAATCTCTATCAAAGCATCCAAAAAGCGTTCCTCCATTTTGTAATGAAGTAACGGTATTATTCTGAAGCAAATTACTATATTTTCTTCGGCAGTCAATCGCATTTTCGAGCCAATCAAAACTCCGAGCTGGCTAACTGCAGCCATGAAAACGGATTAAATACACACCACCAGATTCCACAGTGAAGTAACCCTATTTCGGAGCTGTTTGCGATAGAAAATCGCGAGTTATTGAAGCTTTCACGATATTGAACATCTTTTCCACAAGCTAGGAATAGGTCGATATTGTTATCCAAATTACTGTGAAAACAGAACGAAAAATGCCCAGCTGAACACATTTCTGGGCGGTTAATACCAGTTAACACATTCCGTTCTTTTATACACTTTATATTTTTTTATTACAATTTTTTTCTATAATTGTTGTATTCAAATTGTCGATTTATCTATTGCTTAAGTATGAAAAATTGTTATAAACTCTCTAATCAGTGGATTGGCAGTCACAGCAAACCCTATGCGTGTTTCTCTGTGGGTCTATTGTAACAGTAATAATGCAGGATTTCCCCACTCGGATAGCACGCGAAGGCACTGAAAAACAAAGAGAAACGTCTTTAGAAAGTGCATCGAGTTTTTGAGAATCATTTTTCCCTTCCACGCAATAAATCTTAAGCGCCGTTAACACTACACCTAATTCATTGGCACGGCACGGCAAGTGTAAACGGGCCTTTAGCAGGCAAGCTGTCAACCATGGGGTGGGCGGGGTGGCCTACACTAGCGGGGGTGCGCACCATCTCCTCACCCCAACCTACCCTTCCCTTGTAAATCCATCCCTGTTTCTCTTGAGTGGAATAAAAAGCAACAAATACCTGGTTCCTATCTTCTTGTGGCAGACACGACATGCGCGTTCATCTGTGATTAAAACCTTGCCTGTTTGATAATGCATCCTACGTTCTTTAACCTGAAGAGACGTGGATCAGAAAGTTTGCCATTAGGGATGAGAGCGTTTAACAATCGATTTTAGGCACTTTAGAAATGGCGTTTACGACAAACTGCAATTAAATGGCCAACCTAAAATCGTATTCTTCACGACTGTGGTACAGCGAAATCGATCTATTTTACCGCCAATGAGGAAACCTTTGAAATATTTTGATTGTATATAACATTATTTTTATTATTATTTGTATTTATTAGGTATCTAAAGTGTGTCGAAAGAGAAACGGTATATGTCTTCGTAAAGCACAAAGTCATCTAGCTCTTCCTTAGCTTCAACAAGAAAAATTTCCGGCAATATACAAGACTGAAACTTGATGTGATCAGTACGGCTATCACAAATGAATTGTGCTCTATCGGTACGTTTACACACAACGACTCGTCTGGCAGATTAGATGCGCGAAGCAAATGTCAGCATAACGACAATATGAACAATCATCCTCCAAGATATCATTATTCTTCAATATATCATTGTTCTCCATTATCTACATAATGTTAAAATGCTCGCCTGTACGATAGTAATCTTTCCTTTTTCTAGTTAATATTTGCTATCTGTATACGGCTTTAAAGATTACGTATATTTTGTATTACCTGAAGATGCTCGGCGTACAACAGACTTTTTAAAACCTGGCTCGTCTTCTTCTTACAGGATTTCTCTTCTAAAATACTCCCCAAAAAAGGAACTATTTCCTGGATCTGAATGGTCGTTGGAAGAAGTTCTAACGCCTGCGGGAAGACAAGAAAAATGTATAGAAAAAATGTACCAATGTTTTAATAGTAACAGCTTTATAGCAAATCACACCTTTAATGTATTTAGACACTTCCTTTAAAAAACCTTCCTATTATACACGCCTCTTTCTAACACACGCCAGCACCTCTTATCATCTCTATAATAGTGGCTCCTCTTTCAGGCTCTATAGTACACTAATGACTAATCTCTTTGATACAAATACCTTGTCTAACTCTCCAATAAACCATTCCCTCCGACAGGAGTACCTCTAAAATAACCCGTATCTCTCTACTACAGATACCTTTCCAATTCGCCAGACTCAGCAACCTCTCTGATAGAAGTACGCTCATAATATACTGACTCTATAATAGAGATTCCACTCTAATTCTTCTAACTCTCTCTACAGATTCCTCTGCAATTCACCCAGCTTGTTATACAGGATCCTCTGTAATTCCCCTATTATAATACACTATCTTTCTGATAGAAACCTCCCTAACTCGACCATCTCTCTAATGCAGGATCTTCTCTGAAAAGAAGCTCTCCATAATACACTTATCTCTCTGACACTGGCAACTCTAGAATATGGCAACTCTCTATTACTAACACCTCTTCGATACGCACATCATCTAGGATTCTTTTACGACTTGAAGTATAATACACAATTCACGTAAACGATTCCCACCTTTACTGGATTAATTTTATCGTAGTGTTTTTGAAGAACATTCAACGCAGCTTCTACATTTGGCTTCAAGTTAAGATCTGTGGTTTTAGCTCCTTGTATTGATTCAGGGGGTGACAGATACATTTTCAGCAAACGGGCATACACCTGGGGAGAGTCGGAACATGGAATTGGAATGTAAATTACAAGTAAATTAGCGTATGCGCAGGGGAGGGAGGGAGCAGAAGGGTAGTTGTTCCCTCGCCGATAAAGTTCATGCATTAATATCAGGTATTCCTGACCGCTTCGGTTTTAGGAGGGCTTCAGAACCAACAGAGAATACTTACATCTTTGCTATACTTCCATTCCTCGCTATACGTCCGTTTGCAATACCTGTGAGAATGATGGATGGTTTTAATGACCGGTCGTGGGGGAAGGAGGTGTTCGCAACCCTAGCTTGCTCCAGAGGGGAAGCAAACTTGGCTATTAATTCAAATTTAAGGAAGTACAGATATGGAAGATGGAAAAGATATTACCTAATCTTTCAACCCAAGACGACTAATTGAAAGATATCTCTAAATTTGCCACTAATATGTTCTGAAGCGCAGGCAATAAATCAACAACTTACGATGAAGCCATTTCAATATCATTTAAAACATGGATATATATCGCTAACGCATCCTCGTGACGACCCAGTCTTCCAAGTAGCAGTGCGCGTTCTTCGAAGAAACCTGAAACAGGGAAAAATACGGTGACTCAAAAGAATGGAACCGAATTCCTACACAGCTGGAAATTTGAGTTTGCCTTTCTAATAAGGCCCTTTACTTTCATCATTTCGCTAAGTAACCAAAAAATCATGTGCGAAAATTGTCAGTCGAGAACTTTACTTACTGTCATCAAAATGGGTGAGTAAATTCTGAGGTTTATAGCATCTTGATTCACGAAGAAACTTCAGTAAGGTGCTTCGTAATTCCCCAAGTTCGCCAGGCTCCTTGCCCGCGCGCGGTAACTCCTCTCCTGTAAGCATTGGTTGGAAATGAACATTCATACGAGCAGTGAAAACAAGCACAGGCATGACTTCATAGCTCAACAGTTTCACGTAAAGGTATAGACCTTCTTTTAAATGTCAACCAATTCTATGATAAAATATTTCCAAGAGAGTATTCAGTGAAAACTAAACACGGTTTGATTGAGCATGTGACTAATGCCCTTTCTTATAACGACGTCAAACGCGGAATGTCTCCGCAAAACCAACTAGCCAATTAAACTTTGTGTTATAACAGCAGGCTTTCTGTGTTTGACATCATTATGAGAAACGTCTATTGCAAACGATGCACGCAAATGCCTCTGACTGGCGTGCTGCAAATACCAATGCCTCTGATTGGCGATTGGAAAATTAACGAGAGCCTCAATCCAAGTATTTGATTGGATTCTTTCATTTTAAGTGCCCAATCAGAGGCTTCAGTCTTATTATTTTTCACTTCTTTTCATTGACTGATTGTGTCCATTTAGAGACGACATGCATAGATAATTTTATGGGTATATAAGTGTTAAATGGGGGTCCTTAGGGATATTACAGGGATTATTAAGGACAAAACAGGATAGGAATACAAGAACTAGGCTTTATATCCCTGTTGTCCATTATAATGTGAACATTGATCAATGAAATGCATACCTTCCAGCATCTCTTCTTTATATGAAACCATCAGCTCAGAGATTCGCTCTCGATAACAATCCACAAGTCTGTTATGCAGTTCCGGTTTTTGCTCGTTGAAGACATGAATTATATGCTCCTGAAGATTGAGAATGAGGAATATTTCACTGAACGACATTCTTAATGATTGTCTCGTCCAAATAATATGCTATCACCCGGGGAGTGTTTTTATACAAAAATAAACGTTTACCCTAGATGTGATTTCAAGATAAACATATTAAACATTGCAAAGGAGTTGTTTGAAAGTTCGAGTTGACGATTTGTGTTAACACAGGGTTAGGCAACTTCTTCCCTTCAAGAACTAAAACTATGTAAGTTAATAAGTAAATTAGCTTGTAAGTACACCACGTAAGTATTTAACACTGCAAAGCTTTCGGTCTGTTAACCTGGGCATCCATCAGTGGAATTCAAGAAGTAAGTTATTTTTTTTAGAACTAAGTTGTTAGCGAAAACCTCTAATAACCAAAAACATTGCAATTTTGTTGAGAAGATGTTGGGTTGCAACATGTCAACAACTATCAACTGGTAGCAATTTTTGGCCGATAATCAGTTCTGTGATCTATAGCAATGAGAGAGACGTTGTTTAACACGCTTACCAAGTAAGGAATTTGTAATTGTGGCGCGTTTTGTTCAATATGCGACAATACTTCCTCCCGAGGCAAGCCTTCCACTTCGGGAATATCTTCAGTAAATATCTAAAGGTAGGAAAGAAAGTACTTCCACATAAATGAAAATTCATTTCCAAAGCCTTTTACCAGGAAAGATTACAGTGCTTCTTTGAATAGTTTTCTTTCGGCCAGATGGCGGGGGGGGGGGGGGGGGGGGGGGGGCGGGGGGAAGGGGGATACGATGATGGATATCAAATAGTATAAAATAATGAAAAACCAAAAATTAATCTCTCGTACGTACTTTGAGGCCATATTCAGGTCGACTTTTCAAAACCCATCCTGAGTACCCGAAGATAAATGGGAGGTTGTCTTTTCCTAAAACGCAGGGAACAGAAGGTTAATCGATGCGACAATTTACTAAATATGGTCAATACTGCTACACACTTACCCAAGCGCTGTAAATACTCCACAGTTTTGGATGGACCAAACCATGCTCCAGCCTTCTGAGCTTTTCGTAAAAGGAGTTCTAGGGCTGAATAAAATCATAGAACATCGAAGCTTGAATGGATCCGGAATGTGAAATGATTTACAGACAGTGCTACATTGTTGTTTTATTCATGATTACTGACAAGAAAAGTAGAGATGTAGTCAGATATATGTTGTTGCAAGTTGTTGGAAACAGGACTGAACAATGTTGTGCTGCACCCTGTGAACAGTATTTCTAACAACATTGTTGGACCATCATTACTGTTGCAACTTCTTGCAACAACATTGCATCAATATCGATGATTAAACAAGCTTCAACAACATTGTTAACCATACTAATACTGTTCAAGGTGTGCAGCACATTGTTCCTTCCTGATGTGACAATCTGATTAATTTTTGGCCGTGTAGAACGAGGCAACACAGAAATTCAAAAAAGACACATTATACCTATTTACAATACTTCATATACCACCAGAAACCACTAGTGGTTTCCCTGTTTAGTTAAATATTGCTAACATACATTTCTTTTACGTCCAACGCACTTGCATATGTACCTTTCTTATGGTTTCCTTTGTTCTGATACAGAATAACAAGTTCCTCAAACTTTTTGTGATGGTAAAGCTCTTTTTCACACTCAACCGGATGACAGTAGTTCTCCAGTCGTAAAAATGGAGCGACCAGTGCATCGTTTGTCTAGAATTAGGACAAATAACGCTCACATTTCCTCCATGTGTTATTATGTCTTGGCGACTAGGAGTATGGGAGGTGACGACAAGACAAACATGAACTCAAAATGGATGCTAAAGAATGCCCACAGACGTTATCACAAAATGAAATACCGCATGTTTCCATTTTGTCAAAAAAAAATTGATGAAAATTTGAATGATTCGGCAAAGCATGTGGCAGAAATGATAGAATAGAGAATGTAATGCAGATCTGGCAAAGTTATAAGGAGGAAGGTGCATGGTTTGAAAATCGTTTTTTAAGGCATGCAACAACAGGCACCTAAAGGCAAAATACACAATACGAAAAAACAAGCATATGAGCTGCAGGGAAACTTCTTTTAGTGGGGCTGATTTTTTTGTTAATAATTCGGTTATTATTCCAGGAGTTTTACTGCATGTAAATACACGAAATATAGACATGACCAGAGATCAAAACAAGTCTTACCAGTAAATAACACTTTAGTAGACTTGTGTCAATGATTTGCCGTAATGCTTTCCTGGATTTAAGTTCACCTGAAAAAAGACAGGCGTATTTAACGTAAATGTGATGTTCTATTCCATTTTCTGAAGATGGAAATCGCATCTTCAATACGAAAGATTCACCAAGGAACTGTGATGTCACACAGATGAAACATTATAGTTCATTATCAGTTAAGCAAATCTTTTCCAACTTCTGTTTTCCAACCGTTATGACGGTTTTGACGTTTTTTGCTTATCCAACACTTTTTTTAATAAACACCTATTACTAGGTTGATGCGAGTACTTTTTCATCTTTAATAATATCGTTTTCCTTTTTCACTTAAAAACTATCTTGTTGGAACCTTATAATAAACATACCTTCGAGCAATTCTTCGCCGTTTGCCTCATCAAATTTTTTTGCTAATGCATTCCTTTCCTAAAGAAAACAACGCATCAATTTAGATCTATACAACAAACACAGGTTGTAAGAAAAGTCTTTTACAAGTCTGCTTCACACGTCACACGATAACGACAGACAACGAGGCATTTCAAGCGTTTTAAAATGCGTTCGTTTACAGAAACATGGCCGTGCCAAACCTTAACTAAATATTGGGTAAGAGCAAGATATCCTTTTTCCATTTCACTGCCTGAGAGCACGGGTGGGGTGGATGGATAGTCCATGCGCTTCCTGAAATCTGCGGGCAAGAGATCTTGAAATAATCCAATCACTTCCGGGGGTTCTGAAAGGCGGTAAAATATATATAAATATATCCAAGTTAGAATTTTTAACATTGAAGTAATTTTTTCTTCACCTGGGGGGAGGATGGTGAAAATAGAAGTTGTGAATATAGGAGTGGTGAAAATACATAAGAGTGGTGAAAATACATAAGAGTGGTGAAAATACATAAGAGTGGTGAAAATACATAGGAGTGGTGAAAATACATAAGAGTGGTGAAAATACATAAGAGTGGTGAAAATACATAAGAGTGGTGAAAATACATAAGAGTGGTGAAAATACATAGGAGTGGTGAAAAACATAGGAGTGGTGAAAATACATAGGAGTGGTGAAAATACATAGGAGTGGTGAAAATACATAAGAGTGGTGAAAATACATAAGAGTGGTGAAAATACATAAGAGTGGTGAAAATACATAAGAGTGGTGAAAATACATAGGAGTGGTGAAAATACATAGGAGTGGTGAAAATACATAGGAGTGGTGAAAATACATAGGAGTGGTGAAAATACATAAGAGTGGTGAAAATACATAAGAGTGGTGAAAATACATAAGAGTGGTGAAAATACATAGGAGTGGTGAAAATACATAGGAGTGGTGAAAATACATAGGAGTGGTGAAAATACATAGGAGTGGTGAAAATACATAGGAGTGGTGAAAATACATAGGAGTGGTGAAAATACATAGGAGTGGTGAAAATACATAGGAGTGGTGAAAATACATAGGAGTGGTGAAAATACATAGGAGTGGTGAAAATACATAGGAGTGGTGAAAATACATAGGCGTGGTGAAAATTGAGTGGTGAAATATATAGGAGTGGTGAAATATATAGGAGTGGTGAAATATATAGGAGTGGTGAAATATATAGGAGTGGTGAAATATATAGGAGTGGTGAAATATATAGGAGTGGTGAAATATATAGGGGTGGTGTAAATAGGGGTGGGCTACCCGAATAGTCATCCGGTAAGAAGTCCTGTCATGCGGATTCGCAAAATCTTAACTATATATATCATTATTCATAATGAAACATACTACCAAAGATTACTACTTAGTACTCCGTAAAACAGCAAGATGCACACCTGTGGCTAGCTCGGAAAATATCTTGAAAGAGTCCTCAAAACGTTTCTGACAAAACAATTCAAAAGCATATTGATACTGGATGCTCTGGATTCGTTTTGTTTTCTCCGAGTCATTATCGTCCATGTTGTTCTGAAATAACAAGTGATCGTTGAAGAGTTTCAGCCAATTTACTAATGCGACGGACAATAGAAATGCCGCACAATGAAATGAGTTTATGCTCTCCTATATCTTGCAAAATTCCCTGCAAAATGAAAGATAGCGGCATGTTGATTTCAACGTGCTCTTTCGCGGAAGGAAGGACCTCATCAAATGGAACAGAAACAGGGACCGCGGAGCGTTTTTCGTATTGCTGGGGCTCGAAACCGTCAAATGCTTGTCCTATGTAAAGATGCAAGCATGTTTGGCGCTCATATACAAACATTAAACAATATAACCATGCTATGGTTATGATGTCAAATATTTTGATATGGATAACCACGCTGTTTTAATGGTCAAATGCTTGTCCAATGTAAAGTTTCCAGCATGTTTTGCGCTCATATACAAACGTTAAACAATGTAACCATGCTTCAGTGGTTATGAATATGATGTCAAATATTTTGACATGGATAACCACGCTGTTTTAATGGTCAAATGCTTGTCCTATGTAAAGTTTCAAGCATGTTTCGTGTCCATATACAAACATTAAACAATGTAACCATGCTTTGGTTATGATGTCAAATATTTTGACATGGATAACCACGCTATTTTAATGGTCAAATGCTTGTTCCATTGAAAATTTTTAGCATGTTTCGTGTCCATATAGCTACAAACATTAAACAATGTAACCATGCTTTGGTTATGATGTCAAATATTTTGACATAGATAACCACGCTGTTTTAATGGTCAAATGCTTGTCCTATGTAAAGTTTCAAGCATGTTTCGTACCCATATACAAACATTAAACAATGTAACCATGCTTTGGTTATGATGTCAAATATTGTGATATGGATAACCATGCTGTTTTAATGGTCAAATGCTTGTCCTATGTAAAGTTGCAAGCATGTTTCGTGCTCATACAAACATTAAACAATGTAACCATGCTTTGGTTATGATGTCAAATATTTTGACATGGATAACCACGCTGTTTTAATGGTCAAATGCTTGTCCTATGTAAAGTTTCAAGCATGTTTCGTGTCCATATACAAACATTAAACAATGTAACCATGCTTTAGTTATGATGTCAAATATTTTGATATGGATAACCAGGCTGTTTTAATGGTCAAATGCTTGTCCTATGTAAAGTTGCAGTCCAGATGGCAATTTTATCTTTATTTTCTGTATTAAAATTGTAATTGTTGACAGAGTACACGCGTAGCAATAGTCTAAAATAGACATCCAACCAACGGGACACCGCGTGTTAAAAGCAATCAGGAAGAAATGAAAACAAGACCTTAAACACTTCAATCGTAACCGAATGACAACCTAACCAAAAAAGAATAGCGACCTTGGATCAAAAAGTGTTTCTTTGCTCATATGTCTTTGATTTGCTCCATTTTGATAGACTTTTTGTGTCTGCGAGGTAAAGTTTATGTGAAAAATACAAATTTTCCTGGCTGCGAAAGAGCATATGTTGATATATCGACATGGTGCCATTTTTTTACGAGCAATTTATGGCATATTCTTAAAGAAATGCTCTTTTGACCGACACGATAAACATGCATGAATCTTTTAGTAGAGACCTTTAGCTTAACCATGCAATATGACAAACCGCGAACAGCAAACGGCTAATTTCAAATAACATTTGAAATTAGATTTTTGGCACTTTCTCGCTCACAATTTGTCTCAGAAGTTACTCTATTTTTGAAAATAATGCACCAATTTTCTCCGCCTCAGAAACCTAGGATTGGTTTTGAGAATTCAAAATGAATTTTTCTGTTTGCCGTTTGAGGGTTGTCGTAAATGTCAAGCTAAAGGTCTCTAATGATGAATAATTTACTTACGGCTAATAACAAAGCAAGTGCGAACTGTTTCTCTTGCAGGAGTTGTAAAACTTGCATCGGAATAGGCACTGGGACGAGACGCCATACGTGGCTTGATGACGCAACGTAGATATATTTCCCGTGTGATATGTAACGAGGTTTTGACAGTTCAATACTCTGAACCAGAGCACGCGGCTCAATCGTTCTGATCTCCACGTATTTTGGAAGAATACCAATCATGTATGGATCGTAAAAATCTGAAATTGAATAATGCATGAGTATTTATGCATGTATACTGCACACGCATGTATACAGCGTATTTAAAATTACTATTATTATTGTTATTATTATTATTTAAACTTCTTTAAAAACGGTAGCCCTACATTTCTTCACTAATTTCGTTAAGGTCTTCCAATGTTCCTGACTACGTCAATTTACCTTTTTTAAGACAAAACCGTAAAAGTAGCTATACATTATGTTATTGACTGCTGTGGAACACATATTTGCTGCACAAGTTGTAGTTGAACAGTCCGCTATGCTACCGGCTAGTTTTGCAATCATTTTGAATTTAATGATTTAATTCGTAAAACTATGCAGTATGAACGAGAGTAGAGGGAATCATCGAGAAAAGCGGGAAAATTCACGGGCAGGATTGTCTCATCTTGTGCGGCTGATGATCAATCATACAGCGTGTTTCATACTGACCTATAGCAAGGGGCACATCGGCCCAGACGGGCGCCTTGCGTTTTGCGGGTTTTCCTTCGGAATCTATAAAAACAGTGACCTCATCTTTCCCCAGAGTCAGGCTGCCATCTTTCAAAACTGAAATATTCGGTTCAAGATTTTTGCCTGTTGCAAAAAGTTCCGTGAGTTGTCCCGTCGCAATCTGAAATCACAGAAATACTTGAGTAAGAACTTCGAGACGATTAACCACACGAACTTTGATCCCACGAGATAAGACCCTCGGTAATGACTAATGTCGACAGACCACTGCGACAGACAGACTGCAACTGAACAACAAAGTCAACTGAACTGCAAAAATATTTCGTACTAACCTTTATCAAATAGTACTCTCTTCTAAATCCAACGCACAAACTATCGCCAGCCCATGCGACGGTTTTGGCAACATCTGGTATTCCTAGTTCCTCACCCAATTCTTCAAACTGATCACTGCGCCAAACAAACAACTTGAAATAACATAAAAGATCATTGTTACTTCAACGATTTATATCTTTCCTTTTCACTTCAGTTCTATTTCATTTTGCACCATTGTAATACTTATAAAGGCGCTGATACACAATGCAACTTTCCTAGCAACTTTCAATGCATTTCTACTCCTGAGGCATCTAAAGTTGTCAAATACGAACCTGCTAAAGTTTTGTCAGGATTTCGTACACTCTTTACAAATTAACATTACAATTGCAAGTTGCAAGGAAAATTGCATTACTATTCCTGAGGTTTCCATGTGTATATATTACAAATTAAAAAACAATCTTTATCTGCAGGCTTTTTTAAGATTCGCCAGACAATCTGTCGGGGTCCTACTAATAACCGACAACAACCGACAATAACCGACAACAATCGTCAACAAGCTAAAAATTACTGACAGAAAGCTTATAATCATCGATAACGATGCAATAGACGCTAATATTGCGTTTCTTCGACTTTATTTATCGTGATCGCTTTGTTACCAACTTATTTTCTACATTTTTTTCCTCATTTTTGTTTACAGTTAACATTCTACTTAAAATTTTGCGCCTTAATAATAAACTTTAAATGAGAAAATCTTCTAAAAGAATAAACTGCAGGATACACATGCAAAGAGCGATTCAAATCATCGCTTGTCTAATATATTTACTCACCATCAATCGTTTACGGACGGCTACACACATGCGCAGTGTGAATGTTGGCGTCGGATCTAAACGGAATCAAATGCATTTCACAAAAACAGAAGCTAAAGGCCATGTTACACCGCGGTGCAATTTTTCTTGCAACTTTCAATGCAATTCTACTTCTAAGAGATGTAAACTAGTCAAGAAGAAAGAAAAGAAAAGTGCATGAAGTGTAATAAACACAAAAGGTTCGTTGTTCCCAAATATACATCTCTCAAAAGTAGAATTGCAATTGCAAAGAAATATTGCACCATGTAACACGGCCTTAACAATTCAGGGAGTTTGGTGTACTATTTTGTAACAACTGAGGAAGAAAGTTCATTAGTTGCAGCTTGACCTAGAAAGCTGGCCTATAGTATTCTAGGCAGTGTGGGCTAAACTATGATAACTGATTATGACAAGGATGGATGTTTAGAATTTCTGTGCATTCGAGAAGCAATGTTAATTAATTACTTACAATGTAATGTTTCCTAAAACTAATTTAATTTATCATACCAAACTTACCAAAAACAGTGGACTTCTTATGTTTCTGTAAAGAAAATAGTTTATTCATCTTTAAGTTTGCAGCTTGTAAACAATTTTGAACAATGCATTAGACTCATATAAGAAAGTGAACTTTCAAGTACACCATAATATTTCTAATTGGCATAAATCCATTAAAACCTGAACTGATACCCAAATTTGCACCCTTTCGGCCTAAGCTAGGGGAGTAGACCACCCCCTCTCCCCACCCCTGGTCAGTAAATCCATCCTTCATTCTTATCTATGTATTACAAAAGAACTTATAGGGAAGAATAATAGAAGCATAGCAAAGAATCCAAAGATGTAAGTACAGTATATTCTCCATTGGTTTTTAAGCCCTCCTAAACCCATAAATGCAGAAGATTGCAACCCCATACCTAGAATGGGTGCACCCCTCCCCATCCACACACCAAATATATCCATCCCTCAAACTGCAGTTGATTGATTTTACTTTGACTTTGCAAGAAAGTTTCATTGGTTTCAGATTAAACAAAATTTGTTAAGAATAAACAAAATTGTTTTTTGTAGTTACCTGAAGATCGAGAGCAAAGAATGAAGCTCCCCTAGTTTTGTTCAGCACAGATTTGAGAATGAATGAATCGAGATCATGGACACTCACAACACTATCTGAAAAGTGAAAAAAAAATCATTTGTACAGGCAATGCATGAAGAAAATGATTAGGTACCATTAAGACTTGAAATTCGTCATAACATAAATGTTATCAATACCTGACAGACTGATTAATAAATTGAATTCAGGTACAACTGTCATCTAAAAGAAATAATGTAGGTTTGTATTGTACAGCAGGCAATCTGGTGCAAGCGTGAAATCAAACAAAATGGAAAAATACACATTTATTTAGTAGCAGCTAGTGTGGTACATAGCTGGTATAACCTACAAATCAGCAGCCAATTAGCAGTTTTTGTAAAGAAAAATGATCTTAAAATACTGGAATTTTTTTTTATATTTGATTCAAAATTTAATTGTGTTTTTATAAACAGACTTACACAGTTTAAAATATCTGAGAGTTTTTAAATCAACAAGACCTTTTATGGTTAATAGTCAGGGCATTAGAAAACCCATGACCAAATATGAGAAGGTGCAGGTTTGAGAATTTATTATTATATCCTATCCCTGAATATTGCAACAATAATAATCATACATGTGTAAAATCTGTGAAAAACATTCACATACTTGAACGATTGGTTTCTTGGAGAATAGTTTGTTAGACCTTTTAAGTTGCACTTCGAATCTTTGATCACCTAAAAACAATAATAAAAACATTCTACTTGTAAAGAAACAAATAGTAAGCATAACTGAAAAAATCGAGGTCATTAGATTTGTCTGAAATCCAATATGAAGATTGAAATCAAATATGAAATATTGTGTATTTTCAGTAAATCTTCTAGAAAATAGCAAGAAGGTGTGGCGTGGCCGATTGTAGCCAACTATTATATGATAGCTCGGTTGATGTAAGGCAATTTGATAACTCATGGTTTAGTATGAAAGGTTGGTGTAAGGCAGTGTGATACTGTAACTGGTAAATGGTTTAATTAGTACAAAGACAGCTTCTTTACAATATAATATTACTAGGATAAGAAGTTGATTAGGATGGCTATTGTTACAATATAAAACTTTAGTGTTAATAAAACTAGATTGCAAAGATAACATAATAGCAATGCCATATCTCAAAATCTCCTTGATGGCCCAAACATGAACTTCATCTCTAGATGACTTATTTTATTAAACTATTCTGTAATCCATGAAATCTAATTTCATGCAATACTAAAATTTTATATCGCTATAAAAGTAACAATTTCCTAATGAACTCCTAATCTTGGAAGCATTGTTGAAAACATAATATCCTACAACTTAAGAGTGGTCCTAAAACCTGTAAAAAACTGTCATGGTACTATTATAAAACATTAGTTATCACACTGCCTTACAACAACTTGTAATAAAATACTTCTGCTACAATGTCTATTAGTATTATTAATTTTAAACTCAAACCTGTCCCATCTTTGATGCTATATACCAGCAAGTGACCTGGTCTTGTACCAACTAGTAGGTGATTATCTAAAATGTACCAAATTGACATGAAATATAATTTATTATTGTTAATTAAGACCAAAAGACAGAATACAACAACATACAGTATTGCATCTCATGCATAGAATTTTGAAAGAGGCAATTAATTAGGTAATGGTATAGGCACAACAGAGCTTGTTTTCATATCTTGGAGTGGTAACTCCATAATTGTTATATAGTTATTCTAAATTTTTAACACAAACTCAGAGCTATTATAGAATACCAGCGAACCCAACTCTTAACAGTGAATGCCATATAAAACAATCTTATTTTATGATGCATGAATTGGCCTTTCACAGAACAAGATAAACACCACAGTATTTCTATGAACAAGGCAGTTCTAATTGATCCCCTAACAAATCTTTAACATAATGTACTATTGGCCTGGTATGCTATAATTGTACTGGCAATTCTTTTTCACAGAGTATTGGATACGAATATATTAGAAGTAGGCATCATCTGGGTGCATTGCAAGCTAATGATGTTAAAAAGGCTCTGCAGTCCCTGAACTGCTCTTTTCTATTTCTGGCTTTAATGTAAGTTGAGATAGAATGCGTTAACAATTTTCATAAATCCCCTTCAATTCGACAATAGCACATGATGTGTTGAACTTGAACCCGTTTAATTAACCATTACCACCACAGTACCAATAATTATTACAGTTTTAAATTCAAAACATGACCTTACCATAGCTGGTGATGGATTCGATGACTAAGGGCAATCGTTCAAGTATCGAAGCATATTCAAACGCATCGTGCATATTTCATCGCACTTTCATCCAGAATTATTAAATAATTTTATTTCATTTTTTCTTCCAAATTCTAATTTCTGTATTACTTCCTTTTTCTAACAATATGAAGGCCCGCACACAGGCGGACGCGGGTAAAGAAACCCTTCACTGATCTCTCTACAGACTACTGTGGCTGTGATCCTTATAATATGCTAATAAATAACGTTTACGAGGGGTCTCTCGGAAGCTTTCGTGCTTTTCTATGCTTTGTAAAGAACGAAGTTGAGAACGAAGCTACGCTATTGGTTGAAACAGAAATGTATTGCAAAATTCAGCCAATGAAACCTGCGACACTACCCGGTACCCTTTACGAGTGCCAAGGTAAAAATGTTTTCATAATGACTGAAGGCTATTGGACGAACTGAACTTTCTCAAATATTTTTGTTTTAACAGCTGATTTACGAAGAGGGGAGTGGGGGGGGTCTAGTATGATACTAACTCTACTGACGAAGGCCCTCGGGTCGAAACGTCGAGAAGTGCTTTTGTCTATTTTAGGCAGTTGTTATACCACATTTGATGCTAAGTTGTTTGAAGACGCTGCCACGCTGCTCCCTGGTTATATTGTAATATAATAGTCTATTAGGTCTATCTATCTGAGACCAATTTCTATTTTTTTCAGTTGTGCGCAATGGCTATAAATACGAATACTAAATATCACTAAAAACACTTGTTCGTTGCTATTCCCTGCATCTCATTAAGCCGGAAAAGTTCAAATGACGCACTTACGGAAACTAAACAAAGACTTCGTATTAATAAAAAAAAGTTTATAAAAATTTAACTGTAAATCTCTTTGAAAAACGTATAATATCCTGCATCGTTTGTTCTTAAAATATATCGACTTATAATGAAAAGTAATTGTCAGCATTCTTAAATTAATGCGTGTTGTAACATCCAGCAAGCAAACATTATCATCTCGACAGCTGACGTATGGAATGTAGTCTGTTATTAGGTGACGTCGTTGGGAATACTCCTTTAAATAAATGTTATGATAAAGCTTTGCTCTATATTATCAACTGTACCAATTTAATGAGATATAAGACGTAACTTGAAAACATCGTGCTTACGTTTAGGGACAATTCTATAGAGCCTAATTCGAGGTAGCGCTCACTGGGTCCTGAAATGCAGACGTTCTACATAGGACGTAATAAACGACGTTTTGCCGTTGTAAACAGAACGCAGATCACGTCTAAAACTCCCATAGGTGTTTAATAATTCATTTCTTTTCAATGAAGCATTGTATTGATAGCTGCCGTCGTCGTAAAGCAGTACTGCATTGGCTTTAGTAGCTTCGGTTGATTTGCTGCCCATATACATCGCAAGTTAACAAACGATAAAACATCCATCAAAAGTGAATTGGAAATAGACCTTTATAATGCATTAAAAGCATGGGATGAATGGAACTCGAACATTAGCGCGTCTAGTTAAGTTGTTTTTGTAAATAGTCTGTAGAACTGTTATACTTAGTTTTAATTTTGCCTAGTACTAATAAACTTATATATTATTGAAAAAACAAATTACTGGATGTTTCAAAAAGACATTTCCAATTTGAAGATAAACTTTTTTCAAACACTCGTGCACTTTAATTAAATGTGTTAATTAAAAAGCGTTAATAATTTTACTAGCATAACAATACAAAGTCTAGTAGGGCAAAATATTGGTGTTCGCTCCGAGTCGCCCAAGTATTTCATATATGGAGAGCTTCAATTCTATCGATAAGTTCCACAATCCACATTTTCGAAAATGTCATAAATGTATCAAAGACCTCTTTTGTTGAATTTTAACAACATAAGATACCCTGAATTACAGTAGAGAGAATATCTTCCGATTTCTACCAAATCTACGACGCGGAAATGACATGAAAATGACTACAAGTGTGAGGAAACCAGTAATATATATAATTTGTTTTACATACGGCTCTGACTTTCTTTACCAAAAGAAGTATATAATTTCCACCCCTGTTGCGAAACTGTGAAAATTATAGCAGTATTACCCCACGTTCGCGTCGTAGATTTGGTGCATCTTAAACTCACTAATTGGGCGGGGAAAACACATTTTAATAACAATAGAAAATTATATTTCATATAACGAATAAACTAGCAATTTTAACATTAGCCGAAGAAGCCATATGTTCAGTTTTAGAATGGCTGTCTTACTGAGCATTTGTTGTGCGTTAGTGTTCATCTCAAAAATACTTCAGCCGGGAGAATGCTTGGTCGTTCAAGCCTTATTTCGCAAACTTGATGGTAAATATTTAGCAAATCATGTCATCGAAACGAAACACACTGAAACCGAGCTAGAATGCAGTATGCATTGCGTTGCTCATGGATCATGTGTGTCGGTTAATTACAAAACCTCTGGAATCGGGAAAGGTCGATGTGAGCTCAATAACAAGACACTTCAAGACGCATCTGACAATGATGGAAGTACGAGTCACCCTGAGTTTAAACATCTTTATATAATAAAAAAGGTGAGAAATCAATTTACGTACCCAGCTAAAATTATCTAAGAGGGAAATTTTAAGTACAGTTAATCGGAGTTTTTGTATAGTTTTTGTCTCTGAGAATTATTCTGCTATATAAACCCTTAAACCCCCAATGACTCTACAAAAATTAAGAGATTTGAGAAACGTCCGGAAAAATGCAAGAAAATTAATGAAAAAGCTAACAGCTACAGTTTTCACCTTTACATAGATAACCCCGGAGCCAATTCCAAGCAACCCACAGCCGTCACAAAGTCTCTCAACAGGTACGATAATATAATACAATAAAAACTATTCCGATCCAAAATATGCCTAATGTTACGATGGTGTGAAAATAGTTAGCAATAAATTGTATGAAACTTATTATCAATTTATTTGATATAAACGTAATCTTTAAAACAGATTGTTTACTACCCCGCAAACCTATAGCAGCAAAGTAAAACAAAGTTATCTTAATTTATAGGTATTTCAACACATGTCAGCAATTCTTGCACGATTTTACGCACAAAATACCCTTCAGCTGAAAGTGGAATGTATTCCATAAAACCACAAGGACTCAACCTAACGGTTCAAGTATTTTGCAACATGACTTCAAAGAATGGTGTTGGTGTGACAGAGATTGGACATGACAGTGAATCAAGAACACTTGTGACTGGATGTTCTCCTCCAGGTTGTTACAAGAGAAAGATTCAATATGACGTTTCCATGGAGCAGATTGTTGCCATTATCAACCAGTCCAAGAATTGTGAGCAGTTTGTAAAATATGAATGTCATCCTAGCAAATTGTTCACAGGTTCTCGTTATGGTTGGTGGGTATCACGTCAAGGTTCACAAATGAATTACTGGGGTGGAGCGGCAGTCGACAGTGGAAAATGTGCCTGTGGGATGACCAACAGCTGTGCAGGTGGAGGAAACTGTAATTGTAACACGAATGAAAACACATGGCGTGAAGACAGTGGATACCTGACGGACAAAAACACGCTGCCTGTTACTGAACTGAGATATGAAGAGACTGGCGGAAAATTAAGTAGTGGAAATAATGAGCGTGGTTATCATACACTGGGAAAGTTACGTTGTTGGGGTTAAGAGATGGAACATAAAAGCTCATGTGACTTTAAAATATGATCATGTCACCAAAATAACTAAACTTTGATAATCAATACTTTCGGTTGTCCTAGACTGATCGCATGTTTTAGTTTTACAATATTATGAAATATTATAGACTTCAGTATGCATAATTTTAAAGATCGGTCTATCACAGAGTCGAGATTTGGAACACATCCGACTACGGATTAATTCATATAGTAATATGATAGATGTTGAGTGTTTTTTATAGACAAGACTGTATTAAGTCTTCAACATGTAGATGGAAATATTTCATTTCATACAATATACGGCATGCGTAGCTTCCTCCAGCACTCTTTAATGTACCTGGATTGCTTTCATTATTATTTAATTACTAGTTTATCTACACATTGCACAATGCAGTTTTATTCTTCCGTCATGAAGAAAATAAAGTTCTTTTTAACGAAACACAAAGAATTTTTATTGCAACATCCTTTAAAGTCACTAATAAAGATTTTTCGCTAATTCATTCCTAGAACATTTTATGAAATGCTTCGTATTTTCACTAAGGGCCCGAGAACGAATTTGGGTCCGTGAACTGGGACGGGCATTCGCATTCGACACCCACGCTACCTCCTTGAAGCATGTCACATTTACCCCTACAAATTTTCATTTCTGTCATTTTTACAATATTCGAAATTTAATTACGGTTTCCAAAGCAAGACATCTTCAAGAGTGTAATTATTTTTTAAGACAATAGAATATTCCCATTTACCTCGACTCTGAAATTACACAGAGCCACCAAGATTATTAAAGTAATTGAATGGGAAGCCTGTCTAAGAGTTTCTAGATGAGTAAACATTTCAAGCACCAAAGGCAAAGCATGTAAAATTTTCATTTAAATTAATGAAAGTCCTTTGGACGTCAATTTTGTGGTTAATCGTATTATTCACACCTAGCTTTACCAGAACAATACTGGAAATATATTAAAGTAATATTGTTACTACTTGCCAGTTAACTTTTTTACCGCAACCTAAGAAACATAATGTTTTCTGAGATAAAATTTTTCATTATATGCCACTTATCAAAGCAAACCGAACAACAAGGTAAACAACGAGATATCTATTCATAAAACATATAATTTCTAAAGGTTACATGTCCACGTAGGCCACACGTGATTAAAGTTGTTATTTCCCATGAAATAACGTGTTATCTTCCTCTGCAGGGGGTCAGATGAATCATTGGGGTGGAGCGGCAGTTGACAGTGGAAAATGTGCCTGTGGAATGACCAACAGCTGTGTAGGTGGATACAAATGTAATTGTGACAAGAATGACGAAACATGGCGTGAAGACAGTGGATACCTGACAGACAAGAACACACTGCCTGTTACTGAACTGAGATTTGGAGATGCTGGCCAGAGATTAAGTAGTGGAAAAAATGAGTCTGGTTATCATACACTCGGAAAATTACGTTGTTGGGGTTAAGAGATGGAACATCAAAGCTCATGTGATTTTAAAATATGACCTTGACACCAAAATAACTAAACTTTGATAATCAATATTCGTTAAACTAGACGCTTGTATAACCAAGACTTTCGTTTGCCCTAGAATCGCATGTTTTAGTTTTACAATATTATGAAATATTATAGATTTAAGTATTCATAATTTTAAAGATCAGTCTATCACAGAGTCGAGATTTGGAACACATCCGACTACGGATTAATTCATAGTAATATGGTAGATGTTGAGTGTTTTTTATAGACAGGACTGTATTAAGTTTTCTACATGTAGGTGGAAATATTTTATTTCATACAATATACTGCATGCGTAGCTTCCTCCAGCACTCTTTAATGTACAGTACCTGGATTGTTTTAATTATTTGATTAATAGTTTATCTTCCACCTTGCACAATGCAGTTTTATTCTCCCGTCATGAAGAAAATAAAGTTCTTTTTAACGAAACACAAAGAATTTTTATTGCAACATCCTTTAAAGTCACTCATAAAGATTTTTCGCTAATTCGTTCCTTGAACATTTTATAAAGTTCTTCCCACTGAGCTATATAATAATTCCAAAGAAAGAAACATGTCTCAAAGCAAGAAAGAAACATGTCTCAAACAGACTATGACAGCGAAGGTGGAGATTTCCAAGAGGATGTCTCGACCACTTCCAGTCAGCAGTCTGAAAGTTCGGCGACGACGACTGACTCAGAATCTGAAGAAAAAATGGACCCATGGATGCCGCTTATAGAAGAAGCAATGCAAAGAAGTAATAGAGCTTTCGAAGAAATGCAAGAAAGCCTTGTAAACAGTGGTTTTGATGAGCACTCTGCCAAAGGGAAAGCTTTCTCGAACATCATGCCTAACCTTCAGAAAGAATTAGAAAATATTTATATGGAGCGCCTTTTATGGATGAGACAACTAAAGAAAGACCCGATACATAAGAAAATAATGAACACAAAAGATGCATTTGTTGAAAACGATGATTTTGATCCAAAAGAAGCAATAGAAGCTGCTATTGATAAGAGAAAGTTTCTTATCAAAAGACTTTTGAACGAATACAAGTTTGAAGATGAATAGTAAAATAAAGAAAGCGATTTAAAAGGTTTACTAATAGAGCGTTTGTTGAAGAATCCATGGCAAACGAACAAAAAGGGATACGAAATGAGATTTTGATGTATTACAATTTATTGCTGTAATTAATCGTTAGATGAATAAATGTTAAAAACGCAAATCTATATCTGTTTTAATACAACTATTTCCGGCGTTTAACCCCCACACAGCAGTTTACCCCGTGCTGACACTTCGGTTTCGGGAGCTCTAATCTGTCACCCTATTGCCAAAAGTTACACGGATTTTTACGATCGCAGCAAACAAAGAACGGTCTCCCAAAGTTACGTTTACTTAGATCCTTCACAGCTTTCATCTTGGTCGGTCTTTGGTGTGTAGAGTGAAAACAAAATTTTAGTGTGAATCGGAAAAGATAATTTTGATTAATATAGTTTAGGTACTTTACGACTATTAAATAGATGGTAATTCATGATACGATTAACTATTGTTCTATAATCACTTAAACTAGCGGTTTGTTGTATTGGCTGGAGACCTGCGGGAAGCATTTGGCAGCCGACGCATATCAACATTGTCCTAAAGTTGAAGTAGAAGCGTACGGGTTATGGCTGGAGAGAGACAAATGTAATCACAAGCAAAAAAAAAACCTGTTCCCTTCAGATTATTTAAGAAATGAACTCTTAAAATGAACGAACAGTCCTAGTAGGATTGAAAGAAACATTCTCATAATATCACATAATAAAATAAACAGTCCTAATGCTATGGAAAGAAACATACTATGAAAATGTTGACATACTAAATGTGTATAACCTGACAAATAAAATATTTTTCTCGCAAATCCTTACTGTGTACTTAATTACGGTTTAATAACCTCACACTCTCACCCTGCGTGGAGACCACGCATAACTTCGGGAAAATCAGCCTCTGAATACTAATTACCCTTCAGTTCTACCCTTTGAATACTAATTCCCCTTTCTATACTTTGAATACTAATTACTTCCGTTATTGTATGGGGGGGGGGGTTACCTACTTATACATCGCAAGTCAACAGACTATAAAACATCCATCAGAAGTGAATTGGATAATAGACCTTTATAATGAATTAAAGGCATGGGATGAATGGAACTCGAACATTAGCGAGTCTAGTTAAGTTGTTTTTGTAAATAATCTGTAGAACTGTTATACTTAGTTTTAATGCATGACACGTGTTAAAAAGCGCTGAATTGTTAATAATTTTACTAGCATAACAATACAAAGTCTAGTAGGACAAAATATTGGTGTTCGCTCCGAGTCGCCCGATTATTTCATAAATGGAGAACTTCAATTCTATCGATAAGTTCCACATTTTCCAAACAGAACGTGTAGATCACGTCTAAAACTCCCATAGGTATCTAATAATTCATTTCTTTTCAATGAAGCATTGTATTGATAGCTGCCGACGTCGTGTTCCCGTCCTACATGCTTAAGGTCCCTATTGATAACAGTACTGCGTTGGCTTAAGTCGATTTGCTGCCCATATACATCGCAAGTTAACAGACTATAAGGCCTGTGTTAGACGTCGCATTTTAATCGCGTCGAATGCAATTCAAACAATAGATAATGAGATGATAAAACTCATTAAACTTCATTATCATCTCATTATCTATTGTTTGAATTGCATTCGACGCAACTAAAATGGGCCTTTAAGGCCCCCACACACAGGACGCGAATTGGCAACGCGGCGCGAATTTTCAACGTTTTATATTTTTCAAAAGCAAATAAATTTTAACTTATCAAAATTTTCTTGTAGATTACATAAAAATAATAAATTTTGATTGCTCTAGCGTCTATAGATTCTACATTTTGATCCCAGAATTTAATTTATATGCTTCTGAAAACTGAAAATTCGCGTCGCGTTGATCAGAAGTGAATTGGATAATAGACTTTATAATGCATTAAAGGCATGGGATGAATGGAACTCGAACATTAGCCAGTCTAGTTCAATAAGTTGTTTTTGTAAATAGTCTGTAGAACTATTATACTTAGTTTTAAAGCCGGTTTTCCACTGGCGTTAATTGTCGCGCGAAGCGACATTTTACTTTTCTTTCGGAGCTGTCAACTGCAACCATCTGGAACAAATTGCTCAAATACAAAAGAATAAAGTCGCTTCGCGCAAAAAATATCGCTAGTGGAAAACCGGCTTAATGCATGATTTTAATTTTGCCTAGTACTAATAAACGTACATATTATTGAAAAAAAAGATTACTGGATGTTTCAAAAAGACATTTCCAATTTAAAGATAAACTTTTTTCAAAACATGCCGCTAAGCTAATAGACCTCTCTTATAATGACATCAAACGCGGAAAGTCTGATGTTACACGAAATTTGATTGGCTCCACAAACCTATCGAGCCAATCACACTTCGTGTAGCATCACACTTTCCGCGTTTGATATCATTATAAGAAAGGTCTATTCACTGTATGGCTTGTCGCTGTTTATGAAACCAGCACTCGTGCACTTTAATTTAAATGTGTTAATTAAAAAGCGCTGAATTGTTAATAATTTTACTAGCATAACAATGCAAAGTCTAGTAGGACAAAATATTGGTGTTCGCTCAGAGCCGCCCGATTATTTCAAAAATGGAGAATTTCAATTCTATCGATAAGTTCCACATTTTCGCAAATTTCATAAATGTATCAAAGACCTCTTTTGTTAAAATTATAACAACATAAGATACCCCTGAATTACAGTAGAGAGAATATCTTCCGATCTACGACGCGGACGTGACATTAAAATTGCTATTAGTGCGAGGAAACCAGTAATATATATAATTTGGTTTACATACGGCTCTGCCTCTGACTTTGCTTATCAAAAGAAGTCTATAATTTCCACCCCTGTTGCGAAACTGTGGAAATTATAGCAGTATTACTTCACGTTCGCGTCGTAAATTAGGTGTTTCTTAATTAAAGTCGCTAATTGCGCGGGGAAAACACATTTTAATAACAATATACAAAATTATATTTCATAGAACTAATAAACAGCAATTTTAACATTAGCCGAAGAAGCCATATGTTCAGTTTCAGAATGGCTGTCTTACTGAGCATTTGTGCGTTAGTTTTCATCTCAAAAATACTCCAGCCGGGAGAATGCTTGGTCGTCCAAGCCTTATTTCGCAAACTTGATGGTAAATATTTAGCGAATCATGTTATCGAAACAAAACATGTTGAAACTGAATTAGAATGCAGTATGTATTGCGTTGCCCATGGATCATGTGTGTCGGTAAATTTCAAAACATCTGGAATCGGTAAAGGTCGATGTGAGCTCAACAACAAGACCCTTCAAGACGTATCTGACGATGATGGAAGTACGAGTGACCCTGAGTTCAAACATCTTTATAAAATCATAAAAAAAAAAGTAAGACGGCAAAAAAAATTTTTCTAACGGAATATAAACCTAGCGAAACATTTTACTAAAGTTTTCTGCAATGCTTCTCCTGTTCAAAGATTAATTTGTGTCTATAGTTATAGTTAGCAACATTTCCAATAATGCAAGCAATTAATAATATTCTTGAATGAATGCATGGTAAAGTTTAATTTCAAAACGGCTTAATACAACAGTGTTCTTCTTAACATAGATAACTGAGATATCTTCTTCTTCTTAATATAGATAACAAATGCCACACAGACATCAGGAAATTTCTCAACAGGTATGATATGCGAATTGAATTTAAAGAAAAACCATTGTCCAACGATAAATAAATGAACTTCCTTTTAATCCCCGAAAGAAACAGGTCTTTTATACTCCACAATGCCCGTTCTATACCTGCATGTACATCGTCTTGGACTTCATTTTCGAAAAATTAGAATTCACTCAGAAACTGGAATGCGGATTTATTTTCGGAACATCCAGAGCTTAGTTTATAGGCAGAGCTTAGTTTATAGGCAGAGCTTAGTTTATAGGCAGAGCTTAGTTTATAGGCAGAGCTTAGTTTATAGGCAGAGCTTAGTTTATAGGCAGAGCTTAGTTTATAGAGATTAAAATGTATATATATATAATGTAAGTTGAAAAGCGTATATAATTATTTAAGGGTGCGTTGAATCCATATAAAGCCCCGTGTATATACTAAATGACGTTCAAATACTTTTAAAAAACATTGAAGTATTTCTAATGTTGTATTGTATTCTTGTATATACTTTCCCAATCAGTGTCAGGTAAGTCTTAAGTTGCGGCGAATTCATATAGTTATGCATTGTCTACGTTGTTAGTTAACAAGAAATAACTGAGGTTATAAATTATAAAATATACTTTTTGCTAATTATACTTGTTCGTTGTCGTGATGCTAAAACTTATTTGAGGTGGTTTAATAAGCTCCCGACAAGTCTCTTCGTTTACTCGTGAAACTAACCCATCGACACGACAGTTAAAAAACACGTAGAAAAAAGTTTAGAAAAGAAAGTAAAAACAACTGATGTTCAACATGCAAACCTACTATATTTCATTCCGTTCAAGAGAAATAAAGAAAAGAAATGTTAAGGATAATGGCTGATATATTTGTGTGTAGAACTTCGACTTAATTGCAAAGTCATCTTCAGACACAAGCCTCAATTAATTGAGTGTAAAAATCTTCCGTATAATAATGCGTCTGACGGTAACCCATGCATTCCTATAGTTAAAGATACAACATTGATTTTTCATACCCAATATACATTTGTCATAATTATCTTCAAACGCATTCCAGTGGTAACAAAGTCCTTTTTTGAATTCACAGGTATTTCGACTCCAGTCAACAAATCTTGCACGATTTTACACACAAAATATCCTTCAGCTGAAAGTGGAATGTATTCTATAAAACCACAAGGACTCAATTTCTCTGTTCGAGTATTTTGTGACATGACGTCAAAGAATGGTGTTGGTGTGACAGAGATTGGACATGACAGTGAATCAAGAACACTTGTGAGAGGATGTGAACTTCCAGGTTGTTACAATCGAACGATTAAATATAAAATTTCCATGGAGCAGATTGTTGCCATTATCAACCAGTCCAAGAATTGTGAGCAGTTTATAAAATATGAATGTTTTGCCAGCCGGTTGCTAGAATTTCCCGATGTTTGGTGGGTATCACGTCGTGGTTATCAAAGCAAACGGTTCATAGGGGGTTTTGGTTGGTGGGTATCACGTCAAGGTTCAAAGATGAATTACTGGGGTGGGGCGGCAGTCGACAGTGGAAACTGTTCATGTGGAATGAACAACAGCTGTGCAGGGGGAGGAAACTGTAATTGTAATATGAATGACTACGCATGGCGTGAAGACAGTGGATACCTGACAGACAAGAACACGCTGCCTGTTACTGAACTGAGATTTGGAGATGCTGATGGTCATGAATCCAGTAACGGAGAAAGAGAGTCAGGTTTTCATACACTGGGAAAATTACGTTGCTGGGGTTAAGAGATGGATTCATATGATCTTGTCACCTGAATTAATTCTAGTAATAACCTAACTTTGATAATCAATATTCGTTAAACTACTGAGACGCATGGTAACCAAGGCTATTCGTTTGTCCTAGAATCGCATGTTTTAGTTTTACAATATTTTGAAATATTATAGATTTAAGTATTCATAATTTTTAAAATCGGTTTATCACGGGAGTCGAGACTTGGAAAACATCCGACTTCGGATCACTTCACAGTAATATGGTAGATGTTGAGTGTTTTTAATAGACAAGACTGTATTAAGTCTTCAACATGTAGATAGAAATATTTCATTTCATACAATATACTGCATGCGTAGCTTCCTCCAGCACTCTTCAATGTACCTGGATTGTTTTAATTATTGTATATGCATGTTGTTTACCTGCAGACTGAAGTCTTATCGCTTGTCATGAAAATAAAATTAATCACAGCATGAATTCCACACCATTAATACACAAATTTGCCGCCATTGTACAGTAAAATTAATCATGGATAACTGTCAGTTATGGAAAGTACAGTTTCTCGAAAAGTCCATATAAAAAAATCTCGCGCGCAATTGTAGAGCATGCATGCATGCAAGTCATCTGTCCGAGAGCAGACTATACTTTTCACATGCTACCATTTTTCCCTATACGGTACCGCGAGTACACAATAATTTCATGCTATAAGTTACAACGTGTTGAGATATGCTCTAAATATTCTAAATAAGGTTAATTGACATAGCTGAACCGCAATGTTATGTATATATGTATATAAGAATGTAATCTCTGGCTACCAGAAATACCAACGTAAAAATAGTTGTTGCATGAACCAAAATTGTAAACCTTGTATGGTAATGAAATGTAATATGTCAAAATAGTTAACATAGATATCATTCTGTATATATATGAGTGATTTGTATGATTAAAATACTTCCTTTGTAAAACTCCTAAGTTGTATGTTGTGCTTCGTATTCAAGAAAGAGCGATGGCAACGGTACAAACCCTAACACAACAAGTAGACTGAGTGCATAATAGATAAAATGAATTCACCGGGTGTATCTATGGCAAGGGGCTTACATGCACCCAGTTCAGGGGAACTGTACGTCTCAGCCCCTGTTCATAATTCGTGAAGTTTATATAATTTCATTGTCTGAATCTATTTTCTAGCTAATTGACTATGATTACGTGAAAAAGTTTATTGATTTCTTCACCTTTCAACCGCCATTCCTATTTGCACCTGTTAAAATTTAAAAGCGGCGGCCATTGTAGCATTGTTTGACTATTTCCCATTTTAATATTTCCACCACATGCAGATAAAGTATACCAATAAACCACATCAGTTTTTGAAATTCCGAAAATATACGTACGTACCCTTGTACTCAAAAGACTAACTTAACATATTTATGTAACGAATCGTTTTATCTGAAAAAACACTGACCACTTGTTAATATCTGAATTAATTCAAATAATTATAGTCGATGCATGTAGAAATGAATTTAAGGCTCTTTTTAACTCATCGCAAAATCAACTGCCAAGCTCGCTGCAAGCGTTTGCATCTAATTGAAATAACTTTCAAGCATTGTGACTTTCAATTTACTCGTATATATAGCGAACTTGCGAGTTAGTTTTTGAGTATATAAACAGAAAAGTAAATAAAGCAAATGCAGTACGTACAGCTTTATCAATAACACACTACATTCCATTTGTAAGAAGTGAATCATGGATCCGAAAAAGTTGGATCTGTGTACGGGCTTTTAAGAGTCTTTCTACAGGACTACATTAATAAAGTCTTCTTCGGACAGGTCTATTTCATTTCATACAAGATACTGCATGCGAAGTTTCCTATATATCACCCTCTTAATAAATGTCCCTAAATTGTTTCAATGTTGTAATAGTTATGAATACCCTTTTTTGAAAAGTGTATCAAATTCTCTCGCGCAATTCGAGATTGGCATGGCTTGACTTTATTCCTATACTGATTTGAATATTTCCCCTTGCAGGTATCATAGTATACCAGTAAACGCCATTTATTGAAATTCCAACAATACTACACTCAAAGAACACCTTGTAACATGTTTATCTAACAAATTATTTCATCTGAAAGGGCACTGACCATTTGTTAATGTCTGAATTTAAAGTAGTATAGTCAATGTCGGAAATGGACTTTTCAAGTCTTTTCTGTCAACAGGACTATATCAAAGTCTTCTTCGGACAGGTCTAGCTTCCTATATATCACCCTCTTATTAAACACGTCTCTAAGTTGTTTCAATGATTGTATGTATAGCTAATTTTTGCACGTTTTCTTATTTTTCTGTCGCGTTAATAATATATGCATTATCATCTCTTCAGCTGACGACATTATCATCTCTTCAGCTGACGTATGGAATGTAGTCTGTTATTAGGGAACTTTTAAAATTAAGCATGTAGGACGGCAACACGACGACGACGTGGTTGGAATACTCCTTTAAATAAATGTTATGATAAAGCGTCGTTCTATATTTATCAACTGTACCAATTTTATGAGATATAAGACGTTGAAAACATCGTGTTTACGTTTAGGGGCAACTCTATAGAGCCTAACTCGAGGTAGCGCATACATACTAATGATACTATAATATAGGACGTAATAAACGACGTTTTGCCGTTGTAAACAGAACGTAGATCACGTCTAAACCTCCCATAGGTATTTAATAATTCATTTCTTTTCAATGAAGCATTGTATTGATAGCTGCCGTCGTCGTGTTCCCGTCCTACATAGGTCCCTATTGATAAAGCCGTGATAAAGCTATACATCGCAAGTCAACAGACTATAAAACATCCATCAGAAGTGAATTGGATAATAGACCTTTATAATGCATTAAAGGCATGGGATGAATGGATGTTTCAAAAAGACTTTTCCAATTTAAAGATAGACTTTTTTCAAAACATGCCTAATTGCTTGTCGCTGTTTATGAGACCAATGACTCGTGCACTTATGTGTTAATTAAAAAGCGCTGAATTGTTAATAATTTTACTAGCATAACAATGCGAAGTCTAGTAGGGCAAAATATTGTTGTTAGCTCCGAGTCGCCCGATCATTTCATATATGGAAAGCTTCAATTCTAACGCTGAGACTAAGTTCCACATTTTAGCAAAACTCGACTTCTCTCTACTTTAAAATTTTCAACTAGCTGCAGGTAATAAATGTATCAAAGACCTCTTTTGTTAAAATTTTAACAACATAAGATACCCCTGAATTACAGTAGAGAGAATATCTTCCGGTTTCGACTAGACTTTGTTTTTTGCGCGTTGTAATCCAATAATTGCGCGTAGAAAACACATTTCAATAACAATAGAAACTTATATTTCATAGAACTAATAAACAGCAATTTAACATTAGCCGAAGAAGCCATATGTTCAGTTTCAGAATGGCTGTCTTACTGAGCATTTGTTGTGCGTTAGTTTTCATCTCAAAAATACTCCAGCCGGGTGAATGCTTGGTCGTCCAAGCCTTATTTCGCAAACTTGATGGTAAATATTTAGCGAATCATGTCATCGAAACAAAACAAGCTGAAACTGAGTTAGAATGCAGTATGCATTGCGTTGCTCATGGATCATGTGTGTCGGTTAATTTCAAAACCTCTGGAATCGGTAAAGGTCGATGTGAGCTCAACAACAAGACCCTTCAAGACGTATCTGACGATGATGGAAGCACGAGTGACCCTGAGTTCAAACATCTTTATAAAATCATAATAAAAAAAGTAAGACGGCAAAAAATTTTTTTCTAACGGAATACTGATAAACCTAGCGAAACATTTTACTAAAGTTTTCAGCAATGCTCCTCCTGTGCAAAGATTAATTTGTGTCTATAGTTATAGTTAGCAACATTTCCAATAATGCAAACAATTAATAATATTAATATTCTTGAATGAATGCATGGTAAAGTTTAATTTCAAAACGGCTTAATACACTGTATTCTTCTTAACATAGATAACTGAGAAACCAATTGCAACAAATAACATGCAAATATCAGAAAGGATGAATGCATGACATGGGATAAGTATTGATTTTTGCTACAAAAATGCAAGAGAATTAAACAATATTTTTCGATCATGCATTCTCAATTACAAATTACTTTAATTTCCTTCCAAGCATGACGGTTTAAGTGTAGGTTTAGAGAGAAGTATTGGTTTTAGTGTCAATCGTTTTATCCGAGCTGTCGTTTTCGCGTAAACTGCGGTGCGTGGTGACCTGTAAAGTTTACACACTTTAATTAAAAGCCCAAACGAAGCTAGCTTAATCAGGCTGCAGGTAGTCGTGCCAATCTACTCATGCAACTGTCATAATAAAAACGCCTTCATCGCCTTATTCGCATAAAACCCGTGAATAAATTAATAATCTAGTTCTTCAGTAGCTAGCTAGCACGTCAAGTGCACGGACTCAATGGAGAAAAAAAATAATGTGAAACATTCGGAGAAAACTTATACATGCATGCCCAGTATACAACCAAAGAAGAGGAACTGCATGGCGAAAAAGCCCTCGATCCACACGACTCTAAATTAACACAAAATTAAAAGAACTGAGAAAGGTCGCAAAAGAGGCAATTAGGCAAAAGTGCCGAAAAAAACTATTAGCATGAGTATTTACGACACAGTCTTCTTTTTTATAGATAACCCCGAAACCAGTTCCAAGCAGCCAGCATTCTTCACAAAGTCTCTCAACGGGTATGAAATATTAAGCTATGCACTGTATATAGATACCAACAGTCCCGCGCCTGCATGAGAACTCGTAAGAATAATTTATGTTTTCTATAGAAACAGATCCCAGCTTTACTTTTGAAATATAAAATTAGTTCATTTGTATCATTTGTGCTTTATAATATATGGTATATATTTTAACAAAACTTTCCAGGTTTTTTTGTTTTTCTTGCTCCAAGGGTGGCATTGAAATTTGTGTTTTTCAGCCCATATGAAAATTTTCTCAAAAGCTGCCCGGCAGTAGAGGTTGCTATGAGTCTACGGATAGCGCAGTTCCAAAAGAAACATTACAACCCAGAAAACCGTTTGCATATATAAAACTAAAAATCAAACTGAACAAGAAAATAAAAAAGTAAAATACTTTTATGCACAAAAATGTACCTGATGTTATAATATAATATGATGTGATAAAACTAGTTTATATGAAAGGCATAACTTGGTTCAGAGAGTTTCAAAAAATAATTATTAATTCCATGATATACATAACCTTTAAAATAGCTGCAATAAAAACCTAGTAACTAAGACCGCTTTTTCTTAATTCACAGGTAGTTCCATTCCTGTCAACAAATCCTGCACGATTTTACGCACAAAATATCCTTCAGCTGAAAGTGGAATGTATTCTATAAAACCACAAGGACTCTCTGTTCGAGTATTTTGTGACATGACTTCAAAGAATGGTGTTGGTGTGACAGAGATTGGACATGACAGTGAATCAAGAACTCTTGTGAGTGGATGTGAACCTGAAGGTTGTTACAAGAGAACGATTAAATATGAAATTTCAATGGAGCAGATTGTTGCCATTATGAACCAGTCCAAGAATTGTGAACAGTTTATAAAGTATGAATGTTACGAAAGTATGTTTCTAAACTCTGGTTATGGTTGGTGGGTATCACGTCAAGGTTCAAAGATGAATTACTGGGGTGGAGCGGCAGTCGACAGTGGAAAATGTGCCTGTGGAATGAACAACAGCTGTGCAGATGGAAGAAAATGTAATTGTGACAGGAATGACTACACATGGCGTGAAGACAGTGGATACCTGACAGACAAGAACACGCTGCCTGTTACTGAACTGAGATTTGGAGATGCTGACGGTGTTTTATTGTCAAACGGACAAAGAGAGTCAGGTTTTCATACACTGGGAAAATTACGTTGCTGGGGTTAAGAGATGGATTCAGATGATCTTGTCACCTGAATAACCTAACTTTGATAATCAATATTCGTTAAACTACTGAGACGCATGGTAACCATGCAAGGCTATTCATTTGTCCTAGAATCGCATGTTTTAGTTTTACAATATTATCAAATATTATAGATTTAAGTATTCAAAATTTTTAAAATCGGTTTATCACAGAGTCGAGACTTGGAACACATCCGAGTGATCCGACGACGGATTAATTCACAGTCTTCTACATGTAGATAGATGGAAATATTTTCATTTCATACAATATACAGTGCATGGGTCGCAGCACTCCAGCACTCTTCTTCAATGTACCTGGATTGTTTTAATTATTGTATGTTGTTGACCTGCAGACTGCAGTCTTATTCGCCTGTCATGAAAATCAAATTCATCACAGTATGAATTCCACACCATTAAAGTTCACAATTTTGCCGCCATTGTACAATAAAATTAATCATGGATAACTGTCAGAAATGGAAAGTACCGTTTCTCGAAAAGTCCATATAAAAAATTCCCGCGCGCAATTGTAGAGCATGCATGCATCTGTCCGAGAGCAGACTATACTTTTCACATGCTACCATTTTTCCCTACAGTACCGTGAGTACACTATAATTTCATGCTATAAGTTACAACGTGTTGAGATATGCTCTAAATATTCTAAATAAGGTTAATTGACATAACTGAACCGCAATGTTATGTATATATGTATATAAGAATGTAATCTCTGGCTACCAGAAATACCAACGTAAAAATAGTTGTTGCACGTACCAAAATTGTAAATCTTGTATGGTAATGAAATATAATATGTCAAAATAGTTAACATAGATATCATTCTGTATATATATGAGTGATTTGTATGATTAAAATATATTCCTTTGTAAAACTCCTAAGTTGTATGTTGTGCTTCGTATTCAAGAAAGAGCGATGGCAACGGTACAAACCCTAACACAACAAGTAGACTGAGTGCATAATAGATAAAATGAATTCACCGGGTGTATCTATGGCAAGGGGCTTACATGCACCCAGTTCAGGGGAACTGTACGCCTCAGCCCCTGTTCATAATTCGTGAAGTTTATATAATTTCATTGTCTGAATCTATTTTCTAGCTAATTGACTATGATTACGTGAACAAGTTTATTGATTTCTTCACCTTTCAACCGCCATTCCTATTTGCACCTGTTAAAATTTAAAAGCGGCGGCCATTGTAGCATTGTTTGACTATTTCCCATAGCGAACGAGTTAGTTTTTGCGTATATGAACAGAAAAGTAACTAAAGCCAATGCAGTACGTACAGCTTTATCAATAACACACTACATTCCATTTGTAAAAAGTGAATTTGATCCGAAAAAGTTGGATCCTGTGAACCGGGGCCTTCAAGAGTCTTTCTACAGGACTACATTAATAAAGTCTTCTTCGGACAGGTCTATTTCATTTCATACAAGATACTGCATGCGAAGTTTCCTATATATCACCCTCTTAATAAATGTCCCTAAATTGCTTCAATGTTGTAATAGTTATGAATACCCTTTGTTGAGAAGTGTATCAAATTCTCTCGCGCAATTCGAGATTGGCATGGCTTGACTTTATTCCTATACTGATTTGAATATTTCCCCTTGCAGGTATTATGGTGTACCAGTAAACCCTATTTATTGAAATTCCAACAATACTACACTCAAAGAACACCTTGAAACATGTTTATCTAACAAATCATTTCATCTGAAAGGGCACTGACCATTTGTTAATGTCTGAATTCAAAGTATTATAGTCAATGTCGGAAATGGATTTTTCAATTCTTTATCATTTATTAACTATATCAAAGCCTTCTTCGGACAGGTCTAGCTTCCTATATATCACCCTCTTATTAAACACGTCTCTAAGTTGTTTCAATGATTGTATGTAGCTAATTTTTGCACGTTTTCTTATTTTTCTGTCGCGTTAGCTAATAATATATGCATGCAAGAAATTTTCATCATCTTTTACATTGCCAACTAAAATTATTAATAGATAAATAGAAGTTTGAAAAATATTTTAGTAATCATCGTGAAATATAGTCAAGTCAAATGCATGCTTGACACATTCATTCAAGAGTTGAATAGTTGTGTTGGACGATTAAATATTTCAGTCGATTTTAACTTGACTTTGCACAGACCATGGCTATCAGCCATATATGACGTGAGCGAATGGTATGATTCATTTATAATAATATATAGCCAGAACATTATAATGATAAAATGTGCAAACTTATATAAAATCCTCATCACAAATTCTCACTTTTTACTCTCATTGTAAATAACCTGATATACCCTTAGTAGCTTAGCCAATCAGATTGCGTAACAGCTCATATAACACGGCGAGTAGCTATATAAGATAAGTATATAGCTATATATGTATATATACACCGCTGTAGATCTTTATATTTAAGTATAATATAAATAATTTTATCCATCCTCTGCTCGGGTGCATGATTGGGAAAGATATTTCAACCCGGGTCAGCGACGAAAGACTTTCGTATGAAATATTGCGCGGAATAGCAATTACCTCGGGTCTATAGCTAAATGATATATATAATATATTTATACTATCTTTAGACTTTACTCATTTCTTTTTGAATATATGGTTCCTAAATAGAATTGTCAATATCATCTTAAAAAATGAAGAGGAATATTAGAAATAAATGTGGTCTTAATGAAAGTCTGTTTTGCATCACATCTTAAAACAAGTGTTAAAGACTTAAATAATGTTTAGTTGACGAATGGCCATCTTACTGAGCATTTGTGCGTTAGTTTTCACCTCAAGAATACTCCAGCCGGGTGCATGCTCAGTCGCCCAGACCTTATTTCGCAAAATTGATGGTAAATATTTAGCGAATCATGTTATCGAAACAAAACATGTTGAAACTGAATTAGAATGCAGTATGTATTGCGTTGCCCATGGATCATGTGTGTCGGTAAATTTCAAAACATCTGGAATCGGTAAAGGTCGATGTGAGCTCAACAACAAGACCCTTCAAGACGTATCTGACGATGATGGAAGTACGAGTGACCCTGAGTTCAAACATCTTTATAAAATCATAAAAAAAAAGTGAGACGGCAAAAAAAATTTTTCTAACGGAATATAAACCTAGCGAAACATTTTACTAAAGTTTTCTGCAATGCTTCTCCTGTTCAAAGATTAATTTGTGTCTATAGTTATAGTTAGCAACATTTCCAATAATGCAAGCAATTAATAATATTCTTGAATGAATGCATGGTAAAGTTTAATTTTAAAACGGCTTAATACAACAGTGTTCTTCTTAACATAGATAACTGAGAAACCAATTGCAACAAATGCCACACAGACATCAGGAAATCTCTCAACAGGTATGATATGCGAATTGCATTTAAAGAAAACCCGTTGTCCAACGATAAATAAATGAACTTCCTTTTAATCCCCGAAAGAAACAGGTCTTTTATACTCCACAATGCCCGTTCTATACCTGCATGTACATCGTCTTGGACTTCATTTTCGAAAAATTAGAATTCACTCAGAAACTGGAATGCGGATTTATTTTCGGAACATCCAGAGCTTAGTTTATAGGCAGAGCTTAGTTTATAGGCAGAGCTTAGTTTATAGGCAGAGCTTAGTTTATAGGCAGAGCTTAGTTTATAGGCAGAGCTTAGTTTATAGGCAGAGCTTAGTTTATAGAGATTAAAATGTATATATATATAATGTAAGTTGAAAAGCGTAATTAAGGGTGCGTTGAATCCATATAAAGCCCCGTGTATATACTAAATGACGTTCAAATACTTTTAAAAAACATTGAAGTATTTCTAATGTTGTATTGTATTCTTGTATATACTTTCCCAATCAGTGTCAGGTAAGTCTTAAGTTGCGGCGAATTCATATAGTTATGCATTGTCTACGTTGTTAGTTAACAAGAAATAACTGAGGTTATAAATTATAAAATATACTTTTTGCTAATTATACTTGTTCGTTGTCGTGATGCTAAAACTTATTTGAGGTGGTTTAATAAGCTCCCGACAAGTCTCTTCGTTTACTCGTGAAACTAACCCATCGACACGACAATTAAAAAACACGTAGAAAAAAGTTTAGAAAAGAAAGTAAAAACAACTGATGTTCAACATGCAAACCTACTATATTTCATTCCGTTCAAGACAAATAAAGAAAAGAAATGTTAAGGATAATGGCTGATATATTTGTGTGTAGAACTTCGACTTAATTGCAAAGTCATCTTCAGACACAAGCCTCAATTAATTGAGTGTAAAAATCTTCCGTATAATAATGCGTCTGACGGTAACCCATGCATTCCTATAGTTAAAGATACAACATTGATTTTTCATACCCAATATACATTTGTCATAATTATCTTCAAACGCATTCCAGTGGTAACAAAGTCCTTTTTTGAATTCACAGGTATTTCGACTCCAGTCAACAAATCTTGCACGATTTTACACACAAAATATCCTTCAGCTGAAAGTGGAATGTATTCTATAAAACCACAAGGACTCAATTTCTCTGTTCGAGTATTTTGTGACATGACGTCAAAGAATGGTGTTGGTGTGACAGAAATTGGACATGACAGTGAATCAAGAACACTTGTGATTGGATGTTCTCCTCCAGGTTGTTACAATCGAACGATTAAATATGACATTTCAATGGAGCAGATTGTTGCCATTATCAACCAGTCCAAGAATTGTGAGCAGTTTATAAAATATGAATGTTACGATAGCGTTTTTACGTATAGCCCCACAGGTATATATTATGGTTGGTGGGTATCACGTCAAGGTTCAAAGATGAATTACTGGGGTGGAGCGGCAGTCGACAGTGGAAAATGTGCCTGTGGAATGACCAACAGCTGTGCAGGTGGAGGAAAATGTAATTGTGACAAGAATGACTACGCATGGCGTGAAGACAGTGGATACCTGACAGACAAGAACACGCTGCCTGTTACTGAACTGAGATTTGGAGATGCTGGCGAAGTATTA